TTGAAGAGGAGTCTGCCATATATATTAATTATATTATATTATATAATATAATTATCAAATTTGTATTCATATCCATACATGGAAAAATAACTAAGGTAACTATCATACAGTTCAATGATGATACGAATGATTATATAACTTTGATTTTTTTCTAAACGAAAGCCAATAATAGAATCTCAATTTTCAAAATATCTAATCAGAAATTTAAGACAGAGACACTATGACTCGTTTTCTCCTTACTGGTACTGGTACAAAAGTACTTTGCCACAAATTTGTTTCTGAAAACATTGACATATTTTAATTGATAACATGAAGATAATAAACATAATTCTACACCTGAAAAATCTTTTCATGTCTTCAAATTCCTCATCAAATCGATGCATTCATTGAAACTGTGAATTTTCCGAAATGATAATTCTTATTTCGTTTGTGTCACGTTTACAAATCATAGTAATCGTGGAATATCTCTAGCATAATTCATCTTGAAACATTGATGATGATCATAACTATTTGAAATAGTTTCTAGTTCTAGTACTACCTATATAGAATTTGTATGTACATTGCTTCAATACAAATTTGTCCCATTTTCATATGGCTATAAGTTAGTAATTTTTAGCTTGACTTTCAGTTTCTTTTTTAGTTACAAGTTTGTTATTTTCACAATACTATCGTATTATGTCTTTTGTATCGTTCATCAGGACTTGTTGATGTTATCATTAATCTTTTTCTTTTTTCTATCATCTTTCACATCATGTACTTTGATTTTCTTTTACTCTCTATCAGGAGGCAAGCACAAACACGATGGATTCCAGTTGAACGAAAGCGCACTCAGATTGCAAATGATAAACGCAATCAACTTTTTGGGATCTGTCAACTATCCGACGACATGAAAATTCACTGGGAAAGCGGAAAGCACAGAGTTGCGCGCGGTTTTCTCGACGACTGGTCGAGAACTTGGGAATTACACCGAAATCAGAATGGGCGTCCTTAGTGTATTTTTACCGACGCCAGGCGTCACTTGTTGATTTTGGTTAAAAATATGACGAACTTCAAAGGTTTCGTAAGATCCGTTTCTGTTCAGGTCGGCTGGTCAAACTTTTCAATTTACATAAGTTCATCAGACATATTTTATGCCCAATTGCACATTCGCTTGATTCATATGAATATTTATATACTCACATCAAAACTAGGAAAAAGTAATAGAAATTTACGTAACAAGTCCGGAAAATACTGTTCTTTAAGCGAGTCAAAAAAAATTTAGGCATGTTTCATACATTATTTTGGCAACAATAAGCAGTTAAATTTTTTTCACAATATGCATTTGTAGAATGAGATCAGAAGAAATATCGTACTTGTTTATCATTTATATTCATCCAGAATTTCGAAAATTTGTTAAGGGATTCAATATTTGTTTCATTTATTTGGTCTTACTTCAAACGACCTCCCCTCTATATCTCAGCTATCAGTCGTGTGATTCCTACCAAATTTGGACTTGTATGAATAACCATCAATATGATCAGTTTTCCAGAGATGAACAACATTTTACACAGTGCCGTACGTTTGCGAACGTAAATAATCATTTACTAGGAAACGGTTCAACAAACGAAGAATATCCTGTTTTTGAATGTAAGACAAATTGATATTCATTACACAGGACGTGGAAAAAAATTCTGAATTGAGAAAACCTAATCACGAATCTGCGATTGAAAGTATATAAAAATAACAAATTTCCATGGTTCAAGTTTGAACCCCTTGATTGGGTGGAAGTATTGAAAAGGAATATTCTCAGATGAATTATGAACATGGAGAAATTGATATATATATAAAAAATTACATTACATAACAGAAGATTTTTATTTTTCATGCTCTCCTTTTGGATGTTCAACAGATATAATTCAATGGCATGGCAAATGGACAGGAAAGTATCTACACTACACTGTTTTACCACTAACCAAACCGATTTTTTAACGCCTCGACACGTGTTTCGCTAACTATGTTAGCATCTTCAGGAGAAAATTAAAACTAAAGTATTAATCTTCTGTGTGTATTTATCAAAATTGTCACATCTCGGTATATAGGTACATCATATTATTTATTATGAATTGTTGGAATAATATTTGATGGAAACTGCGATTTCTATCGAAAGCAATAATGAGAACTACCCTAAAGAATTTAAAGAACTTCTTCTGACAGTTGTGACAACTATTCAAAGCTGAACAGCAGCCAAGTTTTGGTCGATTTTTGTTGATTCTCCATGGAAATGTATGTGGTGTTGGCAAAGTGCCGTGAGAAAAAATATTTCTCACAGTATGAGCAATGAGCAATACATGGTTTTGAAACCAAGTTAGCTATGAGAAATGCGCTACTTTTCATAGCAGTAGTAAAAAAACAATGTTCGACGTGGCAAATAGCCAGAAAAGTGGCTGTTGCAGAATGATATTATGTACATGAATATTTGTATCTGAAGAAGAACACAAATTCCCAATTCTAGCAGATTTTGTTTTCAAATTCTTATCGTGTTGTGTTCAATAGATATAATTCAATGTTCGTCGTGGCATATAGCCAGGAAAGTGGTTGTCGTGGTTGTTTTGTGTTGTTCAAACCGAGAAAGAATTTACATCTTTATCACAGAGAATGTGAATTCTCAATGTATTTTTTTATATATATATCCATTTTTTTATGTTTAGGTATAATTGATCTGGAAATATTCATTTCCGAAGTATATCCTGGTTTTTGCTCTTGCTGCTAGAGCTATTGAACGTTCCAAAATATGCAGTTGATTTGAATTCACTGTTTTTACGAGGCAGAAAATGAAAACATGGAACCAATCCTGCAAGAAATACCTAATATTCCATAGAAAACGACCCCTTTTTATCTAAAAAAAACGCACTGCACTGTCCAAGAGGATGTTCGTCTCTGCAAAACTGATCAAATTGATATTTATTCATATACTGGTCAAAATTTAGTACGAATCGCACGAATAATTGCTGAGATATAGAGGGGAGCCGGATAAAGTCGTGAGACACGCTGTATATAAGAAAGTCCGTTTTATGGCTTCGTATACGGTTCTAATCCTGTAAGCATCTTGTCGGAACCCACTATAATATAAGCTTAGGTCTCGTTCTTGATAACTTCATATAGGTACACAAGTTTTTTTAGTTGGTTCGACTTGGTATTGATGGATGTCATCGTACATAAGATACACCCGGTATATACACACACTGGCACAATTAGGGGAACGGGTGAAATTTACACTGAGTTTGACATCAATTTTCTCTCGAACTGATCACTCGATTCAAATTTGTTTTTCACGAATTGTAGCTTCATTCTTCACGAATCAACTGAGAAATAACCACCTCCAAACGATTCGTCTTTATATCATATACAGGGGTGTAAAGAAAGTACGGATTTTTCGGTATTCTTTAAGACATCCTGTGGAGTGAACCACTGATAATTGAAACGATTTTCCAACACCAAATTATAGCCCAATCTATCCCGAATATTTTCGTTTTTTATTCATCTTGATATCCCAATTATCCAAGAAAATATAGAGTTTCAAAGAAGAGGTGGATATTGGTATTAATTTTACCACCTCGAAACTCGAACTGGGGAAAACGTGTCGTTTTTCAACTTGTTTCTGTGAGGATTTTTACTTCAAGATGAGAATTGTTCACAGTTTTACCTATCGATTTACTGTTTAAAGACACATATACGAATACTCTCATGAATATGCAGGGGTGATAAAAGTTGCTCCAATGTTCTTTTGGTGAAATGCTATTTTTGTTAATCAACGTTGGCTATTTTGTTAATGTCATTAATTATTGTCGAAGTCAAGCGATTCACAATTCATAAATTTGATTAATGAAAATTCAACGTGAGAGATTTGACTCCTACTGATGTGGCGAGGGCTGTAGCATTAATTGAAAATGACCAGTGGGCCAATGTTCTTTTAACATATGAGAGCCGCATCTGCACCAATTCAATAGATGGCAGGGAAAGACTATATATCGCCGAGGTGAACAAAATGAACAATTTGATTTTACTGCTTCTGTCTCCTATGGCAGAGGTTCAGTCATGGTTAGGTTAGGTTAGTCAAGAAACGACACATTTTCAGATCCAATTTGAGTTTTGAGGTGTAAAATTGATACCAATATCCACCTTTCCTTTGAAACTCTGTATTTTCTTGAATAATTGAGATATCAAGGTGAATAAAAAACGAAAATATTCGGAATAGATTGGGCTCCAATTTGGTGTTGAGAAATCGTTTCAATTATCAGTGGTTCAGTACTTTCTTTACACCCCTGTATATGATGGAAAGACTCATCGTTTGAAGGTAATTATTTCTCAGATGTATTCGTGAAGAATGAAGCTACATTTCGTCGGTGTAATTAGCAATGTGCGTAACTCCAATATTGGGTCAAAATGACATTTTTGTGCCATCTGTTGGGAAAAAATTCAACGAATATGTTGGAAAACGGTCAATCTCCAAATAAATTTCTCCAGCAGAATAAACTCAATGAAGAATAAGTCGTAACTCCAACGCGCCATTTTATGTTCGGCAATATTCGTATCTCCTAGTTCATTCGCATTTTTCACGTAGCATGTCTACTGTTCACATGTTCGGCAAAACATCATCAACTTCTGGTTTATTATAGTGAAAAAATATGCAATCTCACATTGGAAAAGGTAATTAAAACATTTATCAATATCAATAAAAATCAATTGAAATTGGGTTTATAATCGTTATCATGGAGTTACGAATTTTTTGCTCTCATCCAAATGATTCGAATCTTGGAGTTAAGTCATTCAGTTTTATTGCTCTCCTGAAAAGTTAGTCATTGTGGAGTTACGCACTTTGCTAATTACACCGACGATTTCGTGAAGAAAAAAATTTGAATCGAGCGATCGGTTCGAAAGAAAATTGATGTCAAACTTAGTGTAAATTTTGCCCGTTCCCCTAATTGTGCCAGTGTGTGTAGAATATATATATATATACTTACCATAATATTTCAGTGTCTTCTGATAAGTCGTAGAGCTCAGCAGTCAAAATGGCAGTAGATCCATTGGTCACTGATACACATTGAGAACCTTCATCTCTGAATCGTGGTGGAAATCGGTCATTGGTTACTGCATCTATATATGGAATTCATAAAAGCTAAGGTCCCTTGATGCAAACTGACATATTTGTCATCTTAAGATGATACATACGTCAGTTTGCATCAAGGGACCCTAATAATAGTAGATTGTTTTATTAGGATCAAAAGTGACACTTTGTTTGACAAGCGAATTTTGCATTTGCGAGGCGGAGCGTTTAGCGAAGCCGAGCGAAAGCAAAATTTGCGAGTCGAACAAAGTCACTTTTGATCCGAATGAAACATGCTATTTTTTCTGCAACCGAAAAAATTAACTCAAATGAACATGTGAAGTAACCACCAATGCCGTGCCATATGTATGCAATGCATCAAATATTGACAAATAATCCATGTGGTGAGAATATTCTACCTGCATTAACAGCAGGTCAGGTTTTCAAGGATGTTCGAATTGTAATTTCAATATAAATACAACCACAGAGTGACATATTTGTGTATGGACCAGGTGCTCTAATGGCAAATACCAAATACCGCGCCAGTGCCTATAGGAACAAGACGTGGAAAATGTTAGGTTAGTGAGCATATCAACAATGATAATAGTGATTATTTATTTTTCTCCATACTACACTGTGTTTGACTTGATAATCAAATGAAGCTAAACAATAACGTTGTTTGAGACAAAAAAACGATTGCTTGCCGTGATAATTCAAAAACAAGTTATCCATCCCGAGAATAACGAATGAAATACAGATCGAGCAAGTATTTGAATTTTGAAGGCTTGCCTGATCAAAACAAAAATACTCAAATAAGATGTTTATAATTCTAATACCAAACTATAATAAGGTGTATTTATATCTCCAGCATGGGTATGAAATGCCAAATCTGCTGAAATGAGAAACAATAATCAGGTATGCGTCTCAACCCAAATAACCAACCGTCACAATGTTGTTTTTGTTTATTCTTGATGACTTCCAGTACATCCTTTTTAGTTCCTAGGAGCTAAAGTTCAACTTTAGCTCCTAGGAACTAAAATTCAACTTCAGCTCCTAGGAACTAAAATTCAACTTTAGCTCCTAGGAACTAAATATGTTGCCTATCAACATACCTATTTTTGTGTCAGTAATAGAAACGTCAATTCAAGAGCTAATTTTGGTATCAAAATGGACGACTTTTGTGTCGGTTGCAGAAAAAAGCTAATTATATTGTCCGAATAAGAATAAACATTTCGTCTTGTCTCGAAAAACGAGAGATTTTTCCAAAATTCTTTTCAGCAAACTGTTTCTCGCACCCTGTACACCACAGGTAATTTTCCAACATAATGTAGATGTGAGACAGTCATTTATGATCGGAAAATGTGGAGCCTGGCATGAGAATTTCAGATTCAGAAATCGAAAAAAATACAGGGTGTACTTGTACAAACTTTATAGGGTTGATCTGTAACTATTTTCAAGATGAAAAAATATTATGAACATGAGTCCGCAACGGCTTGGATTTTGAGATATAGGGCGTCCAAAAAAAGTATTTTATTTGTTTCCTCTACACGTCGGGCATCAAATTTCACACGTAGGAGGAAATGGATACCTTTGCTCCCTTGATATATAAATATTACGGCCTGCCTGGGCCCGAGGACAGTAAAGTGACACTTCACGCCCGCAAAACCGGGCGGTGAAGTGCACTTTAGCGCCCACTAGTGATTAAATGACTATAATGCACTTCAAGAGGGAAGAAACTAAAATAATCAAAAAATGTTTGAAAGACAGTAGATACTCTTTTAGCTTATCATATTGTTGGTGATGTACCTTGGAATCGTTGCAATGGCGTTAATCCCTGAAGGAATGAGAGATTGAAAGTATAAAATAACTAGGTACCATTTTATTTCCTGAAATGCAAAAGGTATTTTCTCTCAGGTGCTTTGAATATATAGTAGGTAGTGGAAGAAAAATATTTGATGTTTCGCATTGAAATCATTTATTATTTCGAACCTGCAATGGCCTATTTCTGGATTCTCTGGCATTTCTGAAAGTTTCCATCAACAAACCAGCAAAACGGAAAAACATTCGCACGCCAATAATAAATACATTTCAAGCGATAACTCGGTCAGGATTGTAAATATTGCGTCTATAATGTATATTTTGCGCCGACTCACCCGAGTTATTCGTGGCTGAAAACCAAAAATAAACATACCCACATTGGTTATAATAGTGGGTATCAGGAAGATGAAAGGCCAATTTCGAGATTTCATGTGGTTTTTTGCATTTTTTATGAACTGAAACTGCCTTATTGGGCCTAAGATAATCTGAATACCACTTTCAATTCATTCAATTTTTAGAATTCTTGTCATCAAAAGCAGTTTCAATCTACTTGGTAGAATGTAACTGAACTCTGGCCATTTATTCGCCACATTAAGTATGCTTAACCGACAACCTTATACTTGTCATGGTTTTTGAGGAATAATAAACGTATTATTATTTGATAAATAGGTAGGAAGTAATGCAACAATAATAATCAACGGACATCGCGAGGTACCTTCCTACCTCTGTACTACCAGAAATCAGACATGGCAATTCTAAGCAAACAAATTTATGATTATACATATAGGTATGTCTAAAAATAGCTTCACAGCATTCAGCATGCAAGTTAAAAATATAAATTTCAGGAAAAGTTAGTATCCATAATGGAGATTCATGCACCGGCACCTCCACCAAAATTTGTAATCGAAATATCTCCAGAGGTTTATTTAATAATACGTTCAGGACCTCCTCTTCTAAAGTATTCCTCATCAGTAGGTTCCTGATCTTGTCTTGTATAAGCAACGCGGAGAAACGTTAATTGATGTTGAAATTTCGAAAACCGATTCTTTGTGGAAAAATGAATTTGCAGTGATATGATCTTCCACACCTAAATGGGAACGTGATTAGTATAATTTTTTACTATGCAGGTATGATGCACAGGGTTTGGCAGTCAAAATCTACTTAGATATTAGAAGAACACAAGATTTTCTAGTTCTCAAATCGCAGAAATGATACCATTTTATTTGGTTTAGCCTATGGGTTTAGCTGTTGTATAATGTAAAATATTCAAAGTGGCTCTGCTACCTAACGTAAGAGCGTCGATAATGATTTTTCTAAGGGGGGGGGAATGGCTTTTGGCCTCTTGGTTTGGTAATAAAAAAAATCATGTTATAGAGAATCATAAATGATATACATATATTAGAATTAGAAACCAAACTAAACTTCTTTGGATAAACAAATCACAAATCAAACAGCCTAAACATGTATTCTATTACCTATCTTACAAATCATTATTCCTTATTACCCCCGTGCCCCTATATCCACGCCTTCGATTTGACGTGTCATACCAGTGTTAAAGAAATATTTATTTATTGCACAAGTGTGAAACGTAATGTGTCTGTGTGATTCACATTAGTATCATAAGATATGCTCACTGGGACCAAGATTGGCGATTAATTCTCCCGATATTGTTCTCTATTGAAACTTTGTCGGATATTATCATCGAACAAAGGGATTGAGATAAAAAATTACTTTGTCAATCGAAAAGTTAAATTATTGATAGTACATTCTTTGGTTTCGCTGGTCCACATAAAATAACTCAATCCAACTCGTTTGGATTCTCAGTGAGCACTTCCAGAAACAGTCTTATGGTTTATTGTCAATGATGTTCAATTGAATGTCGACAATAGTGATTTAGCATTGAAGTGTCGTCCACAAAGTGAGTATTTTTTACAAACTGAATCAACAATGGGCTCATATCACAAAAAAATTGTATTTCATAATTCCATAGAACTCACCCAAACTAGCTCACCACCGCAAACCGTTTCTTGCTGTGAGCTCCCTACGTTTAATAAAAAATTATTGAAATCCCCGATTTTTCGGACCTCTGAAAACGAGGTGATGATGTGACGTCATAACCCTAATACTGAAACAAGACTATTCCAGACAGAGATGAATGATATACATTATTTCTGACAGAGTGAATTAGCATAGTTGCCTCAGTCTCCGTCGAGCGTTTGGTATTTTCTTTTAACTATGGCGAGATGAGGTTTCTACGTCATAAGAGGGTCCGTTTTCAGAAGGTACTCATTTATGTCTAAGAAGTAAGTATGATTATTTTCTCTTATTAATTATAACCTCAGATGTTCTGGTTCCCACGAAAAGGAATATCCTGTAATGTTCAGAGAACATCGTGAGAACCAAGGGAAATAAGGTAGGAATTGGTGTTCTTCTTGAATTTCTGGAGGTTATATGCCTCGAGGAACACCACCAATAACAAGAGCCCAATGGTTTGTGTGATTGGTTATCCATAACGTTATAGTTTGGAATACACTACGAGAAAAATTTAATGGTTAACTTATTGTTGGTAGTCAACTTCGAGGAAAAATGACTCTAGAAGAATCATCAAGAGAATAATAATCAGTTATTTGTCGTGGTCTCGGGATATTATAGTGATATTACCAACGACTAATAGTTATTTATACACCAAGGTAGTAAAGAATATAATTATCACCCAGGGTCCAAGATTATAGCCCGAGGCTTTAGCCGATGGGTAAAGGTCCCGTGGTAATTATATTCTTCACTACCAAGGTGTATATTATAGTATATTATGTGACAAGTGTTAAAAACGTCCTTTTAGTAACGAGTATTTTAAGCACGAGCGGAGCAGAGCGGAGCGAGTGTTAAAACGAATGTCTAGAAGAGTTTTTAAACGCGTTACATACTATGCTTTTTCTACGAACTCCGAAAATAACATCAACATACCTGCAATACCTGCTAACCTACAAAATAATTCGAAAGGAATGGGAATTGAGAACATAATACATGCAACTGCATGCAACCAGCGAGACACGTATAAGTGATATTGGTTGTAGATGTGTCCAGTCCATTGCTTACTAATCTTTGTTTCACGTTTGCTTAGCGCAGAATAGATAAATTGTTCTCAAAGATGGATGTTTCATTTTTTCACTTCTTGGAGATATGTAAGTACCAGAACATTCTCTTCGATTTCACTTTCGTCTACATCTCGCATATATTTTCAATGGAGAATTCTGATACAAACGAATATTGTTCGAATAATTCTGATACAAAATTCAAAAATAACAGTTGACAGTTGATACAATTGACAGGCCAGACATGTCTCAAATTACTGAAGCTGTGTTTAATGAACTGTGTTGCCATGGTAATGTGTTTAAGAAATCGTGTTGCCATGGTAACGTGTTTGATATTTTGAATAGATCACAGATCGTCAATCCGTGATTAATCGATCATTTAGCGTGGTACATATCCGTACGCTAAATGCCATTTTAGTTATGTGAGTAGAAACAATTTTTTTCACCACTAGCAGGATATTTCAATCATTTTCGTTCTGTGATACTGAAATATGGACCTATTGTCACTATGAAAGCACTTCCCTTCAATTTTAATTGAAATAATAGCCATGACTATGACAGCGTATGTCAAGTCGTCATTGATAAATACGTATACTAGATTCGACTCCCATTTCTGCGATTATTTCATTCACACTCGGCTGGACCAATGAAATGTCATGATTGAAGTCACATGATATGCGATATCAGCGGCTATTCAGGTAAACAAACTAAATGAGCGACTATTCTGTTCGCTAGCATATGAGTGCTATGGTTGTCAAACTTTGACATACAGTCACTCAAAAATTGAAATGTCTCGTTTTGGGACAATTTCCACTACGGAAATTCTTGATTATGTAAGCGAATCGATATCAGAAAATAACAAGGAGAGTAAAGAGTCTGTTTGGAACAATTCATGTTTTTTTTTTGCCAGCAGAAAAACTATGAATTTTGTGCGACAACCCCATCTCTCGTGATTGCCCAAATCCTAAAAGATTGGGTAAGGAGAATGGTGAGGAATATTAGGAATACACAGTTGAAATTGATATGGAAAACTATATACAGGAGGGTTACTTCAATCATTGATCTAAATGTGTGTATTTAGATCTATGCTTCAATGAACAAAAACGTAAGACTAATCCATTTGAATATATCGAATCGAATTCAAAGGTGCCAGGGTTGCGCATAATGCAAAAAGGCGAAGCCTACAATATTCTCCTCAAACAAGGAAGGAAAGGGTAAAACTGCATTTAGCATGCGATGGGTTTTTTTTCGAAATTTTTTTCTGGTTCTTACGTATTTTTGTCTGAAAAACACGAATTTGATAATGAAAATGTGAATAAACCACTATTCATCGAGATATTTCAAAAAAAAGTTCGAAATTTCGACTCCTTTTTCCCCTTGCGTTGAATGCATTTTCAGGTACTTGCTCTTCTTATTTTGTCATCGGAGACTTTATATACTCATGATGTCAATGACACATTTTTATTCAGAAAATTCAACAGGAAATATGATTTTTATGGTGAGTTTTTCCTATTTAGTGAGCAAGCATACCAGATGACGGCTATTTTATCCATAGGCAATCCAAATACGAGATGTCAAATGTCAATAGATTGCTTTGGAATGACATTACACACGCCATTATTTCAAATGATATTCTTCCCTCTTTTCAATAAATATGGATATATCACAAGAAAATCATATTTCTAGTTGACTCAATAATAGAAAAAAATGTATCTTACATTGTGATATATATAAATTGTCCAATGATGAAAAAAGAAGGGTAAATTGTTTCAAATTCAATCCAGAAGACAGGCGGAAAAGAAGGTGAAATTTGTAACTTTATAGTGAAATATCTTGATAAATAATGGTTTGTTCACATTTTCATTATCAAATTCGTGTTTCTCAGACAAAAATACGTAAGTACCAAAAAAATTTTTCGAAAAAAAACCCATCGCATGCTAAATGCAGTTTTACCAAGGAAAGTACAGAAGCTTTAATGGAAGAATATTAACGCTATCAATAGCGTTAATATTCTTTCTTTGCTCTTACTTTAGATGAATTGATTACAATTGTACAGGGTGATTGAATATGGATTTCTCGACTTCAACAGCTGATATCTCGAAAACGAAAAAAGATATTCGAAATTTGGAGAGAGGTACTTGAATGAGATGTCATTTTCTTCTAGAAAATGTGTTCTCTGCTTGATTTTATCATTTCATATACAGGGTTCGTGAAAAAAATTTTTTTTTTTAAATGGAACCCCCTGTATATTATCGCATATTTCGAAAGAGCTATCTTTCCTGATTCCAAAGATATATACTTTTCATATATTCTATCGAGGGCTTTACGAAATATCAGCAAAATCAAATATCAATATTTGGTCCAAGTTAGATATGGTTGAAATAGAATGAGATGATGAATAAGTGAATTGACATTCGGCCAACATTCCAGTGACATAATTTCGACAATTTTCTCACGATGCCATATCCACTGGAACAAAGAAGAGATATTTTGGAGTGCTATTTTTCAGTTAATAAAAATCTTGCTGAAACACTTACACTTATACTTACTTATATTTAATCTTTCAGATATGACAAGACAAAATTCAATCCGCTTCTCATTATCATCATAATTGAGTTTGTGGCATGGTCTAATTCTGAAATCCCTATATTTATATTTCCTTAAGGTATGTTGAACAAAATAATAGCTAAAACCAAACTCTCTCACTGCATTTCTTATTGACCGTGAAGGATCCTCAACAAAATACTGGATTACAAGAAGTTCCTCGTCTTCGTTGTCTTGCCTTCAAACTATTCTCTTGATATTCGACAAACTGGAAGTTCTGTCAAATTTAGCAGCCAAATACTTTACATAATTCTTACTTGGTAATCTCCTGCCTGGATAACTCCTCATAAACTTATGAAGTGTTTCAGCAAGATTTTTATTAACTGAAAAATAGCATTCCAAAATATCTCTTCTTTGTTCCAGTGGATATGGCATCGTGAGAAAATTGTCGAAATTTTGCGCACTTATGTCACTGAAATGTTGACCAAATGTCAATTCACTTATTCATCATCTCATTCTATTTCAACCATAGCTAACTTGGACCAAATATTAATATTTAATTTTGCTGATATTTCGTCAAGCACTCGATAGAATATATGAAAAGTATATATCATTGAAATCAGGAAAGATAGCTCTTTCGAAATATGCGATAATATACAGGGGGTTCCATTTGAAAAAAAAAAATTTTTTCACATACCCTGTATATGAAATGATAAAATCGAGCAGGGAACACATTTTTCAGAAGGAAATGACATCTCATTCAAGTAAATTTTTCCAAATTTCAAATATCTTTTTTCGTTTTCGAGATATCAGCTGTTGAAGTCGAGAAATCCATAGTCAATCACCCTGTACGTAGATATGATGAGAATACCCCAGAAGGCCTTCAACTAAAGCTCTCGGGAGTTATTTAGATTATTGATGTTCATATGGTCTCATGAAATTGTCAAAATACAAGGTACTCTCGATAGAATTATGAAGAAAATAATAGGCAGCTATTTGTCATGTTCTCGGGATATTACCCACGATTATCGCATTAGAGCAGTGAATTCGGTTTAATTATAACAGAGGTGGCTATGTCATTATTGACTAGTGGTTCATAAAATGAGAAAAACTACCTTGGTAGTGAAAAGACACTTCACGCCTCGAAAAGAAGTGTGGAAAAAATCTTATCTAACAATCATAATCATTGGCAAATCAACCAAACATCAGACTTCGATCTCGAAACCGACAAACGCAAAACACTCTAGCACCCGAGCCAACGGAAATTCTTGGCAACACTCCACCAGGTGACGCGCTATCTATCCCCAAAGAAAAACCACCGGGAAAATCAAGTCGTCGGGGTGGAAAACAGACGCTTGGCGACCTACCAGCCATCTGGGTGTCGTGGGGCCGACCTTCTAGTTTCACGGGTCCTTCTCGACCATGGACGGACTTAGCACCTGTCCGCACAGGGAAAGCGACGCGAGCTACTGGAGCGTCGGTCTGTGCGTCGCGACGTCCTGAAACGGTGCCGCGTGACCGGCTGAGCGGCATTCCGACGGAGACGGCCGGCCGGGAATTTCGCGAGGTATTCGGCTTGTTGGACGGTAGCCATTGTGCGCGAGTAGATGGCTGTACTTTGACTACGACTTGAATTGGAAAGAGTCATCACCCAGAAAATGACTACTACCAATACGTAATGTGAAACATCACGACACTGATTTCAGTATCGTTATGAGATACATTTTTTTTTATTGACTCGGCCGCTACTTGATGGAAATCCATGGCAAATGTAAAAACTCCACAAACGATAAGATTTTCACAAAATTCTCAAACATACGACATGTTTCGCTAACACAGTAGCTTTGTCAGGTGATATACTGGTACAATGAATTAAACTCACGTTGGCTTGCTTGACTTTTTCGGAAATTAGGCACAATATCTACATTAAAATACGATGTACCGGATTAACCTGAGAGAGTTGATAGCAAATACATATTATTACTTACTAAGAAAACAAATTCAACAGTGGTGAACTATTGAGGTCTAATTGATCATTAAGAAAAATGTAAACATTTTTGAGTTTGTTGATTTCTAATGATTCAAAATGATTGAGTTTCAGTCCTTCATTTTCTACGTGTAGAATTTCGAAATTATCATCAAAACTATGGTTTTCTTCTAATATATGGTTGGCGTATGTTGCATTTGTTTTCTTCTTCAGAAAATTCATCTTATGTTCTTGAATGCGCTGATTAAACGTTCGACCTGTCTGACCGATATATACCTCAGGACGAGATCCACAGTTGAGTTTGTATACTCGAAATAGGTTAAAGTTCTATAATTTTGATTATTATTCTTGATGGTAGGATAAACTTCTTGAATAGCTTTATGATGAAGTTTTTTAGAAAGAATACTGTCTATCAAATTAACTCTGTATCCGTTGTTGACTGCAATCTGTTTTATGATATTGAGTTCTTTATTGAAATTTACTTCCGAAAGAGGGACTTTCACTAGCTTGTGTATCATACATGGACGTATAAACACTATATTATATGCTGCAATTTCATGTTGATAAGGGTGTGTTGAATTATTATGAATAGGGATATCAGTGTGGGAAGGTTTATGGAAAATCGAGATACTTTATCGCACTAGTGCGGTAAAGGGAAAAAATATAATTTCAAATTTTATTTTTACTCAAAAAAAGAAATAAGAACCGTATGTGAATGTATGTGAACCCTCAAATGACCCCACTGTATATGCTTAAATGTCACAAACCCTACTTGGGGAATCCTGACGATCTATCACTTACATCATCTTTTCATTAGTAATATTCCTAGGACATTGTGACATTGATAATAGACGAAGTAATTTTATGATAATCGAAAGCTCGTTCCTTGGTAAGTGCTCGGAGCCAAAGGCTGAGGGCTGTTACCAAGCAACAAGCTTGAGAAATTTGTCATAAAATTATGAGGCATTTGTCAATGTCCGAGGGATATTCGACGGAAATAATTTGAAGTTGTCAAAGTCGATCGTGTTGTCATAGTGGTATTGGTATAGGTCGCGTGCACGAAGACCCCGACCCTGGAGGCAAAATATTGAAACACAACCTCATTCTTCTGTGAATTATTGAAACACAACCTCACTTTTTCATTTGGTTACAGAGGAATCAAAAGGTTGAAATGGTTTTTCACAATATTTTGGCATACCAATCGTGTTTCTTGCGTTATTCATTAATTCAAGCATGCCTTCGCATTGTGCTGTTGTACAATGCACAAAAAATGCAGCAAGAGACTAGAGAATATGATTTTTCAGGTAAATAGTATTCTCACATAGTTAGCATTATGAAATGTTGTCATTCCTTATTAAAATTCCTTCTGCCTTCTGCCACTTCTGCAATACAATCTTATGCTGCTAATAGATTGAAAATGTCTACAACACACACGATCGTCAGCATGTCAGACCAGTCCTACCGATTGATTGCAAGAATCCAATCTTCTCGCATTATTCTAGAAATTTCAGGTATATTTCTATTAGCTGATCCTATTGCAGAAAGAATTCCGATGAAAAATCAGAGAAATAACCAAATTTCAAAAATGAAAACTATGTGAGTGACTATAGTAGGTACTTACTTTTGAATCATAATGTACCATCCGAATTTCTTCATCTTCCGCTGCAGTTTTTGTGCATATTACAACAGCACAATGTGATGGCATTAGCGAATTGATGAATAGCGGAAAATACGATTCATATGCCAAAATAATTGTGGAAAACTATTTCGATCACTTGTAAACAAATATGTTTTGCCTCCAGGGTCGGTCATCTGACAGTTCTTGCACGCGACCTATTGGTATCGACAGGTTAGATGGTTAGATGTGATATGGGGTGTTTCTGGTTCTTCCTCACAGAATCTGCAGGTACCATCCTCCTGTAAGATGTTCTTTGAGTCTGCAATGCTCCGTTAGAAATCCCGTCTTTGCTTTGAGACTTCCTTTGCTGAGGTTTATCAGTGTCTTAGATCTTTCTCGGTTAAAATTTCCGAAGAGATCTTTAGCCTGCCGCAGTCCTGGAAGTCTTCTCCATTGTCTGGCTCTCAAGGCTCCTTCCGCCTTTTCAAGTTCTCCATGAAAATGGGAATTTCCAAGGCCGCAGAATGGCTCTGGTCTGATCAGTGGCGTTGCTTGGCTGCTTGGCTATCGGATAAAATCGCGATATCCTTCTTCCGGTATTTCATGTCTATGTTGAACTAGGTGCATATCTTTCTATTGCGTGTATTTTCGCTTCAAAAATGCTGGGAAATTGTCTCATGGATTCGAAGAATTTGGTGCGAGGCCCGAAGACCCCTGCTCCAGTTCCTTCGGGTGTTTTAGACCCGCCGTATACCAAGTAATGGTGTTCCTTCCCCAGCGCTTCGATGGATTTTATGCTCCATTCGCGCTTGTTGCTCAGTTCCACTCGGAAGTTCTCCTCAAAACTGAACTTCCAAATGATTTGCTCTGTTGGTAGATCGGCCAGGTGTGCAATCCCAGTGGGAGGTGAGCCCCTTGCACTGTGTGCGTTTTTCCTCTTAGTCCGACCTTGGTCAACCTGAGATGCAGGTACCTATCAAAATTTATTCTCGAAGAAACAGAAGGAACAGAATCGATCATCCTGTATATGTACATATTTCTGGAGACGAAGCTGAATCAATTTGAAATAAAACGAACTGATTGTTTGGAACATTCTATTATACACTTAGGAATATTATATCTCATTGTTTTTTTCAGATCCAGGAGTTTCAATATTATTACTGACATGTACGTGGTATCCGGTTTCACTAATTTCGACGTCTTTGGAAGTCAAGAAACTCTGCGAAACCTCTTCTCTGCCATTCTCTGTTATAACATTGTTGCTGATATACACATTGATGACCGGTTCAGTGCTACACTGACTAACAGAAATTTTTCTACTATCAGCAATGTTTCCAGATCTAGGTCCTGTAGGCATTTCGCAAATGAAATGTCTCCTTTCGTAGCAATTCTCGTCCAGCCATTCTCCATCATGATCGATTTCAATGCATTTTTTATCCGTTTTGAAGCTAGGTTGGTCTCTGGCCCAGTTGGCATACGATAATTGTTGAGAGCCGATAGGCCAGGTCCAGACACTATCTATTTTTCTGCCCGACGTCCAAAATGGTCCTGGTACACCTAAAAAAATTGTCAAGTTTGAAGAAAGTACCTCAATGTTATAATATTCAATCATTTATTCATTCATTTATTGACCTCATTACAAACACCGATAGGTAATTACACTAATGTTTGATAGAGTCTGAGTATCGTTTCAATTTTGAAAGATTCACTATTTCTTATGATAAAACTCAAAGATTTAAATGCCTTATTGACTATATTGTTATAATGTGGTCTTTTATTTCGTTCCGTGGTTCTAGTTTTTCACCATTAATTATATAGTTATGTTTGTTTTCCGGGTGAAGGTCACACCGGAGCATTTTTTATGTTCATTGACATTTTGTTAGCCTTAAACCAATTTGAACTGACATTGGTTATATCTGTCTGTAACGGGAAACAATCCTGTGGGGTGGATATTGTTTTGAAGAATTCAATTCATCAGTGAAGAGCAATCCCATCGATTCAGAAAGACAAGCAGGAAGGGAGTTGATGAATAAAGTGAATGATAATGGACCTAGGGTACTACCTTGCGGTACTCCTAAGCTATATATTCCTTTGAGGTATTTCTGCCAACTTTTACTAGGAGTTCCCAGTGCCACAGATATGATTTAAGAAACAGAGAAATATAGGTATATGAGAGAAGAAACAGGTTGAGAAACTGCACACGGAAAGTTTTGGATATGTGCTCTGAAATTTGTTTCTAGTTCTTGTGAATTACTCCTAACAGAACTGATGAATTTCGCAATATATATAAAATATGCGAAATTTCTCTCGTATATATCCATATAACAGCTTACAACTCTTCAAATAGATGCTCAGTCCATATTGAAGATGAGCTCAAAATTAGTTTTTGATAAACTGCATAACTCTCTACTAACTCAACCGAATACCCTCTCTAATGGCTATTGAACTTACTTGAATCTATCATCAGCAGTTTGATACGATCATTGTCCTCCTTATTAAAGATACTGATTAGCTGCATATTGTGATATTCACAGTAGATTTCAGCTTGTGCTTGAGTTGCCTAAAATTCAATTCGTGTTTCAATAAGGCAATTTGATCAATTTGGCTACAATAAATTATCAAATTTAGAGAAACATAATTCAGCAAATTAGTCGAAGAACATCCTACGTTCATTTGATATAATATGCAGTCTCCATTTTGTTATTCTAGGAAACTGCCTCTGCAAATGGTATATCAAAATTATAGTTCTCAACTTACTATTAGATCAATTTCCATGTGATATTTATGTCCCTCAACGTAATCGTACGATATAGATCCTGAAGAAGTCATCGTGATTTTGTACTTCCATTCATCATCTGCAAGAAGATAATGATATTTCATCAAATTTAGTAGGTACAAAGTTTCTTCAAAATATGTGGTTCTAATTCTTTTACAGTTATAATGCCGAGCAGGTATATATATTTCGACTCGTACCATTCATTGATTCTTCTTCAGCAAGTAGAGGAGTAGAAGTATATTTCCTTTTAGGTATTGCAGTGGTAGTTCTGATCGCTTTCACATTCCCTCCCTGGCTTCTCCCAACATTATAAGTTCCTCCATCGGCACAATCATCGTTGTCACAAGTTGTTTCACAGATAAAATGACAACTGAAAGGAAAAAATCATAGTAGTAGTAGTAGTAAAAAGACATAAAATCTTGATTTGTTGCTGGAATAACAGCAATACCTTTCACAAACATAGCTTTGTGGACCATAATCAATAGACATTATGAGCAATGCCAAAGCTTGAAAAGTCTGCAATAGAGTCAAGAGAAGTTAATGAAGGAAACATTTTATAGAGCTAAGAGAACATCATTTCATTCAAATGGATCAAAAATGAAGCAGAAACCTACTAAGAGTCAATCATCCAAAGCAGTAAGAACTACATATAGTGTCCCTTGATAAGTCAACTCTATGCAAGTTAACTCAAAACTAGTATCCCAGATAACACACATACATCCATTGGATGTCCATTTTGAATCCATTAGGTAGCCGGATGTCCATGGATGTCCAATGGACATCCATTGTGTATATGTACAATGGACATAGAGATTTGTACATACAATGGACATCCATTTTGTAGTTGTACAATGGACAACGAAATTTTTACAGCCAATGGATATCCATCATACTTATCCAATGAAAATCGTTTCGCAAAGTATGTATGTGTCATTTATGACTCTTCTATTTCAATTGAAATATTTTCACCAATAATATATAATATATTATATATGAACATTAATCACGGACAACTTCGCACTCGGTACTATTTTTCAAGATTTTATACGTCTCATCATTTTTGTAGGTTACGTATACCTATATAGAGGTAGGTACTTATTTTGAAGTTGATTTTCATCCAATTTCAATTTTGAACCATTTAGACCGTGCAAATAAGATCGATATGGGCAAATATTATACGGCGGGTTTCTTTCGAAAAAGATGAATCACCCTGTAACATTTTTGATAAGGGCCGTGTAAAAGCTTTATTGCGGCACTAAATTTCAGCAAATTGCATTTTCTCTCGATGTGAAATACCGTGAATACGAAATACTTGCTATAATATTTATAACAGCTCAGTGGTCCAGAGGTTAGCGTTGTGATCCACGAGAGCGGGGTCCGGAGTTCGATCCCCCCCTCAAAGGACAACTTTTTTTTAATTTCTACGTTCTGGCTGGACAAAATTTGGATATCCAATGGAAATCCAATGTATTCCTGATGAGTATCCAATAAACTTATCATTGGAATGGACATAAGTTGGATTTTTGGTAGACATCCATTAGAGTTCTGATGTGTATACAATGGTATTTCAAATGTAATGGACATACAATGGATCTTCATTGGGAATCCATTGGATGTCTGATGAGTATCCAATAGACTTCCAATGGAAAGGACAAATATTGGATGTCCAATGGAAATCCATCAGATGTCTAATGGAAAGCCAATGGACTTCCAATGTATGTCCAAACTGTTGGACATGTATTATCCAATGGATGTCCATTGGACAAATACTGGACAATGCCGTCCATCCAATGGATGTCCAGGGTATCCATAGCTGGACATCCATTGGTTTTCCAATGGATTCACTTGTGTTGTCTGGGATGGGACTGCTTAGAAACCCTAAATGCACTGGGCAGTCAGAACAGATTGACTCCAGCATGGGTACCAGCACATACAGGGTACCAGGGCAATGAAGAGGCAGACTCACTTGCTCGAGCAGAAGCAAACAAAGCTCTTAATTATCCAGAACCCTTCTGTGGTATTGCGAAAGCTATACAAAAGACTAGTATCAAATCATGGATGCAAACCAAATCTCAAGAATGGTGGAACAACTCGCCAGGAATGAGACAGGCAAACGAGTTTATTAAAAAACCATCGTCAACATTCACAGAATATCTACTAAGCCAGAAACGAAGTTCAACTAGAATACTAGTGGGACTTCTCACAGGGCATTGTAGGCTCAACAAACAAATGAGTACGATAGGTCTGACTGAAGAACTGCTGTGCAGGTTCTGTCAAGAAGAGGAAGAAACAGCAGTACACATACTTTGCCACTGTGATGGCTTGTCACTAAGGTCCCTAAGGTTCCTTACGCTGGGTGAGGAAAAACCAGGAGCCCAGAGATTCACAAGAGATCTGAAAGCTAGCATATGGAGTCTCATAGAGAAGGCGGGGCTAGCCGAAGAACTCTAATCGATTTTGAGGGCAGACACAATAGATCTGGAAAGGTCGCAGTGTGGAGGCAGATAGTTCGAAGGCCCCATTCCAAATCTAATCTAATCTAGTCCCTTGATACTATAATTTATGCTGATGATATCACCATCCTATGGAGTACTAACGACTTGGATCAGTTAACAGATAGGATAGCTGAACACAAGGTGTCCCTCCTGGAACTGCATCGATCAATATATAGAAGAGAGATAGAGATTTTGAAAATTTGAGAGTTCACTATTGTTGATAAGTGCTCTCCAGCTGAAATATTTTAAAGATTGTAGCGTTTTCGGTTGCACTGGAAGTGTACCCCAACTTGGTTTGAACGGAACACCCTGTATATTATCAAGGTTATCAGAACATCGTGATATTACTCATATATGACGATCCCATGACCTATATGAAACTGTCGTCTCCATGTCATAACAGGTTAGGTTATGTTAGGTTAGGTTTCTATATAGATTCGTGATTACCGTGATGACGTGGTCTTACCGGCTCGAAAGGAATATGCAGCGTACTATCCATAGGCAACACCATTTTGATTGGTTGTTATATCGCAGTAGTTGACAGTTCCAAATATATCTTGGAGTTGTCATTATAGCATAGTCGATTCAAAATGACTTGAAGCACCTCGAGAAAAAACATACAGGTACGCAGAGCTTCTTTTGAAGTTCGTTTGAAGTCCGTGCACGTGACAGACATTCACAGGTTGGATTTTTTCAACTCATAATTTTTTCAACACCACGTATGATATACATCAATTCATTGAACAACTGACAAACGCTCCAACTGACTTTGGATAAACTATACCAGGCTCTAATCAAAATTACCTATTCCATAATCTACTTTGACATAACATTATCTGAAAGCATCAAAGTATATACAACCATATTCCCACTGGTATGAAGATATTGAAAATGTCATATGAAGTTCCGTAGTTCAGTAAGTATTGTGATCTAGAAGGCTTATAATTCTATCAATGAAATCTAATGTGGTAACTTATGTTAGTCTCGATGTTTGTTTATGCTCTATATTGATTGTTTTTCAAGAGTTGTAGTTTTATGTTAAATTGTTCAATACTTTATATAGTCATTATCTTTGGCGAGAAACCTTCTTTGACTTGTTCTGACTGATACCTATATACTCACGTCTCACTACACCTACTGTCTTTCCAAAAAAGCCCTTTGTCTTTCTGTTGGACCAGTTGCAAGCAAAGTTCATCATTGCCATCTGGTTGCCCTGGAAGCCAATTGGTGTACTCCACGTGACTCCCTTTGGTCAACCAGATCCAGGTCTTGCTGTCCAGAAGCTTGGTGCCAGAGGTCCACCAATCAGTCCCACCATCTAGACAACATAATGTCATTGAGCCCTCTGATTGTCAAAAAGACCAACAAGCAGGGCGGATCCTAGCTACCGCATATCTATTGTGCAAAAACTCACAATAGATCGAATGAATATGCTGAATTTTGAATACTTGTTGAAGAATCAGAGTAAGTCCGTTACCACCGATAAAACAAGGCCAGCAGACTCTGACGTAAACAGCTCGTGACGTCGCATACTCAGGCCATCTTCCAAGGCATTCTCTTGTTGTTTATTCATCAAAATAATTGGCGGAGAAATTACTGTTGTGTGAAATATTTCGTGTTGTGATAGGCGAAATAACAATGCCTTACAAGTGTTGTGTTCCCTTTTGTCGGGGGAATTATGTGGGTGGCCCAAAAGTTCATGCTTTTAGATTCCCGTTGGACAAGGAACTATCGAAAAAGTGGGTACATGCAATTCACCGCAAAGATTTTACGACTCCATCTAAGTACAGTAAAGTATGTGAATTACATTTTACTAAAGATGATATTATTACTTCATCTACTGCAACCGATTCAAAAACTGGCAAGACTGTAACAATAGATTTGAAAATTCCTAGGCTCAAACGAGATGTTATTCCCACTCAATTTCCCAACTGTCCATCTTATTTATCGAAAGATGTAAAATTACGCACAAGTCGTGATGAAAAACTTGAGATACTAGAGACTAAAAATTTGGCACAAGCACTTACCAAAAGTAAAACTGAATTCGAAAATTACCAAAAATCATTTTGCTACACAGAATTTCAAGAATTTCTAGTTGTATTAGAGTCTTTTCAGTTGCCCGAAAAGTGGTTCAAAATTATCGATTTGCAAAAAGTCACATTATTCAAATTGTCTTATTCTCCAGGGCCCGTAATTACATATTCGGTTGTGATTGATTTTGTTTTGAATGTGGAATCATTTTTGTATGACCTAGCGATACAAACATCTCTGAAAGCCAATCTGAAAACACCTTTTATCTCTAATAATATCAATCAAATCGAGGAATTACTAATTGAAATAGATAAAAACGAGATACATAATTCGGGAAAATGTCTTGATAATCAGAAAAAGAGGGTTTTGAAACATATTTCGAATGCATTGGACTCTTTGGTTTCTGACTCAATACATTCTCAAATTTCTTTCTGAAAACGGTCATTTGCCTCGTGGCAATGAATGCAGAATTCATTATAATGATCAAATTGCAACTATTATATTAACATGTACTACAAACAATCTACTCAAAAATTACTGTTTCAAGTCTAACGACCAATTGGGTAAAAAATCCAAGAACAGGAAATTGGAAACACTCACTGGCTAATTTTTCAGGTAATAGGAATTCTTCAAGATAAATATAGGTAATTAGGTATAACAAACGGCATGTCTATCAAACTAAAATACATTTTCCCCAATTTTCTTTCGATCAATCTCATGATAAGTTTATGTTCTACGGGCCCTGTATAAGTAGGTGTGAAGTTTACCTCTAATGAGATTGAATCACTAGAATTTTTGCCAATATATTCAAATCGAATGGGTTGCTGTAGGTGGGTATTTGTGTTTTATTCTGGTTTTTGCTTTGAAACTCCGTTTTTCCATAATAAAATCGAATGGGATGCGAAGAAGGGCTCAGTTGACGGCTGGCATCCTCTTTCAACTGGAAGCCCTTAAAAAAAATGCAAAATCGGCTCAATAATGATCTAAAACTAAAATCGAAATACGCGGTCGCCTTATAGCGCTATAAGCGCTTGTCGTTTCGAGCCGCTGGTTAGGCCCGACTAAGTGACGTCACCCACGGAGCATGCAGGCCTTGTTTTATCGGTGTTTTATCGGTGGTAACGGTAAGTCCCGATTTCGCGTAGAGCATAGAAAAGAATCCCAGATATAGAATTTCTATCGAAAAAACTCAACAAACGGCATATTTTCAAGATTCTGAAGGATGTCTCCTTCAACTGTGTGGCAACTCATTTATGACATTTAAATTCTCTATAGAGGGGCGGCATATTAGGACTGAAGGCGGAGACACCCTAGGATCGGCCCTGCAAACAATAGTAGGGAAGCCCAAGCGGGGATTTCGGGATTTACTCGAGCACGGCAGATTAACATAAGGGGGTCATCCTTGGACCTTGTGAAGTACTCCCACCATACCTGGACCCTTAGCTTTATGTGGTGTCGAAAGTTTAGGGCAGCCGATCAGATTACTTAGTAAAAAAAACGATCGTCAAAAATACTCCAGTGCGTCAGATTAAGACATGGTACGTTAATTACAAGCAGAAAGGTGTGCATTTCAATAATCTGACGATTTGAGCGTGACATAAGGAAATGATGGAGCCACAAAGTTGCAAAAAAAATCGTCGTACATTCTCGAGCGCGGTTAATTTTTTTCTTATTTTGAAGGCAATTAGTCACTGATCACAGAAATATCATAATCTGCTGATTTGCACATGCCGAAGTGGCGAAAATCATCAATTAAGTGTGGAATCTGAAAATGTAATAAAATACAAGGTGTGCTATGAGGAAAAGTATAACTTTGATACGCCTCGCATTTTTGAGTAACCCTGAATATCTACTGAGTCAACTAAAATACTAGTGGGACTTCCCACAGGGCATTGTAGGCTCAACAAACACATGAGTACGATAGGTCTGACTGAAGAACTGCTGTGCAGGTTCTGTCAAGAAGAGGAAGAAACAGCAGTACACATACTTTGCCACTGTGAGGGCTTGTCAAGACTAAGGTTCCTTACGCTGGGTGAGGAAATACCAGGAGCCCAGAGATACACAGGAGATCTGAAAGCTAGCCTATGAAGTCTCATAGAGAAGGTGGGGCTAGCCGAAAAACTCTAATCGATTTTGAGGGCAGACACAATAGATCTGAAAAGGTCGCAGTGTGGAGGCAGATATATCAGAAATGTACTGCTCATGAGACTAGACCATCTCAAGATTTTTTGTTCATTTTTCTCAAACAGCAAAGCCGTTATCTCACTTTGCCACACTATTGGTCCGCACCCTGTATGTCTACATCAGCCTTATTTCATCTCAAAATTGTGAATTCTTCGAGCTGTTGAAGTTCTGCTACAAAAAACTAACCTACCCTGTATATTTTGTATTTTAGTTATTACATTCAGTTAACAACAAAAGTCCAACCGTCAGATTGGGGTAATTCCTTTACATAATTGTCAGATTATGGGTCGATTCGACAAGGACATTGAGATGAAGCGTCTGTATAATAATCTGACACGCTCGAGTATTTCAAGGTCACGTTTTTTTTTTCATTTCCAAAAATTGATCAGTACTTTTGGTCGCGTCAAAATCGTCAGTCTTTGGAATTTGAGCTACTTGAGGATTCATTATCTAACGTCCCTTCTCGATATCTGACGCGCTCGAATACATTTTTTTTACCTATTCTCTATCGCTTTGTACGGCCATTCCCACCATGCAAACCGGCAGAATAATATTTTTCGGTTATCAGAAATACTTGGCGCTCGAGTATTTCTATGTGACTGTTTTTTTTTACATTTTTGAACACATGTACTTATAAACTTTTATTTCTTTTCGCATCTAATCTTCACAATCTGATACGTTCCCACGACGCTCGAGTAAATCCCTATATAGCCTCTTTGCCTATCCTACTATAACAAAATTTCAGAAATTCAATCTTGAATTGTTTCAAGTTGTTTTTGTTATATTCTGATTTTTCTTGTATTTCTGAAATCTCGTTTGAGAAAGTATGTGAAGTATTCCGAACTTTCCCATACAACCTCGTTCGAGAAAGTTTGGAATAGTTATTGTAGAATATACTATTGATATTATATTATTTATATAGATTTACTTATATCACGAATGTATTTATATATCCTATCGTTTTCCTCTGCAGATGATATGGTAACCAGCTCCATCTTGATTATGTTGCAGAACTGAATTGCTTGCAAATAATTTGTCTGAAAAGTGAAAAAGTGAATATTTCACATGTTTTAGTCAATGGTTTCAAGTGTTCTCGTGCATCTACAATGATTATTATTGTATCTCACCTTGAAATTCCTGGCAAAGAAATATCTTTTGTTATTATAGTGCAGAAGACCAATGTTAGATGAAGCTCCTGTCAACATCTGCATCCAACCTATATTATGAAACATATTATTAAACTACGAAATAGTCCCAATGCTCAGTGAAATGAAATGTTGAATGAATACAAAAACCTCAGTCACCTTTTTTTTATGTTCTGGTTCCCACGGAAAGGGATATCCTGTAATTCATTCTACTTGTTTTTTTTTATTTTCTATCCTCGTTTATATAAAATAAAAATATGCGTATTATTTATTTGTAGTGGGACAAATCAGTTGAATTTCCCCAAAATGTCACTGCGTTTAACAAATGTTTTATCAGGGAGCCTAAAAGAAAAGTCCAGTAGCTAGTCAGTGACGCTTTGTTTGAAAAAATGTTTGAAGGAAAGGAATAAAAATAAGTAGAAATTCGATATTTTTTCAATATATCTATATTTCTTTCCTTCAAACATTTTTTCAAACAAAGCGTCACTGACAAGCTACTGGATTTTTCTTTCAGGCTCCCTGATAGAAAAATATGTTCTTGGGACAAATCATCTGATTTGTCCCACTACAAATACATTCAGTTCCAAAAAAAGTGACGCACTTGATATTTGACCTATCTACTTGATAAAAATAGTAGGCCGATTTTTATTTTTTTTTATTTGTTGGTAGGTAATGCATTTGTCTTTAAAAAAAAAATTATGAGGTGAACATTTTTTCACAGCCTCCTTGATGGTGGTGGAATAACTCGAACCATGATTTATTCTTAATTTTTGACTCACCCTGTGTGTTAATTGAGTAATGGCATAGAAAGTGCTCACACCCCATACGAAAGAGGCTTCTTTTGCGAGCATTTTGTTTTTTATTCATCGATTTATCTCTGAAATGTTCCGAATTACAGCTTTTTTTGCAGAATCCTTGCAGATTACCAACTTTCTGAATTAATCGAGAAACGATTTTTTAATGATATAAACTGATACCAATAATTTTAAAAAACATTTTTATCAAACACAAAATTGGGATGACTGCTTAATACCGTGTATTGCCTCCTCTAGCAACTCTAAGAACTTCTAATCTACGAGGCATACTGGAAATTGAGTTGCTTATCGTTTCCATTGGTATACGATCCCATTCTTCCACTAATGCATCTGCCATTTCTGCGAGACTTTCCGGAGACCTCTCGCGAGAACGTACCCTTCTCCCTAATTCATCCCACAAATGTTCTATAGGATTCATATCGAGGCTTCTCGCATGCCATTGTAATGTGGTAATACCAGTAGCTTCTAAGAAGTTCCGCACTATTGCTGCGGTTTGTGGTCGGGCATTATCCTGCATCAATATAAAATTATTGCCCACTAACTCTGCATAAGGTAAGATATACTGCTCTGAAATGTCAATGTAAATTTGGGCATTCATCGACTGCCTCACCGGAGAAACATGAAGGGGTGTCTTTCCATTCATTGAAATCCCTCCCCACACCATAACGGACCCACCAGTAAAACTTTCGCATTCTGTTATTGAATTTTGATTAAACCGTTCACCAGTTCTTCTCCACACTCTTTTTCTTCCATCCACCATGTTAAGGCAAAACCTTGAATCATCCGTAAACAAGACATTCGACCATTCAGGAATATTCTACTGTCCATAATTTTCCTTTTGCAGGTCTCCTAGCTTTCAAATTAACTTCTTTTAGACGTCTACATACCGTCTGCTTACTTACTGCAACATCACGAATTTGGCGAAGATCTTGCTGAACATTTACCGCAGTATTTGATCGATTCCGTAAAATCCGCAATCTCAATAAGCGATCATCTCTTGGAGAAGTTTTTCGGGGGCGACCAGAACCAACTCTCCGAGCGGTGCTTTCTGTTTGTTCGTACTTGCGGATTGGTCTACGAGCAGTTGCTTCAAGAACTCCCACTGCACGAGCAGCGTAACTTTTACTACGCCCATCGTTTACTAACGCTACTAATCTTGCTACTTGTTCAGGATTTATTTGAGGCATTTTATGTAATTTTAGTCAATTAAACAATACACTTAATCAATGACACAACGACAAATGGTCAAATATGGAGGCATACAACAAATTAGTTGCTATGGCAACGTCATTTTGGATACTCTGATCCTTCAATAAATTTAATTTGTGAGATAAGCGTAAGGTATCAGCAAAAAAGCTGTAATTCGAAAAATTTTAGAGATAAATCAATGAATAAAAAAACAAAATGCTCGCAGAAGAAGCTTCTTTTGTATAGGGTGCAAGCACTTTGAATACCATCAGTCAATTAACACATAGGGTGAGTCAAAAATTAAGAATAAATCTTGGTTCGAGTTATTCCACCACCATTAAGGAGGCTTTGAAAAAATGTTCACCTCTTTATTTTTTTCTTAGACAAATGCGTTACCTACCTACAAATAAAAAAAAAATCGGCTTACTATTTTTTTTTTCAAGAAGATAGGTCAAATATATCAAGTGCGTCACTTTTTTTGAAACTGAGTGTATATTGAAATAATACGCTTATTTTTATTTTATAGAAACGAGGAGAGAAAATCCCAAAAAATCAAGTGAAATGAATGTACCACCTCCTCGATTAACCTACAGACAGTATATCCTGTAATGTTCAGAGAACATCGTGAGAACCAAGGGAAATAAGGTTGGAATTGGTGTTCTCCACACAATGTTCATACAATGGACAACAATGGAAGATTTCTGGAGAAAAACAACTACTTTCCTGGATAATGCCACGCAGAACATTGAATTACATCCTCCCGAAATCTATATGCATCGACTCGTATAAACGAATACTGATACAGAAGTGATTATTTCCTGAATTGATTTCGACATTGAGCTTCCTGTATTTATTCAACATTTCATTCCACTTCGATCATTGTGGCTATTTTATAGTTGAATTTGAGCCATTCGGGCAACTAGCCACTCCCGTATGGGAATTTTGGTTTTGGAGTGTTTCTTTTTTTATTTTCTACTCAGATGGCGTTGCTCCCATATGACTGCTGGCTAGAAACTACCCTGCAATGATGAGATTCAAAGAGCACGAAACCGGTCTGTAGGTGTCTAGCGTGGCCTGGCTAAATCGAAATCAATTGGCATTCAGGAAAGAATCACTTGTTTATCAGTATTCGTTTGTACGAGTCGATGCATAGATTTTGGGAGGATATAATTCAATGTTCTGCGTGGCATCGGCCAGGAAAGTAGTTGTTATTCTCCCGAAATCTACCATTGTTGTTCATTTTATAATCAATGTGTGATAATGACTTTGAGATTTTTGTATTTATTTACATATTATTAGAATAAAAGAATTCATAGAATCAAAAAATCGGCGGAATTGATAGAATAATATTATTGATAGAATTGATCAATGGAGTTAATTTTGCTGCTCACTTGCCTGTTATTGTTGGTTCTGTGTCCACGCCAGTGACATCTTCTGAGGCCGAATACCGTTCGCATATGAAGAACCGACTTTCGTCACACCTGCTATCGTGCCAGTAGAGCTCTCCATGCTTTGAAGACAGCCTGATGCATTGGGAACGATCATCATTGGGCTCACCTGGAGCCCAGTTGGTGTACTGGATGCCATCACCGTGGGACATCCATACCCAGTTTCGACCATCAAGAAGTTTGGAGCCTGATGTCCAAAAATCATCGGAACCTTTGTCTTGATAGCAAAATAATCTTAGTTGATGAATTCACTTATAATATCACGAGTATTTCCAAAATATTCGTGTTCTCGAAAAACTTTCCGAATATTAGTTGAAGCTGAAGTGGTGTTCGGAAAGAAAATTTCACACCAAACATTCTCGATCAATTTGAAGCTGAGGAATTTCAACAACACTCAGATGATTTAGTTGAAAATGATGTTTGTTTGTGATGAAATGTAAGAACTAACGTATAGTAAAAACCGTGAGCTAAAATATAATATTTGTCCTGTGTATAATACACTATTTTTTTCTGTGACAGAAGAAAGTGAAAAGATATTACATTATTGTGAAATCTGAAATCGAATTATCGACGTGAAATTTTAAGTTTTTAACAGTAGGGACACCTGCGTTGTAGGCATCTTTATCATTCGTTTGAAGTCTAATTCTGTGATTTGATTTCAAAAAATTGCGAATTTAGTGCGGTTGTTTAGTAATATACGTAACCGCGAAGTCGAATGGAAGATAAAAGGACTTGCAGTTCTTTCTCGGAGACGGTATATTGACTCATTTTTCGGAACTATAGCATAACAAAAGCCATCAACAGTGTATACGCCTCGACACGTGTTTCGCTAACTATGTTAGCATCTTCAGGAGAAGATTAAGACCGGGTGACACAGGTTATCGGGCCACCCCTGTAACTTCTGCATTCGTCAACGGATTTTTCTGAAACTTGGTACAGTTATATTAGCAACTTTTTCGGATTTGATCACATTACAATCCAATATGGCGGACTTCCGGTTTTTCTGGAAATGCCAGCAATTTTGTTTTTTCAAATGGAACACCCTGTATATTTTTACATATTCAAGTTCAACAGGTCAAAACAAGTGCAATCTTGATGTCAAATGTCATTTATTCCACAGCCTACCTAGTTGAAAAATCATTCTAACTGCAAGGAAATTCATAAGTAAACTAGTTATTGATTTTTGAATGTATACAAATTGTCACTGCACCGACACCCAAAAATGATATGTAATTTTCTTCCTCAATGTATGTTCTAGAGAGACGGGTAGGTGGCCCATAGGGGTTCCATTTGAAAACAAATATTTTTTTATCAAAAAGTGATGTGGCTGAATTGATTCCTGGATAAGTGACACAAAAAATAATTTTTCAGAAAAAAAATATGTTCTTTTGTTATGTGTGACTCATTGTGAATAGCTTTGACCACATCTCATTTATCCACGAGGTAAAATGAAAAAAACAATTTTAATTTAAATTTTTTCGATATCCGGGAAAAAAGTACTCACTTTTTTCCCACAGGAAAAAAGTGATTTATGAAGAGTGACATTTTATAACCTGTTAACAGAGATGAAATTCCAAACTTTTTTCCCGTCACAGAAAAACAATATTTTTTCTACAATCTTCAAAAAACATAGCTCTAAAGTAAAAATATGCTCAGTTTCAATTAAAAAATAGTGTTGAACTGGCTGAAAAGGCTTCCCCCTTTCCTCTCTAGAAACGCACGATGTTCCACGAACATAATAGGGATTTCCTTTCGTGCGCTCCAAGAGAAAAAACAAAGTAATTGTTGAACATTCAGAAATAAATGATTTTGTGGATGTCTGCACGAATGAGGACCATAAAGTTGAAATATAAATATCTCATTTATTTTACATAACAATGCGCGAAGTAGGTATACTTCGCGCACTGTTTTACTTCGCGCATTGTTTTGTGCAAGGAATCATGGTAACGTAGAAAACTGAAAAAAAGTGTCACTTCGCAATTTGTTATCAATGCGCGAACCTTGTCATTTTTTGACGTTTGTAGAAAATAGTTATTTTTGTATCTAGGGCGCGAAATGCTACTTTGGTGATCGAGATCTGATTTTTTTAACGAGGCGTAGCCGAGTTGAAAAAATAGTCGAGATGACCAAAGTATTTCGCGCTCGAGTTGCAAACAAAATTTTTTCTACAAACGTCAAAAAATATAGTTTTAATGTAAAAATATGCTTAGCTTGATATGAAAAATAGTGTCGAACTGGCTTAAAAGGTCTCCCCCTATCCTCCCTAGGTACGCACGATGTTCCATGAACATAAAAGGAATTTTCTTTCGTGCGCTCCAAGAGATAAAACAAAGTTATTGTTGAACATTCAGAAATAAATGATTTCGTAGATGTTTGCTCGATTGAGGACCTTAAAGTTGGAATATAAATATCTCATATATTTTACATAACAATTCGCGAAGTAGGTACTTCGCGCACTGTTTTACTTCGCGCATTGTTTTGTGCAAGTTATCATGGTAACGTTGAAAACTGAGAAAAAAGTGTCACTTCGCAATTTATTATCAATGCGCGAACCTTGTCATTTTTTGACGTTTGAAGAAAATAGTTATTTTTGTATCTAGAGCGCGAAATGCTACTTTGGTGATCGAGATCTGATTTTTTTAACGAGGCGTAGCCGAGTTAAAAAAATAGTCGAGATGACCAAAGTATTTCGCACTCGAGTTGCAAACAAAATTTTTTTTACAAACATCAGAAAATATAGTTCTAAAGTGAAAATATGCTCAGCTTGATATGAAAAATAGTGTTGAACTGGCTTAAGAGGCTTCCCCCTATCCTCCCTAGGTACGCACGATGTTCCACGAAGAAAATAGAAATTTCCTTTCGTGCGCTCCAAGAGATAAAACAAAGTTATTGTTGAACATTCAGGAATAAATGATTTCGTGTATGTTTGCTCGATTGAGGACCATAAAGTTGAAATATAAATATCTCATATATTTTACATAACAATGCGCGAAGTAGGTACTTCGCGCACTGTTTTACTTCGCGCATTGTTTTGTGCAAGGTATCATGGTAACGTAGGAAACTGCAAAAAAGTGTCACTTCGCAATTTGTTATCAATGCGCGAACCTTGTCATTTTTTGACGTTTGTAGAAAAAATATATTTTCAGTCATCTAGAAATTCCTATAAAGCGAAATATGAATTATTTAATATTTGGCAACTTTGAGAAATATCAGTGACAAATGCATGACTACTTACTTGCTTCTCGAATATATTTTTGAATTCTGTCATTCTCTTCACGTGATCTGATGGTAAGTAATTTCATATGGATATTATCACAAAACTGCATGGCTTGCATATACTTTGCCTGAAAGGCAGAAGTTATTCGGGAATTATGTCATACTAAACATTTTTGCATGGTAACATGGATTTTGTTATAGTCTATTCAAAGTCAATTATAGCGGCTCTATAGCAAAAAATATACGATGCGCCATTTCGGTCCATTTGAAATTCAAAGGAAGTGGTTGCACTCCTTGCCAGAGGCGCTCCAACTGACTTTGGAAGACTGTACCTACATACTTTCACTCCTATTCCTAAGTAATAACTTTTGGGGCCGTAATGGTGTAGAGGAATGACAGAGGAAATATTGTATGCAAAAACATGCTCCCATCCTGATACTGAAACAAAAAAAAATCGTACGTAAAATCGTTCCATGGATTTAACAGCTTATACAGGGTGTTTCAAAGAAACCTAACCCACTTGCTAGGGTAGGTAGAACATTGCAAAATAAGTTGGGTTTGCTCAGTGAAAAAATGTCGTAACGGCATCCGTTTTCATGATACAAGGTGTTGAGAAAATTTTTTTTTACACATTTTTCACGATTATTCCGAAACTACTAGCAACATTGTAATGAAATTTTGTATGGATGTTTCTTGAAATCTGACACATCGCTTGAATTTGTTTTAATATCTCACTCTCAGAGGGCGCTAGTTACATGGTTCGTACCGAGTAGTTTTGTACATAACTTTTTTGAGGTTAGATTTCTCAATCCAAATATGATAAATGAACTTGAACATCATTCAATTTTACACCAAAAAGGTACTGCTGGTCTGGTGAAACTCGATACTATGTTCCGTTTTCGGAATATTTCGATTTGAAAATAATGGAGTAGTAATGATGCTGGTATAAAATGAATTTTATTGAGTTCAATTACCTATTTATTCAGGTTCAAAAAGAATGAAATTATTCTTGTGCTGAAGTTATTGATGGAACAAAGAATTATGAGTAGAAAATTAAGAGATATTTGACTACAAACTTGAAATATTTAATCAGTTAGAGTATGTGTTCAAAATGTCCTACGTTTCGAGGAATACACGATTCTATATTCTTTTTTTAAAAATGAATTATTTTTCTGAACAGTTGAGGATCAGCTGTTAGGTCATTTAAGTGATGTTCAATTATATCTCAGAACTCTTGACGTGAATTTACCTATGTAGCATAGACTTTCTGCTAAAGATACAACAAAACTGTGTAATCCATGTTCTTAGTCAAATCTGTTTCGATGTTATTCTTGTAATTCATTGTTAAATCGATGAGTTTTGCATCAGAAATGTATTGTTGTGTTCGGTTTTCAATAAATAGGTGATCATTTTTCATAATACCCACTCTAATACATAGCTTTATACCAGCAACAGTTACCACTTCATCATTTTCAAATCGAAATATTCCGAAAGCGGAACACAGTATCGAATTTTTCAAAGAGTACTTTTTTGGTGTGAAATTGAATGATGTTCAAGTTCACATCAAATTTGGATTGAAAAATCTAACCTCAAAAAAGTTATGTTCAAAAGTACTCGGTACGAACCGTGTAACTAGCGCCCTCTATGAGAGTCAGATATAAAAACAAATGCATGCGATGTGTCAGATTCCAAGAAACATCCATACAAAATTTCATCGGAATGTTGCCAGTAGTTTCAACATAATCGTGAAAATGTGTAAAAAAAATATTGTTACAACACCTTGTATCTTGAAAACGGATGGCATTACGTTATTTTTTCACTGAGCAAACCCAACTTATTTTGCAATGTTCTACCTACCCTAGCAAGGGGGTTAGGTTTTTTTGAAACACCCTGTGTATAGGTAATCACTGTTTTGGACAAGAACTATGACATGAAAACTGAATTCAATGATTTAAATTAAAAAACTTTGAAACAGTTGAAATTCTGTTTCAATCAGGACCTCTTTCTTTCGTTTGGATATTATTTTGACCTGATAATATCCTGTATAATATCGAACATTATATAGATTGAATATTTTGCAAGGGAACTAACCTTTCCTATTTTCTTCATCTGATTCGAGATAAAATGCAGAGCAATTGAAGGACACCAAAACTACCAACAGTAACAGTGATACGATCTTAAACATTATGTTGTTGAGAATGATAGTTCATTTATGAATCAGTTAACTTTATATGTATTTGCAATTCAATTCCGCGAATAATTAAGGTAGGTTATGTGACCTCAGGTCTCAGGAAAATTTCAAATTGTTCGCAGGGAATTCCAAAAACTGGATGTTCAAGTAGGTATTGTCTAACCTAATAGGTATTTAATTTAATATTGTCAAATGTTCACTTTTCATTTCTCGCCAATATTGATTTTATATTTACCAATATAAAACTCTACGTATATTCGATTAATATCGGTGTGAAAATATTTTATCAATGTTTCTAAAACGACATTGATGCATCATGCTTGTTTTCAATATTACACCCACATTTTGAAACTATAATATTGTACTAATATCGCCGAATGTTCACATTTTGTTTCCAGCCAATATTACGTTCACAATATTTAGCCGATATTTTCCTAATGTTGCACCGATATAATTATGATCCCTTTATGCATTATATTCAACACATCCATGCAGTCTGGTACTTTTCCAGATGTTTGGAAAACTGCTTTGTCAGTTCCAATTTACAGAAATTCTGGAAGTAGAAACTCAGTGAATAATTAACGTGGCATAAGCGAATTATCCATTTTCAGCAAACTGTTTGAAAGTATTATCTATGACAGTCTATTTCATTGTCTCAAGTCTTTAATGTCAGAACACCAACACGGTTTTTTCTCCAAGAGTGCAATATAAACTAACTTGATAATTTATTCAGAATACATCTCAAATGCACTAGACAATCGAGCACAGGTGGACTCGTTGTACACTGATTTCAGTAAGGCTTTTGATAAGGTTGATCATAACATCCTATCTCGAAGCTTGCTGGAATCGGTGTGCAGGGAGATCTCTTGAGATGGTTATCATTCTACTTACACAATCGAAGCCATATCTCAATGGATATAGGTCAGCACCGTTTGTGGTCACTTCAGGAGTTCCGCAGGGTTCACATCTTGGCCCTTTGTTGTTCTCGGTCTTCATTAACGATTTGATAGGGTGCTTTGAACAATCCAATATACTCTTATATGCGAATGACTTGAAAATTTTTGGAAAAGTAACCTCTCTTAAGGATTGTGCGAAGATTCAAGGAGATCTATCAAAATTTTCAATTTATTGCAATCGCAACAGATTGAAACTAAATGTCAAAAAATGTGCTTGTATATCATTCAGCAAAAGCAGTACGCCGATTGAATTTCAATACCCCATAAATGATATTGTAATAATTAGAGTAGATCAAATCAAAGATCTTGGAGTATATTTTGATTCTAAAATGAGCTTTAATCCACATCTGGACTATGCAATTAACACCTGCAGTAGAACCTTAGGTTTTTTTGCAGAATGTGTAGGGACTTCATACAATGAGGTGGCAATAAAATCAGTTCACTACTCATTTGTTTACAGCAAATTGAATTTTGCTAGTGTCATATGGAACCCATATTATAACATTCATAAAGTACGTTTAGAAAGGCTTCAGAATAGATTTTTGAGATTCCTTCATTTTAAAATTACTAATATGTATGTAATAACAAGTATAAGTGAAATTCGCACTCACTATAAGATACAACTTCTCGAACAGCGAAGAATTATCAATGATTTACTTATCATTTTCAAAATATTAACAAACTGTTATGACTCACCAAAATTAGTGTCGATGATTTCCTACCATGTTCCTCAGAGGTATACCAGATAAAGACAATTATTAGCGTGCTCCAATTGTAATACAAATTTAGGTAGAAATTCTCCAATGACCAGAATGTGTGATTTATTCAACAAATATTGCAATGATGTAAACATTTTTTCCATATCTTTATATTCCTTTAAAATAATTACAAAAAATATTTTCATTTCCTAATGTCACGATGATGAGTAATTAGTATTCATTAATGAAAATGCTTACTATTTTTCCCCTATCGTATATATGTCATTTTCGTACCTCCTATGTAATTAGGTGTATTTTTGTATTTGTTTAGACATGAATGTTAGCTCTGTAACGAATTGTATTAGTGGATGCTTGTATATAAGTAACAACTTGTTAGTATCTCAAATTTCGAATAAATAAATAAATAAATGAATATATGTGTAACATTTGGTAGGGTAGAAGTCCATACTGCTCAAAGTGGAGTGAAACTTTCGAAAGGATGGAAGGAATGCTCGTAGTCATCTTCACAAATTTGTTTTGCAAGTGTAAATTAGGCAGAGGAAACTTTCTTCTCATATTTCCTAAATTAGCACTAATTATCTATAACCCGGGAATTTCCAATGCATATAAATCTGATCTTGAATGCGGAAATGGACCACAGATAAATTAACAAAACAAGCAAAAACAAAATACAGATAAGCTGTTTTAGATAGCAGAAGAAGAGATATATTAAAGTTCAATGCAAATACCCCTTTATATAGAAATGCTATCGAATTGCTTATAGCATTATCACATAGAAAACCTATAAGGTCTCTAACGATGCCGATTCCAAAAATTTGTTTTTCACTCACGTTATTTATCATTTCATCATTTGTGATTGAATCTATACAAGGTAAGAAACCAATAATAATAATGATGAGAACTTAACATTTCCATTTCGAATCTGAATGGGTCAAATATCTCAGGAAATATTCATTATATTCAATAATTACAGGAAGGTTGCTTAATACAACTTTGCCGGTTTTTTAAACGCGTCAACTTCTATATTTCAAGTTAAAGATTTCTAATAAAGATGGCTAACAAAACCGGAAACGGAACGGAGAGAACTTCCTGGGAGTTTTTCACTTTATGATATTGTCTGATAAATTATATGCATTATAGGGCATCATATACATGGTGACATAAAAAAAAGCATAGCATAGTGCCACACAATAGGGGATACTAAAGTAAAAAAAAAAGTTCCTATGAACATGGGTCCGCAAGGCCTTCGCGGTTAATAGATACGGGGTGTTGAATTCAGAATTTTTTTCGGGTTTTATTTGAATATCTTCAGCCAGAGACGCAAGAAATGGATAAAATGTGGTATACAGGGATTTTTTATCATGCTTAATTCAAATATGATCTTAGTTTTGTGATGACTGATAGAGGGCGCTACATACAGGGTTCCATCCCTATTGAATCGGTCGTAACTTTTTTGCTATACACTGTATGTCATTTTCGACGGAAAAATTTTGTTATCCCTTCTTTTATACTTCCAGTACAAATGCATCTAAAAGCCGACAATGCATGCAAATTATTCAAAAAGCGCCAAAGTAACTTTTGCAAAAACAATGATGAATACTTCAACAATTACATTTTAATGGTATGATGAAAAATATAATTAATTAGAACAAAATATTTAGTTTTTAGAAGATGTTCGAATTGTTGCCCTTGTACTTCAATACATTTTTCCATTAAAATTCAACACCCCGTATCTTTTAACCGAAAAGGCCTTGCGGACCCATGTTCATAGGAACTTTTTTCCTTATTTTAGTGTCCTCTATTGTGTGGCACTATGCAATGTACTTCCCAATCAGCCAAAGTACGTCTTAAAGGCGTCTTTAAGACGTACATGTCGGGACATAAGTACGTCTTAAAGACGTACATATTACGCCCAAGAGACGTCTTTAAGACGTCTTCAAAACGTACATTTTCCACTAATATGTACGTCTTTAAGACGTCTTTTTTAGGTGTTTTTGGTCCATGACCTCAAATTGATCTTTCAAATTACGGAAAAATCACATAGTTTCAGTTAATTTTCACCTGTGCACTGAAGTTAGCAACAAGTGCAGACAAGCAAAAAAAAAGGGAAATAAACGACTTCATCAAACGGTAGACACAAGCGGTCACCCATTCACAAGTACTAACCGCGCTCTTTGTTGCTTGACTTCGATGATTATACCATACTCACTTCTTCTGTTACTCTGTTTGTTCTATATATCACATAACAAGCTTTTACTTAATTCAACATGTCCTTGTGTCTGTTTGTAATCAAAACGTGCAAGTTAAATTTGACTCACTTTAAATCGTCCGATTGATTTGAAATTTGGCAAGTAAATATTATTATGGTGACAATTCGTTGTGATATTATTAATGAATGGAAAAAACAGAATGGCGGATCCAATATGGCGGACGATTTTCTCATTGATTATGTTCCGATTCGAATCAAAATTCAATATTCAAGATGGTGAATCCAAGGTGGCATATGGTTTTTTGATTATGGTCTGATCTGATTCAAAATTGGCATCTGAAGGATTTCGGGATCAGAGATTATAATTCCTTTTGTCGAAAATGAAAAATCCAAGATGTCGGCTTCAAAATGGCGGACGAGTTTTGTGATTATAGTCCGATTTTATTCAAAATTGATTACTATGGGACTTTTGGGGTCGGAGAATATGATTTTTTTGTAAAAATTCAAGAATCTAACACGAAGGCTCCAAAATGTCGGACGAAAAAATTCAAAAACTTTTGTTGAAAATAAGAAAAAACTGAACAATTGAAAATAAAAAACGTGAAGAGATGACATTTTGTTTTTCTTCAGAAAATAACTTACATTATTGTTCTATAAGTCGAATTGACGTACTGGAATGTACGTCTTTAAGACGTCTTTTATACGACATGGGAGGAACGACGTGGATACGACCTAAAATGTACGTCTTAAAGACGTAAATTCGTGTACGTCTTTAAGATGTACATGGATATACATCTTAAAGACGTACTTTATACGTCCCTGGACGTAAAGACGTAAGTAAGTCGTAAAATGTACGTCTTTAAGATGTCTGGTGCTGATTGGGTTATTTCTATGTCACCCTGTATAAAAGTACTGTGGAGGGCTTGAAAAGAAAATGATGAAGTTTCTTCTCCTTGTTATTATTCCACATCATTATTAAGGTTATGTTTTTTCAGCTGATGAAGGTTGGTCAAAAGTGCATAACAACAATTTGACTTCCATAATACCCCTTCACCACTATGGAGGAAAAAGCTATTATATGGGCACGCATTTCAGAGTGAGTAAAAGTCATATCAAATATTGAAAATGTTGAGGTTGTTTTTTAATTATCATAGGCTACATACCAGCAAGCGATAGCATTTTGTGAGCAAATAAATATGAAATTATTAACGATTCGTTCACATGAGGAAAACGAAAGGATTTTCAAATATATTCGAGAAGCAAGTAAGTTTATAGAATAGTATTCTTGAACTAATAATGACCTGTCTTATCGATCCGGGTTCTATTTATAATTAAATCGATGCTAGGTTTGCAATATTCTGCAATGGGAATGGCCGTTACCTTTCGATATTGCTTACCTAGGTATTATCGCACGGTAAGCGGTTTTTGCAAATTCTAAAGGAACTGAACGTCTATCAACTCCGCTGACCTAATCGAAACTACACTGTACTGGATGTTTCAATTTGGAAAAGTTAATTTATGATAAAAGTATATTGTGTATACGTTTACACAATACAGGGTGTTCCTCAATGACATACTAATATTCATGGGAGTTATTCTTGGATCCATTTCAATCAAAATAATTTATGAATGTACAACTTATATAATATTATCGATTCTTGTTCAGCAGTTGCCTGGTAATTGAATGAAACTAATTATTTTTCATCAACTTTGGCTCCCTGAATCTCAAAAGTTAGGAAGTTTACGACATATATACGTAATGCCACACTCACCAACTCTTTGACCCTATCAGAGCACCGTAGAAAAGTCGGCAACTTTTCACTTTTCTATCATACTTTCACGCCAAATGTTCCTCAGAAATCTCTGCTATAATTCCATCACTAGCAACACTCTACCAAAACTCGTTCATCTATAGAACGGCGAAGCTTTGGAATTATTTGCCAATGGAAGTATTTCCAAGAACTTATACAACCTCCGAAAGTTCAAAAAAATTCCAACAGCTACCCCCTTTTCCTCCATAGGTACGCGCGATGTTCCACCAACATTATAACAAAAAATATAGCGCGAGTAACTTTCGAAATAATTTCGGAAACGTCTCGTTTGACCCAATTTTCGATTCGCCCAATTTTCGATCCACTTTTCGATTCACCCAATTTTCGAATCACCCAATTTTCGATTCATCCACTGTCTCCGAACATACTCGGAAGATGCGTTGTTGTCACATAATGCCACATTTCTTCGGATTCAATGAAACGGGAATTATCCCCCAATTTTGGATTCACCCAATTTTCGATTCGGCCAAGTAAGGTAGTTTGGAAAAGGTAGTCTCCTTCCTTATACTGCAAAGAATATTTTCCTTCCTTATAAACTACTCAACACTAATTTCGTCGCACACCAAAATGTCGTCCCTGTTATAATGTGAATAACTTTTTTCAGTTTAGAACAATTTGAATTTGGTTCACACTGTTCGATAGCCCAGTCCTTCAGCTATAATCTCGTACTTCATTGAAACATGAGGGTATTCACATAAAATCTCTACATGGTGTTTTCCGACACTGTGTAAAATTTCGGAATATTCAAAAGGCTCTCAAATGGTGAAAAATTTTTTTTTCTCAACTTCGACAACAGAGGCATGAAGATGATCTCATTACCTCGAGATATTTCGCGAATCAACTTCCTATCTTTCTTATTCACAGAGTGATCTCAAAAAATCAACTTTTTGGTTTTGCAGCCATAACTTTTTTCCACGTCAACCGATTTTAGAAATCTTAGACTCATTTTGAAGATAAAACTCCAGATAAAGAGATCTGAATATCAGAATTGACTCAAGATGGCTATCAGAGATCTAGAGTTTTCTTGAAAGTGACCCAAATCTGGAACGCCCTCCGAATCTCGGTTGGGAGGAGAATTGAATGAAAATCAACTTGTTCTCGGAAAAACAATTCATTCTGGATGCGTCCATATTTTCCTCGCTCTCAATAGTCAAGAATTGTGCGTGAGAAAACACAATTGAAACATGTTCTTGCAAGAACATCAGACCATTTCTCCTGTGTAATGCATGGCCCGTAACCAACGTTACAAGAATCACAATGGACTGACGAACCCGACCAGCTAAGGCTCATCATATAATATTATGATGTACCAACAACCAACAACCCTATGCGGTCTCGCATTGTCATCAACGAGAACAAAGTTGTCACCCACATTCGCGTTAGATGCGGCATCGAAACTATCGAAATCTGTTTATGATTCGAAAACGACGTCTTACCACTCTTACCTGACTTGTCAGTCACTTACTGTGATTCTTGTAACGTTGGTTACGGGCCATGCATTACAGAGGAAAAATTATCTGATGTTTCTGCAAGAACATGTTTCAATTGTGTTTTCTCACGCACTTTCTTGACCACTGAGAGCGAGGAAAATATGGACGCATCCAGAATGAATTGTTTTTCCGAGAACAAGTTGATTTTCATTCAATTCTCCTCCCAATCGAGATTCGGAGGGCTTTCCAGATTTGGGTCAATATCAAGAAAACTCTAGATCTCTGATAGCTATCTTGAGTCAATTCTGATATTCAGATCTCTTCATCTGAAGTTTTATCTTCAAAATGAGCCTAAGATTTCTAAAATCGGTTGACGTGGAAAAAAGTTATGGCTGCAAAACCAAAAAGTTGATTTTTTGAGATCACTCTGTAAATAAGAGAGACAGGAAGTTGATTAGCGAAATATCTCGAGGTAATGAGATCATCTTCATGCCTCTGTTGTCGAAGTTGAGAACAAATTTTTTTTCACCATTTGAGAGCCTTTTGAATATTCCGAAATTTTGCACAGTGTCGGAAAACACCATGTAGAGATTTTATGTGAATACCCTCATGTTTCAATGGAGTACCAGATTATAGCTGAAGGACTGGGCTATCGAACAGTGTGAACCAAATTCAAATTGTTCTAAACTGAAAAAATTTATTCACATTATAACAGGGCCGACATTTTGGTGTGCGACGAAATTAGTGTTGAGTAGTTTATATTCTTCATTCAGATTTGGCATCAACGCATCGTTCGGGTATATTCGGAGATGGTGGGCGAATCGAAAATTGGGTGAATCAAAAATTAGGTGAATCGAAAATTGGGTGAATCGAAAATTGGGCGGAACGCAACCTACCCACAATTTCCTCTTCAGGTGTTGGCAACGACTACTGGACCTCTGGTACAAGACTGGTGGACGGCTACAACTGGCTGTGGCTGCCTTATGGAGAAACAGTAGATTACACGAATTGGTCTACGAGACAGCCGTCACACCTGACCGAGAAATGTCTGCAATTGTGGGTTGTTCGCGGCCAACTCGAATGGAACGACAGATCGTGCGACTATCGTTACTGGTTCATTTGCGAAAGATTAAATAATCAAAATAATAATGATCCTTCAATCTGAAAATTTGTCTGGAGAATAGTTTGGTGAATTTTACATCATTAAATTTCACACCAAGAAGTTACTCTTGGTAAAACTAGATATATTGTGTTACGTTTTTCGGAATATTTTGATTCGAAAATGATGAAAATGAGTGATGTTTGTATGAATATTGAAAACAAATACCTTTGTATTAAAAACCAGAAATATAACATTGTTCTATTGCTGAAATTACTAATTGAACAGAGAATCAGGAAATTAAGCCATTCTTCATGAAAGAATAATTGGACTTCAGGTAACTGATGAGGATATGATATCCGAAATGAGTTTTACTAGTGTATATAATCAAGGGTCATATATAACCTGTTTGTGAGAGATATAATTCCCATATCACTGATACGAATGATTTTTTTTTTTGAAGTTCCAAGTTCATCAAGATCAAAGTTCATGCAATTATACTTCTCCTATACATTTCAATTTTCATTTCAATACCGACCATATTGGTAAGTTATATTTTATATCATAATACATCATATTATTCTATTCGAGTTGAGAGATAATGTCAATTCGCAATTTCAGAGGATTTTCATTTTCCATGCTCTCTTTTTGGATATTCAGCAGATATTTCTGTTGAATATTCAGAATGATATTATATGCATATCTTAATAATTATGAAGGAGAATGCAAATTCTCTACTTCAGAAGATTTTATTTTCAAATTCTTATAGTGTGTGTTCAATAGATGTAATTCAATATTCGTCGTGGCATAGAGCCAGAAAAGTAGTTGTTTTCTATTGAATAAACCGAGAAAGAATTGATATTTTCATCACATGGAGAATGCGAATTCTCAATGTATTTGTTTATATATATATTAATTTTTTTTGTGTTCATGAATATATCTGAAAATATTCCTTTCCAATACTTTCACCCAATCAATTCAGAATTGCTTTCCACGTCCTGTATGATGAATATCAATTTATCATACATCCAATATGAACCTCCAAAGCGCACTGAATTCTCTTCAGGAGTACTTCCTAAGATGGAAGATCAAATTGAACCCTACAAAAACACAATTGGTCGCACTCGGAAGGGAGCGGAGGCCTCCCAGAACCAGAATAGTCCTGGATGGTCATGAGTTAGAGTGGTCTTCACAAGTTGAATACTTAGGTGTGTGCATTGACAAAAAGCTCACCTGGGCCCAGCACATTGAACAGCAAGTTTCAAAAGCTAAACGAGCCATTGGAGCCCTGTATCCATTTCTAAACAGACGAAGTAAATTGGGTTTGAGACAAAAATTTAATATTTATATCATGGCTATCAGGCCAATTTTACTGTATGCCTCAGTAGTCTGGGGCCACACAGTTAAAAGTCGCGATAATGGTGACAGGATCTCCTTGGTATGTTCGGAATAACCAGATCGCCAGGGATCTGAAACTCCCTTCAATCGTGTCAGTCATTAAAGAACGAAACATCAAGACTTTCGAAAAAGCTGAGGTTCATGAGAATCAGCTTCTTCGAAATGCAGTTGATTATGACCCAGTTGATTATGACCCAGGTGATCAATCAAAGTTCAAAATACCGAGATTGTCCATAAACTAGAGACAATATCGACATTTTGACCAAATTTACTATTCTCAAGTTTATTTTTTCCGTTCGATCTCTTTCAATTCTCAGAATGTATTTCTGAAACTTATTTGGGGCAGAAGAGGGCTGTTCGCATCAAACTTCAATACCGTTTTTATTTTGTTCCATAATAGATATCAGGATAAGAGGGACTCTTCCCTGGTCTGAATAAAATGAAAGAAAGATCCAATAATATTTATATTATTGAATCAAAAAACCCAATCCAAACATAAATAGCTTATTGATAAAAAACTTCAAATTCTTTCTAAAATGTTTTTTTATATAATTTGGACCAGAATTAAGGTGATAACTCTATACTATCGTTTTAAAATGACCTGTAGATCAACTAACTATACCCGTATTTTGAAGAAGTATAAATAGTATTATAACGACATGTTATTCGATTATATATATCATTTTAAGAACAGCAAAAACATGGTACGGGTGGCGATTTACCAAATTTATTTTTTATTCCTTTGTTCGTTGACCTCCACTCTAGTGATTGCAACAAGAAAAGGTAAGTAAATTGATTTATCAGCCATTAGCCATTTGTACAATATTATTAGACTCCGTAAAAAAATAGTCAATATTAATTGAGTACCTACATATACAGTGTGTCCATTTAGTGCGTAATTCTTCGATATCTCGAAATCCATTATCACTATAGAGAAAAAATGTTGGAAACAAATTTCTTCCGTTATTGAAGGTTCCATTTCAAAAATATTTTCAACAATACTGTGTGTTTTATAAAAGCGGGAGGACTCGGAGACGAGTTTTTTCAAATAGAACACCCAGTATTTTTGATTCAAAATTCATTCCGCTACGGTTTAGCTCTACATCGCTGTGAAAAAAATTGGATTCGGTTGAGGCGTTGCCAAGTTATAATTGATAAACCCATTTTTACTACTATTGAAGAGTCATGTTGAATTGGGTATGGTATATTTATTTATTAAAATTTTGAGAAGATTTTTGGCATACAGTAGTAGCAAGGCCTCACGTACACCAATCCAGTAATTTTGCGAGATTATCCTTTACAGGGTGCTAAAATTTACACTCTGAATACTGTAAGATTCAGACGACGTTCACTAGAATTTTTCAAATGGAACACCCTGTATTTTTCATCACAGATTTATTTCGACATCATTCGCCTTTTCATCGCTGAAAAAACAGTTGAAATCGGTTGCGGGGTTTTCAAGTTATGAGAAGGATGAGTAATTTCCTTATGTTCATCACTATCTCAGGGCAACTTATGAGACATGGTTCCTTTATTTGATTTGATTGTGGGAATATTGCTTGCCACATGACATTCGAGGTTCTAAAATCATTGTGGTATCTTTGCGATATAAGCATTGTCAAAATTTTAAATATTCCGTAATCTTGTTACTTATGATTTAAATAATATGTACCTATGTGAAACAAACATGCCAAAAGCAACACGCCTGCCTTTAAAACAACTTCTACAATACAAACAATGGAGATTTGAATTGCGAGAATAAGGAAAACATTTTATATTTGGACCACTTTTATTGTCGTTATTTCCACAATCCAAATCTCCATCAAACTTGAAGAAGGCAAACTCTACATAATGATACAAACAATATTTCTTTACTACGCGGGTTTCGGGAGGAAATTCAGCAAAATTTTAAATAAATTCAAGATATTTTTGATTGTGGCGATGTTTGACAGGTCGTTACACGAATAACGGAAGTGTACTTCGAAAAATTAATTCGTTGTCTGCAAAAAATCTGTGAAAGTAGCATTTTGGATCAATTTGTCAAATCCACTCTGTTTTGAATTCAAACTTGGAGAGCGTGCAAATGTTCCTATTGTAAAGAAAATTATGAATGGTCAATGAAGAAATTTGATTATTTGAATGAGAGAACTATGACGTAAAAATTATACTCCGAAATAGTAGTAATTATAAGGAAATTATCCATAACTTGACAACGCCGCAGCCGATTATGATTTGTTTTCAGCGATAAAAAGGTGAAAGATGTCGGAATGAATTTGTGAAAAAAAATACAGGGTGTTCCATTTGAAAAATTCTAATGAATGCCATCTGAATCTTGCGAAATTCTAAATGCGAAATAGAGCACCCTGTTAAAGAACATGTCGCAAAATTACTGAATTTGTATACGTGAGACCTTGCTAATACCGTATGCCAAAAATATTTTCATAATTTGAATAAATGAATATACCATTCCCAATTCAACATGACTCTTCAATAGTGGTAAAAATAGATTTATCAATTATAACTTGGCAACGCCGTAACCAATTTCAATTTTTTTCACAGCGCTGTGAAGGTAAACCTCGGCGGAATAAATTCCGAATAAACAATACAGGGTGTTCCATTTAAAAAAACTCGTCTCCGAGTCATCCCGCTTTTATAAAACACACAGTAATGTTGAAAATATTTTTGAAATAAGCAACTTGAGTAACTGAAGAAGTTTTTCCTTCAAAGTGTTTTCCTATAGGTTATGGATTTGGAGATATCGAAGAATTACGCACTAAATGGACACACTGTAATACTAATATTCCGATTTTGAATGACAGTATTTTTTTTACAGATGAAGGCTGGGAAAGGGTGTATGCTAACAACATAACATCTGTGATACCTCTTCATTATTATGGTGGAAAATCCTACTATATGGGCACACATTTTCGGGTGAGTAAAGTTTTGATTTCTGCCATTCCAATCCCCATATGGGCCTTATTTCATTTGTAATTGAATTTCAAGGGTGTTCTGTTTAAACTTCAACGCCCTGTATCTCAGAAACGAAGCAACTCCAGACAAATGTTCGTAGGAACTTTTTTTCTCAAATCACCCTATGAAGTTTCGTACCATAGTCATATTCATTGGATGAAATAAAAAACAGATTACATTTTGGGAGAAAAATACAAAAAAAATGCCTGGCTGATGGAATCATGTTCAAAAAGCCAAAAAAAAAATTGAAATGATTGTTTCATTCTATAATTTCAGGCAACCTACCACCAAGCCATCGCATTTTGTGAACAAATTCATATGACACTGCTGTCAATTCGTTCCTATGAAGAGAATGAAAGGATTTACAAATTCATCAGAGAAGCAAGTGAGTATTATGGTTTCATCAGATACTATATGTATATATGTCTGTGAGAGATTCTAGGGAAATCTCGTGAGTCTTCAGATTCTGGGTTTCCCATCATTTGTCAGTGTAACATTGAAAACCATTTTGAAATTTTCATTTCTACATTTTTGTCTCTCTGAAGGGCAGATGTAGGGGTCTTCTTTCGACTTATTCACAAGTTATGATGGTTGTTGAAGCAATCTACTTTTATACTTCTTCGCTTTTGCATCTAGAAGACTTCCCGACAGTTCGAGCTGGTATATCACAACGAAATTTGAAGGGCTCAAATAATAGATGAAAATATATTTTTTCTCCGATTGACAGCAAATATTAATTTTGCTGACACATATCAATCAGCAAAGTATTACTTTTCCTGCCTAGGCAGCAAAGTAGATACTTTGCTGATTGATTTGTATGTAGCAAAATTAATAATCCATAAATCGTTTATAATTTCCTTCATATTTCATTCGAGACTTCTCCGGCAACAAATTCAACTCTATATTTTTTGCCACCTCCCTTATTTCTGGAGGTGTAAGTACTTCCACGTAGCTATCACTGTCCATTATATAATAATTTAAATGTATCGATATTTTTTCGCACAACTGTCAGAATTTTCATGAATTGTCAAACTACGCAGTATGACCCACTTCTAATGGAACCACCCCTGTATCTTACGTAATCGTTGGGTAAGGATCCTGAAATTTGCTGGAGCGAGAGATATACCAAAAATGCATTCTATGACCAAGTGGGGTCATCTTCAGTGATATACACTGCTCGCCAACAGCCATGAAACTACCCCAATTTCCGGAAAATGATATTCGGCGAGTCAAAATAGGTCGAAAATCACTTCAGATTTGGAATCAGGACGCCCAATTTACTAACTATTCAAATTTTTCCTGGAAAATTTTCAGTTCGGAAATTTTGTCGCATTTTTTATGGAAGCACCCCCGTATCTCATCTCCAGCAAATTTCAGGATCCTTACCCAACGATTACGTAAGATACAGGGGTGGTTCCATTAGAAGTGGGTCACACTGTATAATTATCATGGACAACTGCGATTTCTATCAAATTTCATTTTAATTGAACACTACAGGAAAAATAAAGAGATTGTGGGAATTGTAATAATTTGCATTACAATATCCTCCTATATATCATAATGAACAATCGGAGGAAAAATTATATATTATGTTCAACTCGGCAGCAAAGTAGATTGACTACCGAGGCTGAATTCATAGCCGAGCGTAGCGAGGCTAGGAATCCAGCTGAGTTAAACAAATAACTATTTTTTGTGAAAAAATGACAGCTTGAAGGTTTGAAATGGCACCGTATATTATTTCATTTTTGAAATCTCCTGTTAATTCTCAACAGTTTCACCCAATACACTCTACTCCTTTCTCCTTTTGATAGTTTTGTTCAAGGCCTGGAGGTAAAACAACCTAACTTTTATTATTTGTTTACAAATGATTGAGATAGCTTATCACATTTTTCACAATTATTTTGGGGCTTAGGAATCGTGTTTCTTGGGATATTTGTTTATTCAAGCATGCCATCCACATTGAGATGTGCAATGCACAAAAAAATGCAGCGAGAGAAGAAGGAATACGCTTGAATGAATAAATAACTATTTAATTCAGGAGTGAGATGTATGAGTTAAAGCTGTTGAGGACTATATGAGATTCCGAAAACGGAATGATATGAAAAAATATTCAAAATGGCGCTCAGCCTCCACTTTAAAACTTTAAGCTGATTTGTCCATAAAAAAGTAGGTTTATATTCTTTATTTTGGGTCATCCAAATTCCGTTGGAATATACCCCGTGGTTCAGAAATTAGTAGGGGGGGGGGGAAACCATTTCCCGAAAAAAAATTAGTGTGCTACTGGTAAAATTCTCTATGGGATTACATTTCAATTTGAGATTTTTGCTGATAAATTTCGTAGATACAAAGGGGGTCAAGAAAGTATAAATTTTCAAAATCGACCTGTGTCTCATAAACGGAAACAGTCCTGGAAAATCTGATTATGCCATCTTGAGTTTCACAAAAAAGTGGCACAGGACCGCGAAAACTGCAGGGTCTATCTCCAAAGATAACTGAGATCTATATATCACGCAAAAGCATCGAAAACTGGACGAATTAATCTGGCCTAGTGCAACTGATGAGGCTCGGAAAACTGAAACAGTCTGTATATTCATAGACTACAGAAGATAAACTATTCAGTAATCTTTGGTATACTGCATTACTTCATGGCAACCGATTGATGAAATTCCTCTAGAATCACTTATTAAGCCTGAAAATTATAGGCTTTTCTTAAATTCAAAAGGAAGAAGGAAAGCTCGAAGTCATATCTCCACAACTTCAATAATGATGTAGTCATTATCAAAGTTGGGGGGATGGCTTATTTGAGCTTTCCTTCTTCCTTTTGAAAAATTCCACTCCACTTTGAGCAAACATTTATTTATTTATTTATTTATTTATTTACACTGTTCTACAGAAAAAAAGATTTCCAATTTCAGAACAGGAACTAAGTAAAAATTTGCACAAAAGTAAACAATAGAAAACATAGGACTACATTAGTAAAAAGTAAGAGATTAATACAAGAATATTACTGCTGATAATAATAGTTTTTGATTTGCCTCACATTACAATGAAATATATCATATATCAAGCTGGTTACTTATTAAGTTATAGGTGCTACACAATACATAGTATGAACAGGAGAGTTTTTGTATATATTTGTTCGTGGCGTGGTAATGTAGAATGAGTCGGTGCATCGAGATGCCTGACGGGGAATTTTAAAGTTTATCTGATGTAGTAAGCATTGACATCTAATTTTATTGTTAATTAATTTATGTAGCGTAATGACACCAGAACATTTCCGTCTTTGATCCAGGCTGAAAAAGCTATGTCTTGACAGTAAACTCTCGTGTGACGTGCCAATTGGTGGATAAGTCCGATCTGCTTTAAAACTTAAGTATTTGAGAAAGCGTCTTTGGATTGCCTCCAGTTTATAGACATGCACTTGATGAGTTCCAGATAACTGACGCATATTCTAGCTTCGATCTGACAAAAGCATAGTAAAGAGTTTTGAGTGTGACATGATTAAAGTCGTTGCCTACTCTAATTAGAAATCCGTACATACGGCTTGCTGACGTACCTACGCTTATATTGTCTACATGGTTTTGGAAAGACAGCTCTCGGTCGAAGGTAACTCCAAGATCCTTAAAATTAGATCGTCTGTCTAGAGAATGATTGTCTATCTTATAGTCAAATAGAACTGGACCAGATCTTAGTGTATACGACATTACGCAACACTTGGCAGGATTCAACGCTAGATTATTATGACTACACCATTGGCTGATCTGATTAAGATTTTCCGATAGTTTCTCACAGTCATTCATATTATTGATAGGGGAGAAAATTTTCAAATCATCAGCATACAATAAAAAATTCAGGTCAATTATGTCACCAATGTCATTGATGAAGATGTTGAACAATAGTGGACCGAGGTTAGATCCTTGTGGTACACCTGATTTGGCCAAGTAGTTCTTAGACCTGAATCCATTTAACTGCACATACTGTGTGCGATTGGACAGATATGATTTGAATAATGCAAGTATAGGTTAGTCAATAACCCGAAATTCGACAGTTTTTGCAAAATCAGATTATGGTCAAGTCTATCAAATGCTTTGGTCATATCCATGTAAATAACATCTGTCTGAATTCTGGCATCTATATTTTCCGCTATGTATTGCGTAATAACGGTGAGATTTGTTGTTGTTGATCGGCCTTTCACGAAACCGTGCTGTTGGTCCAAACATGGACTTATTATTAAAGTTGTGGAGATGACTTTGAGCTTTCCTTCGTCCTTTTGAAAAATTCCACTCCACTTTGAGCGAACATGGACTTCTACCAGAGATTTCCTTAAAATGCCAATTTTTTCAGGTGTTGGAAATGAATATTGGACTTCAGGTACGAGACTGGTAGACGGCTTCAGCTGGTTGTGGTTGCCTTATGGCGAGAGAATAGATTACACAAACTGGTCGAACGGTCAACCGTCAGATGTCAATGAAAAGTGCCTGCAATTATGGGTGGTCAACGGAAAACTGCATTGGAACGACAGACCATGCGATGTAAAGTTTTGGTTCATATGTGAAAGATTCGACAATGCAAATGTTGGACCATCTTTTTGAGTGTTGTGAAACTTTCTATACCCATTGATTATCAAATAATAAAATGAATGAATCCAGAGAAAATTTATTCATTTCATGGGGGACGATGTTCGTTTTCAAGTTGGTCGAGCTATACAGGGTGTCCGGTTTTCGAGCTCCACCATGGGGATCTCAGTTATTATAAGAGATATACGAGGTTGCGCATTTTCATGCTGAACATTTATATGCAAGAAAATTTGATGTGTCATTTTTAGTTTTTGAATTAATGAAAATTTATAATTTTCGTTTTTATTGTAAAAACTTCACAAACGATAAGATTTCCACAAAATTCTAAAACACACAACATGTTTCGCAAACACAGTAGCTTCGTCAGGTTATATATACTGGTACAATGAACTAAACCAACGTTGGCTTGCTTAACTTTTATATATCCTACTTTCCCAACTTAAAGGATTAATTACGACCTGTGGACAGGATCGATAAACCTTCATTTTCGGAAATTAGGCACAATATCTACATTAAATTACGGTATACCGGATTAACTTGAGAGGGTGGACAGAAAAAAAGACGTACCTACGCGCCTGCACTGTCGTTGGATGCGAGATGTAAACACAGATAGTAGTCCAATAAATGAAGGAGGAAAAAAAGGCAAAGTTAACGTTAATTACGCACTATTTTCATCTTCCGGTTGGAAGTAGCTTTTGGTACCTCATTAAACATGAGACAAAGTTTGACTGGAAAACGCGTGCGATGGCGGAGAAAATGGCCCCAAAAGACCAGGAAAATAGGTTTTCAGCCAATATCTCCTAAAATATGGCAGTTAGAGATTTTCGGTTCAGATAAAAATTGAAGTTCAGTTAACTTTCTACAAAAATGGTCCTTATCATTTTTCTCGAAAATTTGCCCGGTTTCGAGAAAAACGGCACGAAGCGCACCTCGAATAATGAGCTTCTGTATTTACACATCGGCGGGGGGACAAATTATTCAATAACTTTGTTAAAAATGCATATTTTCTCATGATTCAAAGTTCATGTGAAAGAGGAATTCTGCTGCTATCATACCCTGCGTGGCCGCATGGTTTGTAGCAGACGACCCGAGCGCCACGTAGAGCACACACGCGGCGAACGACGGAGGAACGAAAGTAATAAATTATAGCGTGTACATTTAGATATACTGGTTTTTTCCCGGGATATCAAAGGTATGACTTATATACATCGATGGAAAGGTGGGAATTCCCTCGTTACACTAGTTAAGGTGTTAAAATGTTAGAAATAAAGAGCACGGAGAAAAAACCACCGAAAAAAAAAGGGCGTTTTTTCCTTGACCCCGCTTTTTCTAATTTTATTGAAAAATGGACGACTTCGTTTAAAAAAGTAATTGCACAATCGAAAAGTAGACCTTCTTAGCTTTCAAATGATGTATCATAGAAAACAATCGGATCATGTATAAACTTTTAATTGATGGTTGTTCACAAAATTTCCCCGCGCTCCAAAAACAGCAAAGAATTGGGATTCAATAAACAAAGATTAAATGAAAATTAAAAAAAAAATAGGGTATACAAATTTCAGAGATGACGAAGGACCTTATGGGGACCCATAATCAAGAGAATTTTGAGTAAATCAGTGCAATACAAAAAAAAATTAGGAACAAATTCCTGGCGAGGTCAAAATTGACCGGGAGCAGAAACTTTGACCCATGTTCCGATATGGCCAAAAGAGTCAAGCGTGACTCAATTCACAGGGTATGATAGCAGCAGAATTCCTCTTTCACATGAACTTTGAATCATGAGAAAATATGCATTTTCAACAAAGTTATTGAATAATTTGTCCCCCCGCCGATGTGTAAATACACGGACTGTGCTCTCCGGCATACAACAGAAGCTCATTATTCGAGGTGCGCTTCGTGCCGTTTTTCTCGAAACCGGGCAAATTTTCGAGAAAAATGATAAGGACCATTTTTGTAGAAAATTAACTGAACTTCAATTTTTATCAGAACCGAAAATCTCTAACTGCCATATTTTAGGAGATATTGGCTGAAAACCTATTTTCCTGGTCTTTTGGGGCCATTTTCTCCGCCATCGCACGCGTTTTCCAGTCAAACTTTGTCTCAGGTTTAATGAGGTACCAAAAGCTACTTCCAACCGGAAGATGAAAATAGTGCGTAATTAATGTTAACTTTTTCCCTTTATTAATTGGACTATAGTCATTTGTCATCTATATGAAAATGCCCTGTCCTGAATATTCCTAATTCCACTGATTGGAAGTGGTAACAGCTCTCGATTTTCAAAAGGAACAATAAGGTATAGATAAATTTTCTCTATTTCAATTTCATAAATCTTTATTATTGAAAATTAACCTCTTCATACATATCTATAAACAAAATATTTACATGCAAAATCAAATTGGATCATTACAATAAGTGCACCATATTTACAAAAATGTACAAAAAGTGATGTCTATAAAACTTAATCAATGTAGACCAACAAAAATCGACCTACTACTTGAAAACAAGTCGAATATTTATATCAACATTATACAAAAGTGCTAAGAAATTACTTTAAAATTTAGGGTTTACTGAATACCCCCCTCCCTTATACCCCTAAAAGCGTAATTGTTTCTTTTCCCGCCCTAACTCCATCATCGTCTTCCTCTTCATCCTAAAAAAAATAAAATATGCCTAACTAAACTGTGAATACCTAATGAAATTTCTTCTTGTTTCTATTTATGGGCAACCCTTCAAAATATTTTCTTCATTCAATAAATCTTTATAATTTCAAAATTATCGTTATGAAATATTCAAATCAAGGGGTGATTTCTTGTAATATCTTAGAAAATATAGTTCATATATACATGTGTGCAAATTTGCTTCGTTTTCGGGGGTATTAATATTTGCATGAAAAATATTTTTTCTATTCATTTCTCAATTGTCTTTCCATCCATTTCAATAAAACGTTGTGGTTTTTTTAATAGTAATATGGAGCTTCTTCTGGTGCAATTATATTTGAAATAATACTTCCAGTAGCATCACAGTGAGTACATTTATCGATATTTATGGTGAATGTCATTGTATGTTACAGGTTTTTCTGAGTTTCATATTTTTATTCGATTGAACTATTGAAATAACAACTTTTTCTTCCTCTGTGTGATTTTTGTATCTGGCTTAGTTTTTGAGGACAAAAAAAAACGATTCGACTACAAATTTTAATGTAGGCGTGTTTTCAAGACTTCCATTGAGATCTCAATAACCACAATTAGGATCATTTTGAACTTCAACATCCTGTATCTCAAAAACGGAGCAAGTTATGACACATGTTCATATGAACTTTAATTGCTAGAATATCACAAGGAATAACCCCTGGAAATTTTTCGGTGATATTTAGATGGCTCAATATAACGGAAGTCGATAAAATGATCATGAAAATTACCCATGTGAAATAATCACTTACGTCAAATCCGAAACAGTTCTGCATATCGGTCGATACTTTTTTCTCGTCTTCTTCTTCCTCCTCCTCCATCTCCTCTTCCTCTTCCATTTCTTGCTTTGTTATTCTCCTTGCAGCTTGTAGGGCTTTCAAAACTTCTTCATCGTTCAAATCTATAACAAACGAGCGTATCTTCAAATTCACAAAATGCAACAGACAAGAAAACCAGACAAATAAATTTATAGTGTTTGGCTGCACATATGCCCAGTTAATATACACCGTGTCCCAGCTAAAATGTCACCCCCCTCCTCCCGTAAAAAGTCAACCGCGCGATCGAATGACTTGAAATTTGGTCACCCACTTGAAATATGCTATCGAATAAATCGTAGGCTAAACCCAGGGTTTGTAATTAAAGCCTACACTCCCTTGGCTCCTTATTGATTCCAGGTCGATTCAATAACATTGACCCCTGGTTTACACTGTAGGTACCGAGGTAGGTCGTTACCACCGATAACACAAGGCCTGCATGCTCCGTGGGTGACGTCACTTAGTCAGGCCTAACCAGCGGCTCGAAACGACAAGCGCTTATAGTGCTATAAGGCGACCGCGTATTTCGATTTTAGTTTTAGATCATTATTGAGCCGATTTTGCTTTTTTTTGAAGGGCTTCCGGTTGAAAGAGGATGCCAGCCGTCAACTGAGCCCTTCTTCGCATCCCATTCGATTTTATTATGGAAAAACGAAGTTTCAAAGCCAAAACCAGAATAAAACACAAATACCCACCTACAGCAACCCATTGGAATTAAATATATTGGCAAAAATTGTAGTGATTCAATCTCATTAGAGGTAAACTTCACACCTACTTATACAGGGCCCGCAGAACATAAACTTATCATGAGATTGATCGAAAGAAAATTGGGGAAAATGTATTTTAGTTTGATAGACATGCCGTTTGTTATACCTAATTACCTATATTTATCTTGGAGAATTCCTATTACCTAAAAAATTAGCCAGTGAGTGTTTTCAATTTCCTGTTGTTGGATTTTTTACCCAATTGGTCGTTAGACTTGAAACAGTAATTTTTAAGTAGAGTGTTTGTAGTACATGTTAATATAATAGTTGCAATTTGATCATTGGAATGAATTCTGCATTCATTGCCACGAGGCAAATGACCGTTTTCAGAAAGAAATTTGAGAATGTATTGAGTCAGAAACCAAAGAGTGAAATGCATTCGAAATATGTTTCAAAACCCTCTTTTTCTGATTATCAAGACATTTTCCCGAATTATGTATCTCGTTTTTATCTATTTCAATTAGTAATTCCTTGATTTGATTGATATTATTAGAGATAAAAGGTGTTTTCAGATTGGCTTTTAGAGATGTTTGTATAGCTAGGTCATACAAAAATGATTCCACATTCAAAACAAAATCAATCACAACCGAATATGTAATTACGGTCCCTGGAGAATAAGACAATTTGAATAATGTGACTTTTTGCAAATCGATAATTTTGAACCACTTTTCGGGCAACTGAAAAGACTCTAATACAACTAGAAATTCTTGAAATACTGTGTACCAAAATGATTTTTGGTAATTTTCGAATTCAGTTTTACTTTTGGTAAGTGCTTGTGCAAAATTTTTAGTCTCTAGTATCTCAAGTTTTTCATCACGACTTGTGCGTAATTTTACATCTTTCGATAAATAAGATAGACAGTTGGGAAATTGAGTGGGAATAACATCTCGTTTGAGCCTAGGAATTTTCAAATCTATTGTTACAGTTTTGCCAGTTTTTTGAATCGGTTGCAGTAGATGAAGTAATAATATCATCTTTAGTAAAATGTAATTCACATACTTTACTGTATGTACTTAGATGGAGTCGTAAAATCCTTGCGGTGAATTGCATGTACCCACTTTTTCGATAGTTCCTTGTCCAACGGGAAACTAAAAGCATGAACTTTTGGACCACCCACATAATTCCCCCGACAAAAGGGAACACAACACTTGTAAGGCATTGTTATTTCGCCTATCACAACACGAAATATTTCACAAAACAGTAATTTCTCCGGCAATTATTTTGATGAATAAACAACAAGAGAATTCGAGCACACATGGAGCACACGCGATTTACCTACGCCACCGTTCTTAAACAAAAACAAACTGACGATCGATCGACGCGAATGCCTTGGAAGATGGCTTGAGTATGCGACGTCACGAGCTGTTTACGTCAGAGTCTGCTGGCCTTGTTTTATCGGTGGTACCGAGGTAGGTATACCTCCTGTACCTTTCCCCACTGTTGCTACTTTGGGCCTCTGTACAAAAACATTTTGTGCAAAGCAGGTAGTCTCCGCCCTCGTTACAATAGGTATAGAGAGAGAGAGAGTGAAAAAGTACTAGATCTAGTACGAAAGTACAAGGTCTCACCGTTGTCGGGCAAGATGCTCTGCCCCAGCAGTTCATCATCGCCGCCGCCTGCCGGCCCCTCTCCCCCCACCACCATCGTCGGCTCGTCGCCGTCCGCCAACTGGATGACCTCGAGCACGACGTACTGCTGGCCGTCGGAGCCCTCGACGGCCATCATGTCGATCTCTTCCTCCTCGTCCGAGCCGATGCCCTGCATCACCTTCGAGAAGAAAGATAAACACTTAAGAACATATATTGATGGACATATTTTCTCATATGCTGATCATACATTGATAATTGTTAATGTATCTTCCGTTAGCGAAGATTTAGTTTCTCTATTTGATCATGTAATAATATGCATACATTACATTTTTAATTCACGATATCTATTGATACTCCAGATCACGCCAACAGCCGTTCTTTCGAAGTGGAATTATCATGTTTCAGAACTAACGAAGAAACTCAGAAGTTGAAAAGGAATATTCTCAGATAAATTATGAACAAACAAAAATGGATATATATTTATATAAAGCTTTATATAAATATATATCCATTTTTGTTTGTTCATAATTTATCTGAGAATATTCCTTTTCAACACTTTCATACCCAATCAGGGGGTTCAAACTTGAACAATGGAAACTTGTGATTTTTATAGACATCTAATCGCAGATTCGTGATAGAGTCTCAATTCAGAATTTCTTTCCACGCCCTGTATGATGAATGTCAATTTATCATACACCCAAAAGCAAACTCAGAAGTACCCTTCCAAAATTCAGACTTCTGCGAAATATTGTCAGTAGACGTTTAATAATCATGTTTTATCACACTCTCTTCCAATCTATAATATCGTATGGAATAATTGGATGGGGTGGTATGCATGAAACTCATCTAAAACCTTTATTATGTATTCAAAAATATGTTTTGAAAATAATATTCTGTAAATCATTTGATTTTCCATCAGCATCATTATTTTTAGAAAATAATATATTGAATGTTAGGCAATTATTCTATAAGGCGTCAATAAGCTTTAATAAAAGAATCCGGCAATAACCAATAACAGCAATCATAGTTATGATACAAAAAACAAAATCAACAATGTACGACTTGAAAAACATAACCTCAGAATTTTAGAAAAACATTCTAGTTTCATAGGATCTAAAATATATAATAAAATACCATCAAAATTAAAACGCCTAACAAAACTTTCAAAAAAGAAGTTAAAAGTTGGGTTACATAAAATGCGAAAAAAATCGATGATCTTTTTTAATCAACACTATTTTTCTTTATTTTAATTCACTCTCATTATTGTATGAATTGATTATTTGTTTCCAGTTCAAGTATTTATATTGTGGAAAAACAAATTTATACATGAAATAATTCATCTCTTTCAAACACAGGTCCCTAACCTATGTGAAGGAGATACAATATGAATTATATATACATGTCAACTACGAAATAGCTTTTGTATTTATTTATTAATATGTGTACTTGATTCAATAAATAAATAAATAGATGAATGAATAATATTAATCTCGCAATATAACTCACCTCTACCTGCTGTCCATCGATCATCTGCACCTTTTTCTGCCTGCCCAGTTTGAGCTCAAGCTGTTTTTGATGGACATTGGGATCTGGATCGTGGGCAGCCATGTGCCTGATTAGATTGCCCTAGAAGAATGATACAATGTCAGCATTAAGCATAAGCTTAATCAGAGAGATCTGGCACAGTATCTAAACTAATGATTATTGTTCACCTTTTTGATGATAAATTGAACGAGTTATATTCTGGATTTTCAGAAAAAATAGCACACCTATCAACCTGCTAGAAAATTCGAATTTACCACCAGTGAAATAGTTCTGATTGGCCGAGGACTGCTGTTAAGGCAAAGAATAAATCATTTGAAGGAGTATTTCACTTGAAGAAGCTACTGTATCAGTAAAATTATGTCCTATTTTTATGAATTTTGTGGACATCTTATGGATTGTGAAATGGGGAAGTTTCCTTCAGATGAATTTTCATAAAATAAGTTCGGAACTCTCCAGTTTTATGGCCACGCTGTACAGAATAGCGACCGATGAAGTCCAATTCGTTTTCATTTTCAAATTAAAGCAATTTCTAATTTTGGGGACGGCAAACTGTGACGCACATTCTAAATTTAGTCTGAAAATAGCTGATGGTGGAGAATAAAGCTAGCGAATACCTAACGAATGAAAAACGAATGAAAAAAATAGTAGAATTAAAACTGGTAAACAAAAACATACATAACCACAAATGTACTCGGAGCAGGGATTCAGAGGGTAGTTGGCTTCATTCTGACAGGTTATGGTTTTGTTATTTATGCATTGGAATGTCTCGAATGGAGCTCGATCCTATACGAAAATAGCATCGAATCAATGAATAACTATCGGCTACATTCAATGATACTATCCTTCCTAATTTACTGTCATCGGTCAGAACAGAATGAAGCCGACTCCCATCGCTCCTTCCTTTTGTTGTGCCTGTCAGTATTTTGAGTGGTGTAGACGGACTTGAATTATTAGGCGCTGTTGCAAGATATAATCTGCAACTTTCCTAGAAAATAGATCCGTTTCATTAAAGAACGAATACATTAGCAAAAAAAATGACTGACAAGCTATAAATAACATACTGTAATATAACGATAGTGAAAAATTATAGACACTATCGCAAAATATCATAATTCATCTTCATCAGTAATCAACTTCATTCAGCCAATGAGAGATTTATGGGAATTATTCATAATACTTGACAAAGTAGGATTTAAGAACCTATTATATAGTTATTATGCATTTAAAGAACAATTTCCGGGAATCTAAACATATTGATGATGTCGGCAACGTCGTACTGTCACAGGGAATCGTATTTCAACTCTGTGTGAATGTGGATTTTCAGAAAGTTCGTCATAAAAATGGTGGAGGAGCCAAGTTCCTTTTTTAATATTTTTTTTCTGAAGTGAAATTTGATCTTACGAAAACAAGAAAAAATAAGTGTATATTGATTTTTTACAAACTTCACAGTGAGAAAAGAACCTCAATACAGAAAACTTCCCTATTCAACAATAACTTCTACTAAAGTAGGGTATATCTGTTGAGGAAATATCTGAAGAAAGGCGCTGGAATCCACCATCAGAGATAGAGATTTTTTTGAAAAATAAAATTGTATCCCTCTTTCCAAGATGGCTTCCTGTCTACGCTCCTGACCCACCTTATGCCTGAACGCTCTCGTACATTCCGGACACTCGTGGGTCTTCTCTTTCGGCGACGGAGGGATATACTCTGGGTTGTGATACAGATTCTGGTGCCGTCTGAGCAACTGTTTCTGCCTGAAAGTAGGATAAGCAACTATTCAATTTATCTATTCATTTCAGTAATGACATTACATTTTTCAGTATTAAATTGTATACAAATAACATAGGTACTGTCAGATTATTCAAGGTGACTCACCCGTATACCTTCATTATTATTGATGTGACGTAATTTCAACACGAATGAAATTATGGCCTCACTATACGGTTGCTTGTTAGTCGTAGAGATGGTCGTGGATTCAACAAAAGTTAGATCTTATTGTTCTCAATCAAGTTTCATAAAATATAGGTAAGTCGTAGGATGAGACAAAACAAGAATATTATCAGTACAGGAGTTTTTCTAAAACCATGCTATAATGACTGAATTATTTCAAAGTTACAATTATTATACATAATATCCAAATTTAAATTCAAATCGGACCCAACACCTCATGAAGTAGAAATTCTCTAAATGACAATAATCTTATAACTTCATGAAGAAAGGATATATGAAATCAAAAACATATCAGATAAAATCTTTTACAGGGTATACCTTGATTTTATTACAATGACAAAACAGTGTGACGGGATTTCAATGTCAGTGCGATTCATTATAATTATTATTGGGTGTTGAAACTGACATGGTTAGTCCCAAAGTACTTTCTAAGTAGGATTCTCAGAGATCAAGTTTCTGAAAACAATGCATTCTGCAGCATAACATGAGTGTATATTCCTATGATGGACAGAAGTTATGAACGATCCACTAGTGGACCGTTACATTGAATATAGAAAAACGAAAGTTGGGGGCTGTCTATTATAGTCAAATTTATATGTTTTGACATTTACTTGCTTCGCCGTACTTCAGGTTTCCGGAAATGACCCCAACATTCCATTTTTAAACAAGACATCCTATATATTTCTACTCATTTCGATCGAGAATGACATTAACAAAATGGTCCTTCCTGAAAAGCCGAAGAGCGACCCCTTTTCCATTCGAAAAAATCAAGTTAAGTGGCAAAATTTATATTTCCTCATACCAGAATTACATTTCTGACTGAAAACTATTTTCTCAATAAACATTAATGAACAATAAATGATTCTTAAAAAGACTGTGAAGTCATAAACCTCAAAGTCGTATCTTGCCTATGTTACTCGATCAAGAATTGGGCGATTTACATTCTACAAAGAAAAATATAAATTGGAATAAAAATTACTGTAATTTGTCAAATATTGACTAGTGAGGTATTGTTGGATTTGGAATGTCATTCTCGATCGAAATAAGTGAAAATATATAGATCCCGATTTAAAATCCAAAGTTAAGGTGATTTCCGGTCAAACGGGAACTACGACAACACAAGGAAATGTCAAAAAAATGTAAATTGAACTCTCAATACACAACCCACCCCAAATGTCCTTTTTCTATCTTCCATAATAAAAAAGTTTTAGGGGTGGGCCACCTAAGAGAATCACCCTATGAAGTAAATTATTTCAAAATAGGAATGATATGAATAATCATCACACAGTAACAACTGTAATCAACATCTAAGTGTGTTTTACTTTGTATCCCAATTTTTCGAGGTACCCCTTACTGTAAAATTATTATCGCTAGGATACCGGATTGAAAAAAAAAAAAAATATAGTGGGCCAAGAATTTCAAAGTGTGAAATTGGAGTCAACTTTTATCGACAAATCCATGTTGTATTCTCCACACGAAAAAACCATTCCCTACCTGAAAGACTGGTCGCAGTGGTCGCACTGGTAGGGCTTCTCGTCGGTGTGGATGAGCATGTGGGACTCGAGGTGGCGCGCCGATATCGAAGCGTACGGACAGAGTTCGCACTTGTAGCACTTTTCGCCCTCGTGCGATTTGTTGTGCAACTGTAACGAATCGAGTATGTCGAGTGCGATCAGACCAAAGATCTAATAATACAAAACTCCTATGTCTGTATATTTCGTTGCACGTGAGTCACAACCACAAGAAATGAAGCAAATCAATTTCATATAATCATTTTTTTACCCATCTTCAGTGGTTGTAGCTCAGAGGAGGTGCATTTCAGGACACATTTTTATATGAAAAAAGTCTTATATTGACAATACGTTCTTGAAATATTTCACCGAAATTTGTATCCACCCTTTATACTACATTCCAGATAAGAATGAAGCAGCTGACTTTACACTGGTGATGAACCAATTATGCAATGATATATTTATGCATTGATAATTCATTTTCCAAATTAAATATTTAGTCGAAAGTAAGGTTACAGTATCTCGGTGTTTGTGACTAGTATACCGGTAACGACCCATAATGTATTGCAATTATACAACTTAACCTCAACTTTTGACAAGACTGTTCACGGACAGCCGACCGGTTAACTATTCACTTCCATTGTTTCTTTATCAAAGATTATATCGCTAGTGTAAACTCTACTGGCATCTAGACCAATGAAAAGCAATGTCTAACAGTATGTATTACACACTTCATTCTCTACTGGAATTTACTGCAGATAGTGCCTAGAGAAAGTGGAATTGAAGACAACAAATGATATCTATTGGTAAAGAATGTATCAAAGAACACTGTCGATTTGATAGTTTCAACATGTAATCAAATTCATCTGCTTTAGGCAGATACAAGTAATGCCTTGGATGACTTTTATGATGTTGGGGTAGTTAGTAATTCAAACATCACCGAAAAATCACACCAACTTTTAACCAGGACCATTTTCAATGCCAGAGTTGTAATCAGTGTACCGAATTCGATCCAAATTTCTTTTGAACATTCCCCCGTAAAAAGAAAAATCGAAAAATACTCATCTTGATTAGAATACTTTGGAAAAGCAGAATAGTATTATTTGCATTGAGAACACTTTCATATGGAAACTACCAAAGAATTCATATTCATTCAACTAATAATCACCAATAACTACAACAAAGTCAATACCGGTTTTTCTAGTACTTTGAACTGATTATCGGTTGATGATGGGCTTATATAAGCCCGAAACATGTACCTTCAATAACCTTTGATCATTTCAACAAAAGTTATGGGGATGACTTTGGGTTTTTCATTTATGAACTACAACAAACAAAGAACAAGGTAATATACTAGTTAGCAAAGTTTACACACCTTATAACTGTACCGATCTGGAAAAGACTTTCCGCACCTCTTGCACTTCAACGGCTTATCCGAAGTGTGTAATTTCTGCACGTGGATTCTCAAGTCGGTTTTCCGCCCACACGTCGTCGGACAAAGTTCGCATTGAAATATGGGTTTATCACCAACTAAAATGAAAGTAATGACAGATAAAATCATATTTTCTATTCATTTACTATACTCATATAACATTTCTATGATCCGTGACTGAAGGGTGCTTTACTCATTGACTGAATTTGGAACTAGCTCATTATGTAGAGGTTTTTATATGTTCTGGTTCCCAGGAAAAGGGATATCCTGTAATGCTCGTCGATGGCGTCTGTGTGTGTTTATATCATTTCAAATCATGAATAAATAACATGTTTCGATATTTGAAAGGATATTTGATTATTTGAGATAAACAAAGAACAAAAATTCCAGGTTAGTCCAGCTCATTGATAGAAGGTCACCAACTCATCAGTGCACTCCTTTCATTAACAACTAATGACGAACTAACTCATTGATCAAACCCATCAACATACTCATTTCATCAACACTGAACTCACCAATGATCCAAGAATATGTAACTCAATAAAAAAGACAAGTTACACTCATTGACGAACCCATTAACAGATCCTTTTGATCTAACTCAACAAATTATCCTACCTCGATGCATTGATGTTAGAGCAGCGATACACTATGATTGGAATCGTTCACTTCACTAGCTTCTCGCGAGTGTCGCCAAATCTTACCAATCAGTTTTCAAATTAGCAATTGAAAAGGTCTTGAACTTTATCTAAGAACCAAACATGCATTCTTATCTTTTCGATCCCACAGAAGTGTACTTACGTACACTATTGTTTTTGGCATTACATGTTCTCGATACCTACGTTGACTGACCGGCAATCGATGCTTACTGTCAGTGAACAGCAAAGAAATTGGTTTCCCACATATCGTCGGTCGGAAAAATCATACATCTTTATGAACACGTGACTTTCATCTCCCTACTCCGCTAGTAACACAACTTTTGTAATATTTCAACTTAATTTCGGCCTCAGGCAGAGTGGAGCTGATCGGAGTTTTAATTATATCATACCCGCGGACTCAATCCTAGGAATTGTAAAAAGCGTTACGCTGAACATGGCTGAACGTTTGATGTGTCGATACCATATATCTACTATTCATATATGAAGCATAGCTGTCCACAAAGCGGGACCAACTTCTGTCTCTATAGGTAACGAAATCGACCAATAGGCGTTAATGCCGACGTAGGGAAAATATAATACGAAACTTGTCAAACCAATATGGCTGTTTCCATCCTTCACTGTCCGTCCTTATAGATTCAAAAAGTACCTCTTTTTTTGGTCCCATTTTTGTTGAGATATCGTATAGGCGATGCGCCATACATAGAAATAGTAGATATATATGGTCGATACTATGCAATTTGACAGATTCGGCATTACTCGTTTGCCATTGCATAGCGATGTTGCCACAAAAGTGATTCATAGTTTTGAAGAATAGTTCACATAATTTTTTGCAATTTTCATGAGGTTTTCGTGAAATTCAGCGTGAAGTAAGTATACCTTCTTGGTATTCCTCACAAAATCATTGGGGCTAAGCGAATACAAGTATGTTGCATCTCCTTGGTATACCGAGAGTCTATTGTCACACCTGGTATACCAAAGGAACCATTCAATCAATTTATTAAGAAATATCCATAAGAAAATCAAAGTCCTCAGTAGATAATATCCAAAGTCATTCACATAACATATGTAATTCAAACCCGGTTCAGATTTCACAGACAGGAACCTAGTAAGCTTTTCCGGCAGAATTCATCGGACTTGAAAGTTCACCTATGAGGTAATGAACTCGATAGGTACGATTACTGCTGATTCTGCTAACTCGGCAAGTATCGCCTATAAAACAATTGAAGTATAGATTTTCCGGGTCAATCGAACAATCAGAGAATCAGAGTCGGTACGACTAGTGAGTGAGTAGACGTCAACGCCATGACACACATCTCTTCCCCTGCCGGAGCAGCGATTATTGTATGGACAATGTAAGTACCTTTTTTCAAAAACTGTTTCATTACCTTGTACAGCCCCTGTAATTGTCTCCAACCACGTTGGTAGTTAGATCCAGAGATGTAGGATTTCACTAGAAGGTGTAGCTATAGGGTCACTTTAATTTAGTCACTTCACTTAACTTTTTTTGTCTCACTTAACCTTTTGATGTTGCTCACTTGTTCACTGTTTTTTTTATCGTTCAATAAAACTTAAATTTATGTTAAACAAAACATGCACTCTTTCCTTGCCACAATCGAGTTACAAGAGTGTGGTAGTTAGGACACCCTCTTGCTGCCAAGCATAACCCCCTAAGATCACGCAGCCGGGGAGGAAGGCCCCCCTGGTCGTGACACTATTGTAACCGTCTTTAATGCGTTCTGTGTTGATGTAATGCGTCCTTTGGTGAGTTGATTCGTCGATGCCTTGGTGTTTGATGGAGTTGAATTCATACATGGATAATAAAATGATGAAAAACTTGACACCTTGAAGAATGAAAAACTTACTGTTGTGTATCAGCTTGTGGGCCTTCAGACTGTTGGACTGTGTGAATCGCTGCGGACAGATGTCGCAATGGTACGGTTTCTCGCCAGTGTGTATTCGCAGGTGACGCTTCAATTTGAACGTATCTGGACTAGCATAGGTGCAGTGTGGGCACTGGTTAATAAAATAAGATAAACAAAACAGTTAATTTTCAGTGGTACAAGAACATCCGTGACACTCAAGCATTATCATTAACAGATATCATCAGAAGTTGAATACTTCAGCCAGGTTGATTTACCTGAGATTGCAAATGGAAAGTGGTGTATTCTCTCCCATTTGAGAAAGTTTCTGTAAAATTTGCAGCAACCTGACGTTAATTTATGATAATAACCTGTAATGGAACCTCCAGAGACTTGATGAAATTGAATGACTACATACTATGGCGCATACAGATCGTGCTAATCTTCATCAAAATTACGTTATACTTGGTGAAAAAACTGCAATATGATGACGACATAATATGGTATACGGGGCAATTTAAGAAAATTCAGCAGAGTGGGTTCGAGAATAGTATCTTACGACCTGTCTCATGGTATTTAATAATCAAGAGATCAATAAAAGTATCTATCTATATATTTATATGTTCAGAATTTTCTGCCTTGCGTGGATAGATGCATGGACGGCCTATTGCTAAATATCACAAGATATATGGAATTGTATTTGTACGACTTTTTGATTCACAGTATTTCTCCTTACTCTACTGGAGACAACCCACTGAATAATTCATTGCAACCTTAGATAAATCGCCCTAGAAACATATTGGCGCAGTCGGTAGGATACAAGAACTATTCCACTTGTACCAGTGTTCACATCGTTTCAAATACCTTCTATATGATTAGTTTGTATTACAGAGGATTTTACAATTGTTGACATGGTTAGATTATTACCTGGTACGGTCGCTCGCCGGTGTGACATCGGATGTGACGCTTCAATTTCGACAACTCAACGCTAGCATAGTCGCACTCGGTGCACTTGTGAGGCTTTTCGTGAGTGTGGCGGTATCGGACGTGACGCACGAGTTCGCCTACAAATAATCAGGGATGCTGATTTTGTTCAATGCCATTTCAATACAAACATTTGGAAAGCTACAGGTTTGAGGCATTCATTTGCTGGCTTCTCGCTTTCTGGCTCACAACGTTTTCATACGAATTCTAACTACTAAGAATTTCGATATGGACGCAATTTTAGAACAATTAGAACGATTCTAGCTATGGTGGTCTATTCGAATATCTTGGAATCCATCATAATAATTTCCTTGATAGAGTCCGACCACACTAACTTTGATGACGCAACGCGTATGCATATTCAATGCATTCGTGACCACGTGATGTCCCGTGGTCGGACTCTATTATTGGTAAATGATAGCTAACCAATTCAAATTGACCAGTAATAACTAGAGTCAGTGGATGGTATTAGTTAGATAATAATAATACCATCCAGTGACTCTAGTAATAACATCTTTACGTTATCGCTAGCATCGCCAAAGCCAAAATCGCCCAGCATGAAACAAAGCTTCATTCACGTCTGCGTACGAATAACGTAACATTATGACCTGCTTCAAAATCATTTGTGGTTATATCTAATTATCACTGCTTGTCGGGTGGCCGTACTATAGTTCGGGAAAACCCATCAAGTTACTCAAATAGAAACCAAATAAGACATAAAAGCATATCCAAAATTTGAGATTATCTAATGATAAACTATTCGCGATACCCACATTTATAAAGTTACACTATGAACTCCGGGAAAACAAACAAGTGAAAGGTGTCAAAGTCATTGTTGAGATGGCTACAATGTCACTTTATGTGGTAATATCATTGTGATGATATATTATGAAATATATCCTATTGTTCGCCTAAATTGTTAATTCGCGTTTGTGTATCTCAAATTCATAGTTTTGTTATGACGAAAAAATCGTAGAATTTTTGTTCCGTGCGAGAGTGTAATAATTATACATCAGAAAATGGTTTGATGCAAACCAGGAAATGGCGAATGAATGGAAAAACAGATGGGAAATCGGAAAACCGATCAGTAAATATATCTGTGTTTGCACTTCAGTTTGGAAAATTTCACACCAAGTGATTAATGATTATTTTTCAGATAATTGGGTGTTCAACAAATGTAATTCAATGTTAGACGATGCAAATAACCAGGAAAGTATCTATAGTTGTTTTCTGTTGAATATTCCGAATATATATTTTTATCTGAAAGAGAATGCAAATTCTCAACTTCAGAAGATTCTATTTCGAATTCAATATCTACCTACCGATTTACATATATCAGTAAAGCAACAACATGCTTACAGAAGCCGGATTGGCCTACTTTACAAATTTATATACCTATCCACTGAGTCACAGATGTACCTACTGATCCCAAATTCAATGTGTGAATGAGATGTCAATGCAGAACTTTGTAAACAAAAACCAAAAAATTCGTCTATTTTCCACATCTTCTGGCACAGGATAACATGGTTGGCATTGAATCTGCTTCCCCTTTGGCCACAGCCCTAATTTTCCCACCCAAATACTCAAAATGATATTAGCTAAATTCATGGTCACAATAGGCATTTGGAAAATTATTCGGAAGTCGAGATGAACCACCGAAAGCCAATGCCGAAAGCACATCTCAGAAATGACATATGATATGACATCAAGATGACATTCCCTTTGTTTTCCAGTAGTTTTGGTGTGACACAGTGCCGATGGTGATCGCGAATAACTATCAACCGACCTGAAGTGGTGAATGCCGCCTCACAATACTTGCAGCCGTGCGGCTTGGTACCGGTATGTGTATTGACGTGATTCTGCAGCGACGCCAACGTTTTGAAGCCGCGTTCGCACACGCTGCACTTGTGCGGCCTCTCTTCAGAATGCGACTTCATATGCCTGCAAACAAGGTGGATATGTCAGATGGCAAATCAGCTCGTTTTCATGAAACACTAGACAACTCTGTAGACCTTCTCCTACTCGATTTTTTTCGGATTACACCATGAGGCGCCACTCTCAGTGATCTAACTATACACATTCCAGTTAAGAATAAAGCTTGTGTTGACCTTGCTTTTCGTTGGTCTATACGCCAGACGAGTTAACTACCGATATTGATAATGGATAATGTTAGAGGTTAGTTAAGCGGTTAGCTATCCATGATGGTCTAAATAAAATTAAACATTGATAATCAATATTTGATATGTGGTGCCGCCTGTTCTCTGAATGCGTCTTCATATGCCTGCAAACAAGGTGTATACAGGGTGTTTAAAAAAACCTGACATCCTTGATAGGGTAGGTAGAACACTGCAAAATAAGTTGGGTTTGTTCAGTAAAAAAATGTCGTAACGGCATCCGTTTTCAAGATACAAGGTGTTGAAAAAATGATTTTTTCACACATTTTTCACGATTACGTCGAAACTACTGGCAACATTGTGATGAAATTTTGTATGGATGTTTTTTGAAACCTGGCACATCGCATGCATTTGTTTTTATATCTGACTCTCATAGAGGGCGCTAGTTACACGGTTCGTACCGATTAGTTTCAAACATAACTTTTTTGATGTTAGATTCTCCAACCCAAAGTTGATGTGAACTCAAACATTATTCAATTTCACACCTAAAAGGTACTCTTGGTAAAACTCGATACAGTGTTCCGTTTTCGGAATATTTCGATTTGAAACTAATGGAGTAATAGCTGATGCTCCTATAATATGAATTTTATTGAGATCAATTCCTTGTTTATTCAGATTCAAAAACAATAACATCATTCTTGTGCTGTGGTTATTGATTGAACAAAGAATCACAAGTAGAAAATTGAGAAATATTTGACTAGAAACATAAAATATTGAATCAGTTAGAGTAAGTGTTCAAAATGTCCTCCATTTCCACGAATACACGATTCAATATTTTTATTTATGAAAGCATTATTTTTCTACACGGTTGAGAATCAGCTGTAAGGTCATCTAAGTGATGTTCAATTTTGACTTGCAATTCCAGACGTGAATTTACCTCTGTAGCATACACTTTTTGCTTGATACAACGAAACTGTGTGATACATGTTTTTAGTGAAATTTTTCTCAATGTTATTCTTATGAATCATTGGTAAATCAATAAGTTTAGCATTAGAAATGTATTGTTTTTTTCGGTTTGCAATAAATAGGTGATGATTTTTTATAATACTCTAATACATAACTTTATACCAGCAACAGTTATCACTTCATCATTTTCAAATCGGAATATTTCGACAACGAAACACAGTATCAAGTTACACCAAGAGTACTTTTTTGGTGTGAAATTGAATGATGTTCAAGTTCACATCAAATTCGGATTGAAAAAAATCTAACCTCAAAAAAGTTATGTTCAAAACTACTAGGTACGAACCGTGTAACTGGCGCCATCTATGAGAGTCAGATAGAAAAACAAATCCATGCCATGTGCCAGATTCCAAGAAACATCTGTTCAAAATTTCATCACAATGTTGCCAGTAGTTTCGACATAATCGTAAAAAATGTGTAAAATAATCATTTTTTCAACACCTTGTATTTCGAAAACGGATGCCATCACGACATTTCTTTGCTGAGCAATCTCAACTTATTCTGCAGTCTTCTATCTACCCTATCAAGGGGGTCAGGTTTTTTTGAAACACCCTGTATATCAGATGGCAAATCAGCTCCTTTTCATGATACATTAGACAACTGTGTAGACCTTTACCTAGTCGATTATTTTGGATAACACCATGAGGCGCCACTATCAGTGATCTAACTATACACATTCCAGTTAAGAATAATGCTTGAGTTGACCGTGCTTTTCGTTGGTTTATACCCCAGGCGAGTTAACCACCGATATCGATATTGTTAATTAACAATGTTAGTGGTTATAGTTAAGAGGTCTGAATAAAATTAAACGTAGAGGAGATTGATAATCAATGTTTGATATGTGGTTTGGCCTGTCCTCTGAATGCGTCTTCATATGCTTGCAAACAAGGCGGATATATCAGAAGGCAAATCAGCTCCTTTTCATTCGCAAAATAAACACTAGAAGGTGCCACTTTCAAAGTGATCCAACTACACACATTCCAGTTAAGAAGAAAGCATGAGATTAGAACTGTTTGACCTCACTTTTCATTGGTCTATACGCCAGGAGAGTTCACACTACCGATATCTCACAAAATAAAATTTGAGGTGATTGACTATCAATCAATTTCGCGCATTTTGAATTTGTTTTCATTTTTAAAAACCTCCTTTGATGTTCTCGAATGCGTTGGTTGAACGTTATGCCTATCTGACCAATACATCTCTTAGGACCTTGAGTTCACTAGTATGAAATGGGCTCTACTAGCATCGATCTATCTACTTCATACTCATCTGGGATATAATAATGCACTTTTCAAAAGAATACTCAATGACTGACAGCCTGAATCATGGGGAATTTATGAAAGTGCTATAATTCTCATGAAAAAGAGAGGATCACATGAGTCTATGGTGTAACTGCCTATCGAAAAATATAACGCCAGTTCCTAGAATGGAGCAGGAAGGATCGATCTGGATCAACAAACAAACTGTCGTTTCTGCTGCGTGGAAGTCAAAACGGATGAAACCATGTTCATGCTCTCGCTTAGAGAGATTAAGTTTCAACATATTTGATTTCAATTCCACCAATCTGGAATCTACCGATTTCAGGAAAATATCAGTGAATTCATACCTGGAGAGCAGGTAGCGCTTCGGGCTGGTGTAGTTGCAGTAATTGCACATGTGCGCCTGCGAAACAACCTGTGACTTGCGCGGTAAAATCTTGACAATCTTGCTCTTGTCGTCCTCCTCGTCAGAGTCAAGCTGGTTGTTGTCTTCCCCCTCATCGAAATCGTACACTGAAACGAACAATAAATTGAATTGAGGATTCTTTCATTTCTCTTCCAATATCAAACACACTCCTGGACAAGAAAATACAGATAAACTAAATTTCGATTGTATTTTATTGAAAGAGGAACAGTAGCCGAAATATGTTCTGTAGGACTAGGCGAGTGGACTAATTTGTTTTTATTTGTTAAATCATCACTCAAAAACCCTTTCAATTTCATATTTTCTCAGAATTTTTCGGTCGATTTCAAGGTGCCAAAATCATCAATAATGCCACGGTAATTTTCAAACCCCGAGAAATTTACTGTGAGTAAAAAGTGACGTCACGATTTCGTAAGTAGATGCAGACCATAGTACAGTTGCCATATGTTGAAATACGATTGGAAAGTTCAGAAATATTAGTTATTCAATAATTAATAAATTCTCAATTATGTATTTGTAATATTCCTAATTATCAATAATAAATCAATTGTCTCAAATGTTTTCCTCATGTGTTGTGGCAAATCTATATCTATACTAATATTATAAAGATGAGATATTTGTTTGTTTGCCAGTTTGTTTGTTTGTATGGAATAGGCTCCAAAACTATTGGACCGATTTGAAAAATTCTTTCATCTGGATGATTAGAAAATACAATTGGGCCCGGCAGGTGGCGCTGCAGTCGGTACGTCCATTACTAAAGGGCTTGACTGATTGGGTTGAAATATTCAATGGGCAAAACAAGAAGAAAATACAAAAAAATACTGAGAGAATGAAGATAGGTATAAGTAAGTATATAATAGTAGCTATAGGTAAGCACAAAAAATATGTACTGTAGATACGCGCATAGCTCAGAACAAATGCAAGAAATATATTTATTTTTATGTGTACACCAACTATGCGAAGCCGGGACGGACAGCTAGTTGCTTATAATACATTTGTGTAAATAATAATTATTATAATTCACACTAGAGGACATTTTAACCGGTAAAAGTGACAACACGACGCACGAATTGTGGGCGGTGCCTTATCAGTTCTCAGCATTCAGCACATTGTTGCCAAGTCTTCAAAATTTACATATTTTGTTTTGGAGTATAAGAAATATTTGTACATGCTGGTTGCTCGAGAAAGTCAAGAATGCACTATAATATCATGGCTTCCTCCTATCATGTCTTATCTCCTGTTTTATTAAACGACAGGAGTGACAAGACTAAAATATCTTTTTTATAACTTGATTATAATTGGTGATTTGACAACCTTGCTTCATGAGTTGGAATGGAAGATTATCTGACCAATAACAAGACAGCATAAAAACTGACGTCACCATTTATTCGGCTTATCGTCAAATGGCGGCCACGACGGTACGTTTGAAATGAGTTCTGAAATTTAACAATTTTGAACAACGCATATCCTCATTACACAGTGGAGTAATCAAATGCCAATTATTATCAGTCCTCTCGCCCATTCCCGTTTTTGCTTGATTTCAGTCTCAAAGCAAATCTGCAACTGTGCTAAATTCTTGAAATAGTTCAAATAAATAGAATATACAAGTTGTCTAAGAAATTTGAATAGTTCAACAAATAGATAATTGTAAATCACATTCACTTATTGTTTTATTTACCTGCCATATCTTGTTCTCCATCCGTCTGTTCATTATCTCTCAAATCTGGGTCTTGTACAATTAGAACATAGCTTAGTTCCCCTGAATTATTATCAGAGGGGACGACAGTCACTCTTTGGTAGGCGTTTCCAGAATTGATGAGTATTTGGTTGTTGTCCCCATGTTCTAAGACAGGCTACAAAATTTGCAAAGTAATAAGTTTTGAAAAGAATTCTATTGCCTGGAAGCAGGACAACCCAAAATTTCTATTCTCTCAAATGAGCGTGAACCAAATTTCATGAAACATTTTTGAAATCAGTATTATTATGCCCAAAACAAGTACCACATTCTTCTCCTTATCAAGTAAACCACGGAATAGAAAGGAAAAAATGAAGCCTGGAATGATTCTTAGGAGATAAAGTTTGTTTCTTTGTTTGTCTGTATTGGAAGCCAAAAAGTTCACATGTAGCATTTTAAGTTTTCCATGAAATCTGGTACATGTATTTTTCAGGAAATTAAAATTTTCTGTAAAAAAATAACCAGTCATTTCTAGAATTTCCACCCCTATACATTTGCATAGTATGTCTTGGTTTTTGTGAGAAAATTCACACTATGACCGGCAGACACATTTCATGCTCTAAAATTGAAGAAAAACTTTATCAAAATTAGAATACAAATGAAAATATTTGGAGAATCAAATCAATCAGTTGAATAATAATGAAAAACTTTCGGTAATTTTGCACTTATCATGCGATGGGTTTCTTTTCGAATTTTTTTTTTGTACTAACGTATTTTTGTCTGAAAAACACGAATTTGATAATGAAAATGTGAACAAACCACTATTTATCGAGATATTTCAAGAAAAAGTTCGAAATTTTGCCTTCTTTTCCTTGTTGTGTTGGATGCATTTACAGGTACATGCTCTTTTTATTTTGTCATTATATACTCATGATGTACTTCAATGACACATTTTAAGATAGAAAATTCAACAGGAAATATGATTTTTATGGCGAGTTTTTCCTATTTTGTGAGCAAGCATACCAGATGACGCGATGACGGCCATTTAATCCATAGGCGATCCAAATACGAGATGTCAAATGTCAATAGATTGCTTTGGAATGACATTACACACGCCATTATTTCAAATGATATTCTTCCTTCTTTTCACTAAACATGGATAAATCCGAGGATAAATCACAAGAAAATCATATTTCTAGTTGACTCATATAATAAAAAAAATGTGTTCAACATTGTGTGATATATATAAATTGTCCAATGATGGAAAAAGAAGGGCAAATTGTTCTAAATACGATCCAGAAGACAGGCGGAAAAGAAGGTGAAATTCGTAACTTTATAGTGAAATATCTCAATAAATAATGGTTTGTTCACATTTTCATTATCAAATTCGTGTTTTCCAGACAAAAATACATAAGTACCAAAAAAAAAATTTCGAAAAAAAACCCATCCCATGATAAGTGCAAAATTACCAATCTTTCAAATAAATATACCAAGATGTTTTTTTATAATATTTACATCATCTGTTTCTTCAGCATCTTCTTCATTTTCCTGGTTCACGGTAAATTCGTCTGAATCCCCTGTGTTGTTTATGGGGGGCATTACAGTCATCACCGGTTGGTTATCACCTTTTGCTTGAAAATAGTAGTGCCCAGCCTGATCAACAAAATATGTTCCTTCTTCATGTTCAACTGTGTTGTCTTCACCTATTTCAACTAGATCAAAACAAAAAAAAATAATCACAGGGTTCAGGGTTTCTAGTAAGCAGTTCTCTACTGAGCATAGCAATGAGTCCATCAAGTTTTTGAGTTTGCTCATAATGGCTTGTAAATTATCTAGCTATCTAGCTTATATCAAAATGTCAGTGAAATTGAAAATGTCAAAATATCCTCATAAAACCAAGAAAGAAACAATATCATCTACATCTACTACAGAATCAATTGATGAATTATTCTCTTCTTCATCATCAGATACATCCGAAAATGATGACCCACTATTGTGAGTACCTACATAACTGACATTTTTTTGATCATCATACACATTATACAAAACACATTTGTTTCTACTATTCACCAGTAATATTAGTTTCAAACCATTTCAGCTCCTATTTGCAAAGAAAAATAAAGGCCTCATGTGGCCGGCAGCAAAATTAGGCAACTCTTTATGGATGAAAAATGGCTACAGAGTATACTTTTTTCGAGGAAAATCTGTACATGATATGGAACAGAAAAATGTCATCAGTAATTTCAGATTGTTGTTAGATGAAGAAGTGAGCTTCAGACACAATAATGGATTTAAAAAAGGAATTGTGAGTGATATCATGATTGACAAGCAGACAACTATTCCCTGTTTTGAGATTTATCAAAAAGAAAAAATGTATACTGTGTCATTTTTCAATGTTTACTTGGATAAGAGACAGTCCAAAGTTATTTTAATGAATTCATTTTGATAGCACATATTGTATCTTGATATAGAACAAAATAAACACCAAGTTCAAAGTACTTAGGCATATAATCATGTCCAACAAATGAATAGAAACATAAAAAATTACTACATAAATAAGGAGGTGATTTTTAATATTTTTATGTCAGGCCTTCATGTTGAGCTGACAAAGCACATATTGTGCTAATTCCTCTTTTCTTGTGTAGGGAGATAGGGAAAAATTACCTCACAGGTTAGATTGTTTGCAAAAAGTCTCCTCTGGTCTCTTTAGTAATTATCTATCTGAAAAATATATTTTTCAGGAAGAAGATTAATTTAGGCCCAGGTAGGTAGGATGGTTTAGAAAAAGTATTCTCTTTAAAAATAACAGCAATATTTCATTTATTTTCAGAAAAATATACTTTTCAGGAAAAAGGTTCACTTAGTAAGGCAAAGTAGTCTCTTTTTTTGTGCAGAAATTATTTTTTCCTTCCTCTTAATTGACCTTTTTACGCCTCCCCCACCACGCGGCAATATTTTATGCGTCCTGTCTCTAGACGCTAGTTAGGAATACTATTATTATAAATATTTATTGGGATCTTGGACGTTTCTAATAAGTGAACTCTAATTCAGTCCGACCCTGGTTCCAAACAGGTGCCGCTGACTTAATGTAGGGCGGAAAAAATATCAGAAGGATTGAGCCTTCCTTTTTATTATATTTCATATAAGTATTTATTATTTGTTCTACATTATTCTTATTCATTCTGGAATTAGAATTTCCAGGACTACTAAAATCACATAAGATTCTTAGGCTTTACATCAGTAGCTATAGGTATATTTGAAGTAGAGAAAATATACTCACTAGTAGGTTGTTGTGCTGTGGTTTCTCCAACAATTTCCTTCTGGAATCCAGCCAAATATGACTGTATTTCTGTAACATTTTCTGGATTTTCTAGCTTGATAGAGGTGGTTGTAGTTTCTGTGAAAGTGGTGCTCATCTTTTGGAATTCCTACACTCTAAAAACAAGCTAGTGAATTTAGGCTCTCTGATAGGAAAATTCTTTAAACACAGTGACATTTCTTGGCAAATCTTCTGATTTGTCCTTACTACAGGTATATTGAAATAATATTCAATTTTCATTTTATAGAAACAAGGAGGGAAAATCCCAAAAAATTTGGAATAATAAATTGATTGTATTTATATACATTATTTTTCAAAACACTTTTGAATCCCGAGCTGAATCCTGATGGGAATACCTATATATATCTATTCCATTTTTTTTTATGAATACCTATTTGTACCTATTTCATGTGATATCATCAAACTGTAAGCACAGCATTTTATATTTATTTTTCCCGCTGATTACTTTTCATTTTTCAAATAAAAGCACCTATGGAAGGCTTGGCTGGAGTCCTTTTAGTGATGCAAGCGTTTATTGTGCAAGCCTGGTTGGCAAAATATGAGATGCCAAGGATGATTATTCAAGGCGCCATTTTATGACTTCCTTCAAATCTTTATTAGGAAAAAATTAACATTTTCTAAGCAATCCCAAATAATATAATCCAAAATTCGTTGCCTTTACTTTAAGAAATTGGATGTAGGGGGCATTTCAAGTAAATATCTTTCTGGAAATTAGCACCGCTGGCGCTGTCATCAACAAGACAACAGGACAAACAGCTGCAAATGGCGCACTAGAAATAACGAGTTTATAATGGTAAATACGGAATATTTTCCAATAATGCTGTTTTTCCCGAATTATGATACGATAAGGTTGGTATTTGAAGAATAACACACTTCCTAGTATAATAAAACATGCATAAATTATGAATTTTTGAGCTTACCCTAGTTAACTCCAGAAATGTCCTGTGAGGGCGTATCACAATTTGGGCGTCTTTCTGATGAAATAAGAGATGGCGAGGCTAGCGAGTGGCCGAATAGAAGGATGTCTGAGATTTGGAGCAAATGTGCTGTCCTTGCGCATGCTTGTTGAAAATAAATGACAGGTGACAGATGAGACATAATACAATTTTGAAGTTGACTATCACAGAACCACAAAATCATTACTGTCTACATTCTATGGATGACGTATGAAACACAACACTTCGGTGATTGAAAAGTGACATTTTTACTTTGACATTTCTGTTCCTGGAATGTTGAATGTACAAATGTAGTGAATGAAAAAATTCTCTCAGCCAAATTTGTAAATACCACATTCATGCCAAGATTTTATTAAATTAATCTAAATTTTTTCTAATCAGTATTTGTATCTATTCATATTATTTCTGAAAAGTGCTCAAGTGAAGTTAGTGTTGGAACAATATTATGTGCATGAAAAGTCGGTGACTGAGAAAATTCTCGACAATACCTATAATTAGGAGAAACAAATTTGTGATGTAAAATTTGAATTCAAAATGGCTGAGTCCTATTATCAGGTAAGACATTACTATTTATTTATAAATTTCAACAATAATATGAACCCGAATCTCTTATTAGAGTTTTCTTATGGGACTTCCAGGCTCTAGCCCCAGGCAAAAGAATATGTGCCGTGAACCGTTAGGGCAATTATTAATTCAAATTGGATGATATTTAGATATCTTCCTTTCAATTTATAATATTCTTGAATTTCTTGTACATATAAGATCATGAAGATTACAGTAATTTCAATGAAAGTAATTTTCTTACCACACACATTTGTATGTGGAGTAATTCAATGCTGTCTTGACATTGGGGTTTGTTCCCAACATGGTCATGTTCTCGTTTTTATTATGAACAGTTTTTTAATGAGATAAACATTATTTAATTTTCTAGGCTATATGAGAACCAATGAAAACAACTAATTCACTTTTAACTTGGATAAGTTCAAGAGTTCCAGACAACTGGAAACAAGAATAACATTTTGTAAATCTTTTCATTTATCAGCACAGGCAGGAGATATTCAGAACATTTCAGTATGAATATTGTAGGTCACAAAGTAGTCAAATAGAAACTGTTTGCCCCATGTGTGAGGCCTCATCTCTTCCTTTTTGTCTCAGGAAAATTATATGTATTTTTTTTTTGCATTCACATTATGTTCTTGCTGAAGATTATATTAATAATTCAATAAGTACCTACATTATGTTTGGAGTTATATACAATATATATAGGCTAATTACCTAATGATGACATTGTTTATTTAATAGAGGAAATGGATACTTACATTGTCTCTTGAGGGAATATCTGGGAGGTTCTATCTACTTGAAATATTCTCTATACATTTTATTATTCATATAAGTACAATCTACCTATAATAGTATTATGAAAATTCAAGAGTTAACATTGTGTGTCATTGCAAATAGAAAAAAATGTATTGATATGAAATTGAGCATTCATTATTGATTAAAACAGCTCTTTTCATTTCAGATTGAGATACCCTACTAGTATTTATTTACTAATCAATTATATCTTCATTGGTTTTCTGACAGTGAATCATTGTTCTTAATACAGGATCAGGACCTCGATCAGGACATTCACTAAGTTTGCAGATAATGAAAATGAAAATTTCAATATTGAATAGAACAAACTTTTCCTCATTCAGGATTTCCACATATTATAACTTTTTTATCACTTTTAATCTTTGTTACACAGAGTAATATATATAATCAGCAAACAATAAAATTGTTTATTAGATATTTCCGAGGATATTTCATGTATTGTTATCTCATTTTTATCATCAGTAAATATGATCAAGTTTTTATCATGATTTTCATCACCATTTCATCATTGATAGAGTATTTAGGTAGGTACTGAGTTATTATTCGAAAAATAAAGCAATCATACAAAACTCATGTATTTTCATGAAGTTTTCTACTTCTTTTCAGTTCAGTAATCTTTCTCTTCATTTTTATAAACTTCTATTCATTTTCTACTTCTTTTAGGTGTGACTATCTATAGAAGCCTGTTTCTTTAGTTTTTCAAAACATTATTTACCAGACTATTCATTACAAAGCTGGTTTGACATATTATTAAATTCGCCATTTTGAATTGTTCAATTATGGCGGAGAAATCATAATCTCCGACCCCGAAAACCCCCAAGTACAAATTTTGAATAGAATCGGATCATAATTAGAAAATTCATTTACCATATTACAAAGCTCGTTCACAATATTGGATCTGCCATCTTGAATTTACATAATTTGACGAAATAACCATAATCTGTGAACCCAAAAACCCCTTGATGCCAATTTTGAACAGAATTGGATCATAATTACACAATTCGTCCGTCATATTGGATCCGCCATCTTGAATTTTCAATTTTTGCGGAAATAATCATAATCTCCGACTCCTAAAACCTCCAGGTACCAATTTTGGATAGAAGCGGACCATAATTACAAAACTCGTCCGCCATATTCGATCCGCCATCTTGAATTTACACAATTTGACGAAATAACCATGATCTTTGAACCCAAAAACCCCTAGATACCAATTTTGAACAGAATCGGATCATAATTACACAATTCGTCTGTCACGAGGTCTGTCATATTGGATCCGCCATCTTGAATTTTCAATTTTTGCGGAAATAATCATAATCTCCGACTCCAAAAACCTCCAGGTATCAATTTTGGATAGAAGCGGACCATAATTACAAAACTCGTCCGCCATATTTGATCCGCCATCTTGAATTGAGAATTTCCTAATTCTGATGAAGGAATCATAATCTCCGACCCGGAAAACCCTCAGATACCAATTTTAAATAGAATCGGATCATAATTAATAAACTCGTTCGCGATATTGGATCTGCCATCTTGAATTTCCAAAATTTGACAAAAGGATCATAATCTCCGAACCTGAAAACCCCCAGATACCAATTTTGAACAGAATCGGATCATAATTACAAAAGTGCGCCATATTGGGTCCGCTATCTTGATTTTTCCAATTTTGACAAAAAAATCATAATCTGTGACCCCGAAAACCCTCAGATATAAATTTTGAATAGAATCGGATCGTAATTACAAAAAAAAATAGTGAAATCGGTCCAGCCGTTCACGCGTGATGGCGTGACCAAGGGAAATGGGGATTCATTTTTATACAGGGTGAGTCGGGAGGAACGCACCAAACTCCAGGTGTAACATTTTCTGAAAATATTCGGTTATGTCATGGAAGAAGGTGGTACGCGATGGTACGTGCATATGTAACTTGTCCCGTCAGGATTTGTTTCTATTAATCATATCTGAACAGATAGACAGTGGTTAAAGGGGCTATGTTACATTAAACATCAAGGATGCAATGGAAGAAGGAGCATAAATCTAGATGTCTATCAAAAAATGATATTATAGCAAAATGCTGTCAATCATAAAAAATCAACCTGAAACTATTCCTCACAATTGCATATTATATCCAATTATTAAACTATAGCTTCCATTAAAAAATGCCACGCATCTATTCAAATTTAAAATGAAAACAAATGAGAATCGTATAAGTACACCTGGAGTTTGGTGTATTCCTCCCGACTCACCATGTATAGAGATTACTGGCAATAGTTCATTTTTAGTGTCTGGTTATTTATTCGGGGTTCATATAGCTAATAGTAGATTGTTTTATTAGGATCAAAAGTGGCACTTTGACAAGCGAATTTTGTATTTGCGAGGCCTAGCGTTTAGCGAAGCCGAGCGAAAGCAAAATTCGCGAGTGCTGCTGAGGTTTTCAAAATTCAAAGACGGGCAGTAAGAGTTGTTGCAGGTTTACCCTAGGGTCCCTTGATGGAAATTGACGTTGAAGTCATCTTAATAGGGTACGGACAGATCATAGCTGCATTCTTTTTTAATGATCTAGAGATTTTAGCACGATTTTAGTTTTGTCTACTGGCATCCCTGACATTGCTGTCACGTCACATCCATGGGCGCTACAGAAAATCATTCAAAATTTCAATAATAGGTATGTACAGGGGTATTTACTTGTTGAGGAAGATCATATGGCGAACGAGTTTTGTATAATTATGATCCGATTCTATTCACAATTAGAAGGTATGTGGGGTTTTCCGGGGTTGGAGATGATGATTGTTTCGTCAAAATTGGGAAATTCAAGATAGCGGGTCCAATATGGCGAACGAAACTTGTGATTATGATCAGGTTCTATTCAAAAAATCAAAAGTGGGATATTTAAGGTGGCGGATCCAATATATGGTGGACGAATTTTGTAATGCAGATCCGATTCTATTCAAAATTTGATATCTGGGGGTATTCGGGGTAGGAGATAATGATTGTTTCGTCAAAATTGAAAAATTCAAGATGACGGATCCAATTTGGCGAAATACATTAGTTTATATAATTATTACTCTACCACAAATAAAAAATAAGTAGGATGCAAGAGTGAAAATTGCCTATAAGTTATACTGCATATACTTAACGTATAGGTACCTACTTCTTTGTTACTTTTATCAATAAATTATTCGAAAATGACTTTTTATTTAAGAGAGACGGAAAAATCATATATATAACATGGGGGTGAAGTATATTCTTGGATCCTTTTATCTAAGCGAAAGCCATATTCTTGTCCTTGTCTGGCAAAACATATTTGCTTCAAAATCGTTTGTGGTTATGTTTGATTGTCACAGCTTGTCTAGTGTTCGTACTCTAATATACAAAAAACGTCAAAACAACAGTGTCAAGTACATTTAGGAACTCTAGTCTCCATAAACAATGGTGATTTATAAATCTAGCGGAGTAACGGCGACGACATACATACAGTACGATGCAAATGTGGGGCATAAATCCATTATTTATAGGGGGACTACATTCGACACCCTGTCCTCTACGAGCTCTCCCACAAATATGGCGTGCCCACCGACAATCTCATCGAATCACAGCTGTCCGGCAAGCTGGAGGAGCTCAAAGAGATCGTGCGACGCGAGATCCGCAAGGAGCTCAAGATCAAGGAGGGCGCCGAAAAGCTCAGGGGCGTGTCGACGGACAGGAAGTCGTTGAGCCACGTGGCCACCATCGTGAAGAACTCCAATTGGAAGTTGACGGAGCTGAAGAACGAGCTCAGCGAGTTGGAGTCGCAGATCATACTGACGCAGGGCCAGAGTACGGCTAATTTGAAGCCGCTGAATGGTGGTGAGTTGAGATGAAGATTGACCGGCAGATAGTGACAGATTTTCGGTCGTGAGTTCACCCAGTACTGCCTTTGTATATATCTGACTTTAAAAATGATACATGAAGGAAACCTTCGGGGTTTTTCATACATTAAATTATTTTTTTTATTTTTATTTATTTATTTATTTATTTATTTACGGGAAACCCCATTACAAAAAAATATACATAAATATACATTTATTCATAGAGAATGAGCTTAAAACTAATAAATAAATATTCACTACATATTATATATGCCAGAAATTTCAAAACCCTTCAAAATATAGATCTGACAAGTGTTCTGAAGCTATTTTATGATCCATGAAGAATGTCTAAATCGGTTTCGTTAATTATTTTCAATGTTCTTTCAATGGGTGAATGTTGTCCATAATTTGTAGCATGGTGAGTTATTCGAAAGAGGTTTGTATTTCTTAAAGTTCTGTTTGGCACATTGAATTTAATTAACTCCAACAACTTTGGACACACAATAAATCCATTTATTAATTTGAAGATGAAACATAAGTCGTTGGTTAATCTACGAATTTTCAGAGTCTGCATCTTCAGAACATCAAGTATTGAAGCGTAATCATGGTTATGTATGGTTAGGTAGGTATTAAGTTTATATGCACAAAATCTTGAGAATTTGTTCTGAGTGCGTTCTAATGTATAATTATGTACTTGATAGAGTGGTGACCAGACAATAGAGGCATTTGACATTGACATTATTTGTTGGCAAATTGAGCGTTTCCTTACAATTTCACTGCAACTGCATATGTTCCATAGTAAAATATAAATGATACAAGTAGCACAATAACTATTTTCAAAGAGAACTTGCATACTTTCTCAATGCATTTATTTTATTTTTATGAACTGTTCTTTTTTGTTTACGTATAGCTGACCTTGGCGACCGCGAATATTATTTAAAAAGGAAACATCTACCTTTCCTATTTTGCTACCCTAGGAACTCACCAACATTTATAGGGTTCTTGTACTTGTGATTCGGGGGACAAAAACAAGAAAAGGGAATATTTGCAATACAAAAAACCGAATCCAATCTCCAAATTATCCAATTCCATTGTTTACAGAGAGATCCAACAGTGAACCCAACACGGAAGTTTCCGGAAAACACACTATTCGAATGCTTAATCAATTCAGAAGACTGAAATTCCTTCAAAATTCTTGCCCCACAATAGACTTTTCTTCTTCTTTTTTTAACACTAGCAAATTTAATAATTCCATATATCTTGTACATACAATAATGATGAATTCAAACTCAATGTATAATCACTGTGTAACACAGGCTGAAGGACCTCGGTCAGTGGCCTTTTGGGTATCCAATAAAGCTCCTTAATTATTATTATTATTATTGCAATAAAATAGTAATTTACGTAACAAGTCCGGAAAATACTGTTTTCTTGGACGAGTAGACAAAATTCCAAAACCATATGAAGAATAACAATTCAATGAGACACATTTCCATATTATATTTCTTCGTGGAGTACAATTTCTTCTTTATTAATTCTTATTTGTATCAAATACTGAAATTTGAACATAATATCTATACCTACTAACTGCTACATTAGAAATTTCTTATGGACATTTCCAAACTCACTATCGCTGCTGCTTCCGATAGTTTATTGCAATAGGTCGCGTGCACGATGACCGACCCTGGAGGCAAAATATTGTAACACAACCTCATTCTTCTGTGAATTCTATTAATTAATTCGAGCATGCCTTCGCATTGTGCTGTTGTACAATGCTCAAAAAATGCAGGAAGAGACTAAAGAATATGATTTTTCAGGTAAATAGTAATCTCACATAGTTATCATTATGAAATGTTGTCATTCCTTATTGAAATTCCTTCTGCCTTCTGCCACTTCTGCAATACAAGCTAATACTGCTAATAGATTGAAAATGTCTACAACACACACGATCGTCAGCATGTCAGACCAGTCCTCCCGATTGATTGCATGAATCCAATTTTCTGGCATTATTTTAGAAATTTCAGATGTATTTCTATTAGCTTTTATCGCAGAAAGAATTCCGATGAGAAATCAGAGAAATTACCAAATTTCAAAAATGAAAACTATATGTGAGTGACTATAGTAGGTACTTACTTTTGAATCATATTGTACCAACCGGATTACTTCGTCTTCCGCTGCAGTTTTTGTGCATTTCACAACAGCATAATGTGATGGCATGAGCGAATTGATGAATAGCGGAAAAATACGATTCGTATGCCAAAATAATTGTGAAAAACTATTTCAATCACTTGTAAACAAATAAGTGAAGTGACGTTTGTGTTTCAATATTTTGCCTCCAGTGTCGGTCATCTGACAGTTCTTGCACGCAACCTATAATTGCAACCAAACTTTCAAAAATCCAAATGTCAACTAATTTCATGTCAAATAGTTGTCAGCCGATATTTCGCTGCTATGGTAATTATCCTCTGCATTTATCAGAACCTTATCTACTAAGATTTTCATAGTTACAGTGACAACAACGATGTGATACTTCCCGGACTAGGCAGGAAAAAATGCTACTTTCTCAGAGAAAAAGCATCCGGGAAGTGAACACTTTCCGGACGGTTGCTGAAAAAATTATTTGTATGTCGATAGACAAAATGTACAAGTACAGGGATGCATTCCTTCCCAGTGTTCAATTGTTATAATTATTCTTCTTACTTCTACACAGGGTGTTTCCGAAATACCTAATATTTTTTGCTGACGTAAATTTTTTGAATGAAAGTTTAAAATCATCTGATTTGTTATGGCACATTTTTTTTTTCGACGAAATTTAGATTCCCTACATTTTTCGACACTGGCCACCCACAATGTGGACAAGTGCAGCAAAATCGAGAACCTTGAGAAGCAGCTGAACATCGAGCTGAAGGTGAAACAGGGGGCCGAAAACATGATCCAGAGCATCACCGGCAGAGACAAAAAGTTGTTGCTCGAAGCTCAACAGATGTTGCAGGACTCCAAGAAGAAGATAGAATATTTAAGAATGAAAATTACAAAGGTAAGATATTTTTTGAAAATGTGAAACTATTACAAGATTTTATTTCCTCTAGATACGGGATTAGAATAGAATAGAATAGAATAGAATAATTTATTTACCATAAAAGTGCTACAAAGAACACAAGGTTTTGTAATGAGTATAAATAAAATAATATAAACTAAGAATATGATATAAACACAAACTTACACTAACAAAACATACATGCATATACATGTATATATTTACATCCTCTTATCAATATTGCGTCTGACTCTGGAACTAATTTGTTGCGTCCCCTAGAAGGGAGCCACTTAGAACAAAACTGACTGAAGTATATTAAAGACCGCGAAATTCTGTACAGGACCTGCTATTTCATTTCCCTCCAAATCGACTTTTATATATACATTTTCCTTTCATTTTGTATCATTAGCAACTCCTTTCACAGTCCTATCAATTCAAACTCCAGCGTATATTCTAGTTTTTATTTCTCGTTTATTACTGCAACCAATTTGTATATCATGTTTCAATGTCTCAATAATGCTGCGACCGCATTGTTGCCAGATCGACGTCAAGAATAAACATTCATATTTTATGATTCTGGGCATCATGCGTCCATTTCATCAGTGATTTAATTAGACAAGAGTGCTATTTCTGCATAAACTATGAGATACACAGTTCCTGTCTGAAATCAGTCTATACTTTCCAATGCATCGAGATAATACTTCTTAATTCAGGAATGTAGAATTCGTTGACGTGAATTATTCTTCTAGTTGCAAATATTTGATTTTTGAAAATGATGGCGGCATGACATCATTTTGGTTGAACATTTCAAATTTGGTATTAGGGGGGTTTTTGTGGTCGGAGATTATGATTCTTCTGTCAGAATTGAAATATGCAAGATGGCGGCTCCAACATGACGGATGGAATATGTAATTATGATCCGATTCTATTCAAAATTGGTATCTGGGGGTTTTTGAGGTTGGAGATTATGATGATACTGTCAAAATTGGAAAATTCAGAATGGCTGCTTCAATATTGGCGTACAAGTTTCGTAATTATGATCCGATTCTATTCAAAATTGTTATCTTGGGGTTTTCAGGATCGTAAATCATAAACATCCTGTCACAATTGGAGATTCAAGATGGCGGCTCCAATATGACGGACGAGTTTCGTATTCATGATTTAATTCTATTCAAAATTGGTACCTGGAGGTTTTCGGGGTCGGATATTATGATTATTCTGTCAAAATTAAAAAATTCAAAATGGCGGATCAAAATGGCGGACGAGTTTTGTAATTATGATCCGATTTCATTCAAAATTGGTGTCTGGAGGTTTTATATTACGGAGATTGTGATTCTTTCGTCACAATTGAGATATTCAAGATGGCGGGTACAATATGACGTACGAGTTTTGTAATTATGATCTTTCAAAATTGGCGCTTTCTCTCCTCGTCTTTGAAAATTTATGAATTATGAGGATATGTTTAAGAAGTAGAGTAATTAATACTCTCCCGGAATGTCACTGCGTTTGGAATTCAACTTTCAGGAACTTTTGAAGCATAAATATCGGAAATAACTTAACTCAAGTTAGCCCTAAATAATCTCTCAAAATGAACATTTTGCCCCCTCGAAGAACATAACAGACCGTGTCGAAGATTATGATAATATGGCAGACGGGTTTCGTAATTATAATCCGATTCTATTCAAAATTGTAATCTTGGGGTTTTCAGGATCGTAAATCATAAACATCCTGTCACAATTGGAGGTTCAAGATGACGGCTCCAATATGACGGACGAGTTTCGTATTCATGATTTAATTCCATTCAAAATTGGTATCTGGAGGTTTTCGGGGTCGGATATCAAGATTATTTTGTCAAAATTAAAAAATTCAAAATGGCGGATCAATATGGCGGACGAGTTTTGTAATTATGATCCGATTTCATTCAAAATTGGTATCTGAGGGTTTTCGGGTTCGGAGATCATGAATATCCTGACAGAATTGGAGAATTCAAAATGGCGGTTCCAATATGGCGAACGAGTTTTTGTAATTATGATTCGATTTTATTCAAAATCTGTATCTGGAGATTTTCGGGGTCGGAGAGTATTATTACCCTTTCAGAATTGGAATATTCGCGATGGCGGCTCCAACATGGCGGACGAGTTCTGTAAGTATGATCCGTTTCTATTCAAAATTTTTATCAGGGGGTTTTCGGGTTGGTGATTTTGATTATCCTGTCACAATTGGAAACTTCAAAATGACGGCTCCAATAAGGCGAACGAGTTTTGTAATAATGATTCGATTCTATACAAAATTGATATCTAAGGGTGTTTGGGGTCGGAGATTATGATTATTCTATCAAAATTGGGAATTTTAAGATGGCGGCTCCAATATAGCGGACGAGTTTTGAAATTATGATCCATTTCTATTGAAAATTAGTATCTGGGGTTTTTTGGGTCTGAGATTATGATTATCCTGTCGAAATTTGAGAATTTGGAATGGCAGCTTCAATTTGACGGACGGGTTTTGTAATTGTGATCCAATTCCATTCAAAATCAATATCTGAGAGATTTCTGGGTCGAAGATGATGATTCTTTTGTCAAGAATGAAAAATCAGAGATGGCGGACAAGTTTGGTAATTTTCATCCAATTTGATTCAAAATTGGTATCTGGGGATTTTCGGGGTCGAAGATTATGATTTCCTCTGTCAAAATTGAAAAAATAAAAATGGCGGCTCCTTTATGACGCACGCGTTCTGTAATTATTGAATTCTATTCAAAATTGGTATCTGGGAATTCTCGTGATCGGAGATTTCGATTTTCTTGTTAAATTCTTAAATTCAAGATGGCGGCTTCAATATTGTGGACAAGTTTTGTGTTTATGGAGAGATTTGATTCGAAATTAGAATCTGGGGGTTGTCAGGTTCGGAGATTATGATTTTCATGTCAAAATCAAAAAATTCAAGATGGCGGCATCAGAATAGTGTACAGGTTTTGAGAATATGGACCGATTCTATTCAAAATTTGTATTGAAAATCTATATCAGAATATAACGAGACGACAGACTGAAAATCTTAAAAACGAAATATTCTGAAAAAAAAAACTTTCTATAAACCACGCTCATATTCAGATGCACAGAAAAAAGGAAATTGATTATTTCGGTTATACGGAACTGAAGAGTATTAGTGATAGCGTGGGGCGACAAGTAGCAATATATCTAGCGATGATTGAGCGCTCTACGCATTATCCATATCCAGGAAAAAAATATTCCACCTTTTTTAGTGCAATCGAATATATGTGTGGTTTTTTAAACATTTGTTTCGTGTAATATATTTTCATCCATAATCAACAACTTTTAACTAGAAGAGTACCAAGTTCACGTCAACCAGTTCGACAATTTCGAATTCGAATATTCCATGTACCTAATCGATATCTCTGGATGAAAATCCATTTGGAGAGATCTAGGACAAGAACTCATCAGATAATATCAATTTCTTCCCAGAACCGCATCACTCTACCAAAATTTCTGAATATGATTGATCTTCATCAATCGAATAAGTTCACGTCATTCGATTCGACAGTTCCCCAAATTTGAAATATTCATCTCTATCTGATCGAAAGATCGTTGATGAGTCAATTCAGACATGCATTGAAATCAATTTCTGAAATGTTCTTGAAGCCGAATTTGCTAAAATAGTTCTTCGATCAACACGAAGTTAATATCAACTTGTGATTTCGAATGAAACTATTTATATTTTGTATTATATTCAAAACACACTATTCGTGGTAAAATCCACACAATATTCATAATGCTCAAAAACTTATTGGCTGAATATTCATACACCATATTGGATTTGGAATGACGTCACATAATTTATCGTATTCTACTTTTCAAACCCTTTCATTTGATACCCATGTCGATGGGGTTGTGATGAAGAAGGTGAGTCGCCATCTTGGAGCGTCCGTCATATTGTATTCAGGAAAACATCACTAGGATTCTCACATTCCACTCGTCGAACCCTTCAATTTGATACCCATGTCAATGAGGTTGTTAAAAAAGTTACTCCGCCATCTTGGGGCGTCCGCCATATGGGATTCTAACTACAGGGTGCCCGTTTTTCGAGCTCCACCATGGGGATCTCAGTTATTATAAGAGATACGAAGTTGGTTGAATAAGGGCAAAGTTGTGCAATTTGATGCTGATCAAAATGCCGCTTCGAAAGTTTGAAAATTCCGAATACTTCCGAAGATATTTGGAAAAAAAAACAGAATATCCGCGATTTCGTTTTTATTTTTTTCCGACTTTATTTGAAGTGATAGCATTGCCACTTTTTCTGCTCTATCCAATAGCATTAATAGATTCGTGATCCGACGTTTCGTCTTCGAAAAGCCATCATCAAGTCTGTATTTTCAAATGGTCGAAAAAAAATGTTTTGTTCCCAAAGAACTCTTATTCCGATTCTGAATCCAACGACATATAATACTTTACAATTATCCGACGTTTCGAACCAAAAAATCATCATCAGTATTATTTGATGTTGGTTACGAGGAAACGAAACGTCGGATTAAAAATCTGATGAAAGCAACTTGTAGAGAAGGAAAAATGGCTATGGAAATGTCAAATTCATTTTGGTCTATCTCTTTCAGTAAAATCAGAAATCTTTTCTTGGGATTAGAAACTTCGAGAATCACTTTTTATTGAAAACTGAAATAGAGATAGACCAACAAGTTGAATTCATCTTGGTCTCTCTAATTTAGTTTTCAACAAAAAGCGATTTTTGAAGTTTCTAATCCTATGAAATGATTTCTTTCTGATTTTACTACAAGATATAGACCAAAATAAATTTGACATTTTCATAGCCGTTTTTCCTTCGCTACAAGTTGTCGTTATAACCATCATTAAATATAACTGATATTTTGGTTCGAAACGTCGGATAATTTTGAAGTATTATATGTCGTTGGATTCAGAATCGGAATTAGAGTTCTTTGGGAACAAACATTTTCCTTTCGACCATTTGAAAATACAAAGTTGATGATGGCTCCTCGAAGACGAAACGTTGGATCATGAATCTATTAATGCCATTGGATAGAGCAGAAAAAGTGGCAATGCTAATATGTCACTCATTTTGTACTATCACTCCGAATAAAGTCAGAAAAAATCAAAACGAAATCGCGGATATTCGGTTTTTTCCAAATATCTTCGGAAGTATTCGAAATTTCGAATTTTTTGAATCGGCATTTTGATCAGCATCAAATTGCGCAACTTTGCCTTGATTCAACCAACCTCGTATCTCTTATAATAACTGAGATCCCCATGGTGGAGCTCGAAAAACGGGCACCCTGTATATATATATACATCCATTGAATGATCAGAAAGAAAGCTTCATGTAGAATTGCAGCTCTATTGAGATACAGTGTTGCCAAATGTATGGTCGCAGCATCCATCAGACGATGAAAAATTAATATACATAATGTATATTTGATAGCGCCTCTGACGGCATTTGTGCCAAGTAAAAATATTCGATTCTCTTATACTTTTATTAATGCTGCGTCCGATTTTGATACCAGAAAATCATCATATCTCCCAAACGGCTAACAATAGAGCAACCATTTAAAGAGAATGGATTCCGCGTCCCATGATGGTATTAATGAGGGACTCAGTACAACAATTCAATGCATTGGCGGGAAAATAACATGAATTGTAATCTTGCGTCCGATATACGGTCGCACTATCGCGATGGACGCAGGATTAAATGAAAATTGTCAATACATGGACGCAACATTGATAAGAGGATAAATATATGCATATACATGTATGCATATACACATCTGTATAATATTTCAATAGAGCACACATCTTTCATGACAAACGGACAAAGAAATAATCACAAAATTTTATTACTTCTATAGTAATCTCGTAGACCAATATTCAACATTTTTCAAAGAATTCTTTCAGGCTATAAAAACTGTTTTCTACTAGAAAAAAATGGTGTTGTGTGGTGTGACTGGTAGTTTGTTATATATGTAGCTCCCAGCACAGTACGGCGATTTCCGGTATGAACTGGTATTGAAATTCGAAATGTGAATTTCTTGCGCTTTTCTCGTGTGATACTTATGTATTATTTCAGTATCATTTGTATACAGAATGTTGCGAAATTAGACCCTACACAGGTGATAGAGAATCAGGAAGGAACATCAGGTCTTCAAGTGGTTGGTTTCAGAAATATACTTATAAGTATATAAATAAAAAAGCAACTTATAAATTGCTTTTTTATTTATTGGTTTTCGCCACTGGAATCACTTTGATGTATCGTTTAATTTGCAGCTATTCTGATTCCGGTTGCTTCTTTTCATTCCGCCCCACTACAAGGAATGACGTGGAATGACTGTTGACATTTGTCAAAAAATGATCGAATCATATCTTCATTCCCAGATAAAATGAATTCACTCATTCTCAGTAAATTTTCTCCAAGCACCACAATCACTGCACAAAATATGCTCAGATTCATTTTATTCATTTTCTTGATTTCCGAATCTAGTATTATGATATTGAAATTATTCGGAGCCCGAATATATAAATTTAATATAAGCTCTATAATCTATAATCATTCTATAATAAATATGTCAATTCTCTCATACTAGGTGCGAGGTCATGAGGTTTCTCATCTTAACTAACTATAGTGTTAAAATTCGAAAATAAAAATTTATTTTGGAAAGTACTCAAAAACTGCTCAATTTCTCTTACTCAAGTTGTGTATATAATTTCCTATTTAAAAACCTACATTGGCGTGTTTGAAGATGAAACGATGTAGTTTGAATGCAAAAGATTCGTTTTATTTATTAGGAATAAACAATGTTCATTGCTATACTTCAACACCCTATAGATTGAAAACTGAGCACTTAACGATCTAATGCCCCAGGGATGAAAAATTCAAATCATCTGATTATAAAAAATTATTCATACCACCATTCAAGTCAAATCATCAGAAGAGGAAATAAAAACTTCGAATTTCAGTTCATGGTTCATCACACCAGAAAAAACAAAACCACTATTGTTTGTAGTCTCTGTAAAAAATGAAATTTTGCATTTTTGTTTTTCGTTCCTTTTCGATTTCTACGTTTTGAGTAGACTTCACCAAATGTTAATGAAGAACTTTTTTTGAATAATGGGCATATTTTGTTGTGACTTCTGCCAATCTATTTGACGAGCAGGAGAAAATGGAAAACGTGTTGGGAACAGCAACTTGTCTTATTCATTTATAGGAAATAACAAACAAAATTAAAAGAAACAAAAAATATATATTTCAACCCTGTTATGCCACTATCTTGGAGATGTCACATTGGTAGCTTTGTCGCTAGAATTTCGCAACACCCTGTATATGCTCTTTTTTTTTCAGCTGAAACATGACATAGATTCAAATTCCCGTGGCTCAATTCAGGACCTTACAGACAATGGGGATTTGTCTCATAGAGAGCTAGAACCCCTCTTAGATGACAGGATTGAAGATTTAAAACATAGGTTAAGGGTGGAAGCAGCAGTTGTAGAAGGTGCCAAAAACGTTATAAAACTTTTACAGATTAACAATAAAGAAAAGAGTGAGAAAAAAGCCCTGTTAGAGGTAAGTCCTAGGTTTCAATCAATATTTGGAGAAAATATTTGGGACAGATTGACTTTTGAGTGAACAGTAAATCACAAATTTTTATTGTCAAATTTCAAAGGAAATTATTATCTCATTAGGAAAATTTTATCAAAAATACTTTTTTCATTGTACAAATCTTTTGCTGAAAATTCAAAAAACGATCCTACCATCAAATGCAAAAATTACCTTCTTTGGATCCTCAGAATTTCAGTTTGGTAATTTTAATAAATGGCAAGAGGTGAAATGATAAAAACATCCCTTATCAATTTTCAAATTTCACGTTGAAAGATGTTTGCCAGTTCAAATAATTTGTAGACATTTTGAACATCTTCAGAACATAATAGTATCTGAAAAACGATTTTCCGATAAAATCACATTTGTACTAGAGATTTTTTACTCTTCTGATACCAACTACAGCTCTATATTATAAGAAATACACAGAGTACCTCATTCTTTGATGTATTTTTTGATATTTCAAACTTGTTCTTGGAATTGCATAGAAAATTCCTGTGAAAATTATTGTTTATCGAATTCCATGTTGATGAATCTTGACCGAATTATTTCACACCTACAAACAACTTGTATGACATTCCATTCATCATAGTTTCTACAAAATAATAAATAGGAACGCGCGACAGTATTGCGCATTGGTCTGTTTATATAGGACAATACTAGGTGTAGCTCCAAACGAGAATTGAGTTATATAAATAGTTGAAACTCGTGCCAAATATCCGCTCAGTGCACATTGTGCTATGACATACTGAAGGTGAAGATGCACAACAGATAAAAAGTGTGACGCTACAAAAGAACATAAATTCATTGTTCATATTTTTGGTCTCACGAATTCTGAAGTATCGTGAAGCGTGTGAAACAACCATTAAATTACGTGTCGGTACAGTTCAACAAGTTGATTCTCCTTCAAAGCAACAGCTGTACCTGAATTAAAAAACTCGGTGAACGTGTTCAACTATAAATCATGAATCTGGATTTACAATATCTAAAAATACTTGTAGCCTGTTGCTTCATGTGACGTAATACGACTGTTCAGATATAGTGACACTCTCGCTCTTTTGTTCCATTATTAGACCGAAAATAAAACCACAACGCGCTAGCTATCGGCTGATATTTCGTAGTCGGTTTATACAGCGCGGCACCGGAACATGAAACGAATCCAAGCCAATTTCAATCGGGTTTCGAACAATTCGCGTATATAGCGGTGGGATCATGTACAGTACTCCCGATCAGCCGCAGCAATGGTCCGTACACGCGGAATTCACCATTTCCCACCCGGGAGTTTGCGACCCCCAAAACCCCGCTACCACCAATACCGTCCACGACGAAAACGCGGTGCGAATGAACTACTCCTGGACAGCCAACGACAACCACCCGTCAGAAGGCAGTACCAAATCCAGCGAACGCATGTACGGCTTCCAGCGGGGCAACCTGTTCTTCACTTCGACCCCGCCCACCAAGCCCCACCCACCTGTATTCGATTCCGGCTACGGCAGCGATCTGATGTCTTCCAGCTCGCGGGGCAGCTCGAAAGGCCCCGCCCACCCGTGTCACAGGAAGTGCAAGAGCACCTGCAACATCGTGCTGACCAATAGCGCGCGACAAGGGGCGGGGCGAACGCAGAGCCTGCGCTGCCAAACCCCCGCGGCCGGCTGCGAGAGGCGGGGCGAAGGGTTTTACGGGTGCGGCGACCCGTGGTGCCACCACGCCGACGAGTTTATGCGCAGGGTGTCTCCCGTGCGGGAGGAGGATCAGGGGTGTGGCTTGTGCGATTCGGGGGGTGGAGTTGGTTCGAAGAGGGACGCGTCTGTGCAGACGTACGAGATGGTGAGCAAGTGCACGTCGCCGATGTCTGGGTGGGGCGATTCGGGGGAGGAGGAGGGGTCCGGCAAGGGGCGGAGGCGGTTAAGGAGGGGCGGGACGATAGGGCGGGCGGGGTCGGTGAAGAAGAGAGAGTCGACTGGAACGACGGGAAATAGTTTACAGGTAAGTTGCAGTCATTGTTTGATTGCAAAACATTATGTCAACATCGTTCACTTGTTTTTTTAGTATTTAGTATGACACGAAGAAAAAAAATCAAAATTATACAAGGAACATTTTCAACAATATACAGAGGTACTTCGATGAAATCGACCATATTCCACTTGGGAATAGTTAGACATTTTTTGCTATTTGTTGGCAGCAGTCACTATCACGTTGAGTGTCATTTGTAGAATGAATTGTGTTTTGTCAATGTTGATTATAATTTAATGAAATATTCTCAGATATACACCGTGGGGAATAGTTAGACATTTTTTGCTATTTGTTGGCAGCAGTCACTATCACGTTGAGTGTCATTTGTAGAATGAATTGTGTTTTGTCAATGTTGATTATAATTTAATGAAATATTCTCAGATATATGTATATCATGAACATGAAAAAATTGATATACATATTGTATATAAAGCAATAGATTCACATTCTCTATGTGATGAGAATATTAATTCTTTCTCGGTATATTCAACAGAAAACAACTACTTTGCTGGCTATATGCCACGACTAACATTGAATTATATCTATTGAACACTCATGATAAGAATTTGTTTAAGACTTGAAGGGTCCAAGAAGTTGTTCTTGCTCTTATTTTCAATAATTAACAATTCAACAGTTTCTGATCCTATAAAAATACATTATTTTTGACAGTGGTACCGATTTAATTCACATTTGACTTATGACACCTCTGTAACCAACCTCCCAATATGAAATTTCTGACTTCTGAGAATATGATCAACTTAGTGTGCATTTCTTTGACGAGGTGGGGGGTGTAGGAATTGCAATTGAATACTCTCATACAAATCATGCTTTATAAATATTAAAAGTTCGATACAATCTCACTTGCCCAACTAATTTTCTGTGGGAGTAACAAAAAAATAGAATGATCAACATTTCATAGTACAGTCTAAGAATAGTAATACCTGTAATATACATATTTCATGAGTACCATTCCAAGTATTTTAATATATTCATGTCATATATTACTTTGCTTCAGGTTACCTGAGATATGTAAGCTAATTTTTTGCATCATAAATTTGATATTTCGGTCACTTTTTGACCTTGCTGGTAGTATACCTGAGATTTGGCAACGAGCAATGTCTTGCAATGCCAACAAATTCGTAATTTCGATAATTTACAGAAATGAGATGATTTAGAATAAAGATAAATAATATTCAGTGTATTGAATATTGACAAAGTTGGGAGATACAACGTATCCTTCCAGACTATGTTATTTTTCACTTGAGATTTAGTTTACTTTATAATTTATTATTCTCATCGGAATATAAATACTTCCTAGCATATTTCACATTATTAGATATATTCCCACTAAATATTTCTTTTCTCAATAACAGAATAATATTTTTGGCCTATTGAAAACTGATTAACGAGCATTGTCTTGTTTCTCTCGAACTAAATAGGTGCCTATTGCTCTTGGATTGGTATTCTCAACTAGGAAAAACATCACTGAAGTATCCTGATACTTTTATCATATGCAATCTATAATAAGAATCAGCTGATGATCTGTATCTTCAGTCACCAGAGATATAATTCGGTCTTTGTGTCTACTTCTACCATAAAAATAAATTCATCTGTTTTTTTATATCCAGAATATAAAAATAAGTTTGATGTTTTGATATTTCAAAGTGACATGAGGTTGTTGCCATTTGTTTGAATTATTTTTATATTCGATGAAAGAGGAGCAAACGAGTGTGTATAAAAATAAAGTTTTATCTGCATTCAAAGGGTTATACATTCATAAAAATAGTTACAACTATTTTCAGAGCTAAAAATAGTTCCAACTATTTTTAGAGCATGAAATTTAAAAATATGTGTTAAACCACTGTTCACTAAACTTCCGAACAGATTTGAATGCACTGCACGTCTATTGACAGTATTCACTAAAAGGGCTTTCATTTTACAGCGGGACCTACCAAGACTCAGCCGTTTCCCTTCGGTCAAAAATACATCTCCTCCCGCCTCAGAAAAAAAATGTTCTGGAAGCGATACCAAATCAGACTCGACAAAAAAACCGAGAACAATCCACATAGACGTCTACTGCACCGGCACCGAAATAGAATCAGATGGCGACTCTTCACTGAACTCAGAATATACCAAATCGGCTTCTACGCCTCAGACCGTGTTCGAGTCTGAGAAAGTCTGCGTAAAACGTCAAAAAGCTAGTGAGGCCTCTATACCGCATCGGTTCTGTAAGTCCGTTGAGACCTCTGTGGACCACGAAGAGTCTGACTTGGATGACGGTCTGAGCACAGCGTATCCTTCCAAAATGAGTTCTTTCGCTATGGATCGCTCGCTGACTAGTATGTCCAGCTTTCCCAATTCTCTTTCGAGCTGTACAGTACCCAACTACGCTTCTTCTTTAACTAACACTTCTTGGAAAGACACGGTATCCGACTTCGAGAGTTTGATACAGAGCAGGAGTAGTATAGCACAGAACGACAGTTTGTATTTCGTGCCAAAAAGAATAGAAGAAGAAAACGAGGGTACTTGCGATACCCCTAAGACCGGTACCACCAATAGCCTACAGCCCAGTGATAGCTTCGAATATGCTAATTCCGATGACAGGTCGAGGATTAGAAGAATGGAAAGGCTTTGGAAGGCCAAGAAGGTCAAGACTCCTGACCAGCAATTGAAACTTGAACAAGCTTTGAACAAGAAGCTGAGCCGAATCAATGTTTCCAAAGACTCTGATTCTGAAATCAGCGATGAGGAGGAGACGGGATGGACGTTTCTGAAGAACCAGACAGGTTTTATTGGGGGTATAGAAGAGTCAAAAGTATCTGCTGAGGCAGAGGCTCCGAAGAAAATCAAACAACCTGAACTCCAGACAACAGTGCCTAGAGAAGATAACAATTTCCTGGGTAGCTTGAGCGATTCCAGTACATCACCTTGCAAATCTCCTAGCACCGTGATTTTACGCCAGAGGCTCAGCCAGGATCCAAGTTTACGGTCACCCTTCACCATCTGGCCAGGGAAATATACCGAGCAGAGGTTCATAGCGAAGAAGTTCGGGCCTGTTATAAATGTGTATAAGAAGCCAGGGCATCATGTTGGACCAGCCAAGAACCCGGATTGTTCTTGTGACCACTGCAGGAGGCATTTCGGGGGATCAGGCAGGACAAGGACTAGTTCGGTTGGGGACTCCCCTAGGACGGCACCGGTCGATTGGAAGAGTTTCATTAAGCCGGGACAGAGATATTCGGATTTTTGAGTGTGCGCGATGTTTCTTTTTTATTTTTTTACGGATATGTGTTAGCTTCTTAGTATATCGAGTTTTGTGATTCAGTTTATCTTAGTATCATAGTAAGTAAGTATTTGCAAGAATTATTAGCAATATTCTTTCTACCTTTACATTGTCACTACTATCAATTGAGTTAGAAGAAGGTGAGACGGATCTGAGTTGTCGCTTGGATAAAAAGAACACATATTTATCTGTCAGGAAGGGCAAGGGAAGAAAACATAACCCAACATAATTCAATCAAAATGTAAAATGGCTGAGGAGCATAGAAATATTGTTGTAGTGAGTATTCAAAGGATTTAACCTGTGGACTGAAACTTGAAAGCTGAAAGCATGTCAAAATGAAAATGAAAAAACAACCCAGAATTACTAGAATTAATCCAGTCTTACCTTTTTCTCACTACAACACCAAATTAATAGCAAGCTCAGTTGGGGTGAGGGGGAAGAAATAGTCTCAATGAGTTCTTAAGACAACACATCAGACTAAGATGAATGAAACATGTAATACGACTGAGCTATTGAGCTGCACTGAGAATCTACGTTAATCTCAGTCAAAGTTGGTGAAAAGAATATTACTATTGTCTCATTAAACTCAAGTCGACGTCGATACGTGCCGATACTGTCAAGGTCGATAGCGATCGTTATTTCTTCGAGCCTATTTTTCAGGCTTAAAAGTGCATGTTAGCACGACTTTGGTTCCCTTCCATTGGCTTGCTAACAAGGAAGGCATTGTTTTGATGCTTATTATCTCATGGAAACAGAATATTTACAATCAAACGCGATCACACATTTTCCGATTCTGGTCCAGTGCCACTGTAAGTAGTATGACCAAGTGGAACACCTATCGGAGTTCCTGAAAGCTGTCATGTTTAGTTCGTTTTCATTGGTTCACATTTGTTTTTTGTTTGTGCTTATTGGTCATATCATTGAGGCAACTAAGTCTATAGTGGTATAGATGGCTCAATATCCATTTTATTTTTGTTTACTCACAGATAGTCTGATCCAATTATTTTCTCCTTTAGAATTATGTAGTATATCTGTTAAATTTTATATTCAATATGAACTATACATGTTTTTAACAGTGAAAATGTGTAAAGACGAAGTTTCTTAAAAATATAAAACAAATGAATGTCACATGCCTAAAATAAATATTGAACGTTTTCAATGTTGAAAATATTCTGTAGGTAAATATAGTTATTCATGTACTTAAGACGAAAAACTGTCATAGTCGAGTCTGCAAATTGCCGACGCCTTAGCCGAGGCTAGCAATCAGGCGAGATAATGGACAGTTTTTCGCCGAGGTGCATATTACATTTTTTCTTCGACCTCAAACACTTATATCCACATCACCGTCCTATTCACACGTGAAATCTATCGGATTTCGTGGATAATTGATTTGACAACAGCAGTTGTTGTCAACTCACTCTCCGCGCTGACCAGTGTTGCCAGTTCGATGTTTATTTCATCAGTAAATACTGTCAAAAATTCAGATCTATTTTATGTTTGAGAAATTCCAAGAAAGGATAATGAAAGCAAAAAAGTAACCTGTTTCCAACAAAATTGAAACAAAAATCAAACATTCTCTTGAAAAAATAATCATATTCCTATTTCTCAATTTGAAAATACTCAGAAATATCACAAAATACAGTTACGTAGGTACTAATGAGATTTGAGTTTATTGAAAACAGGAAGGAATAGTAAAAATGAACAACAAAAATACAAATCATAAAAAACTTTAACGTAAGAAACAAACTGTTATTACAGAGGTATGTAATAGTATATTATGTAACAAGTGTTATAAACGTCCTTTTAGTAACGAGTACTTTAAGCACGAGCGGAGCAGAGCGGAGCGAGTGTTTAAACGAGTGTCTAGAAGAGTTTATAAACGCGTTACATACTATGATTTTTCTACGAACTCCGAAAATTACATTAACATACCTGCAATTCCTGCTAGCCTACAAAATAATTCGAAAGGAATGGGAACTGAGAACATAATACATGCAACTGCATGCAACCAGCGAGACACGTATAAGTGATATTGGTTGTAGATGTGTCCAATCCATTGCTTACTAACCTTTGTTTCACGTTTATTTTCATACTTAGCGCAGAATAAATAAATTGTTCTCAAAGATGGATGCTTCATTTTTACACTTCTTGGAGATATGCAAGTACCAGAACATTCTCTTCGATTTCACTTTCGTCTACTTTTCGCATATATTTTTAATGAAGAATTCTGATACAAACGAATATTGTTTGAATAATTCTGATACAAAATTCCAAAATAACAGTTGACAGTTAATACAATTGACAGGCCAGACATGTCTCAAATTACTGAAGCTGAGTTTAATGAACTGCGTTGCCATGGTAATGTGTTTAAGAAATCGTGTTGCCATGGTAACGTGTTTAATATGTTGAATAAATCACAGATCGACAATCCGTGATTAATCGATCATTTAGCGTGGAACATATCCGTACGCTAAATGCCATTTTAGTTATGTGAGTAGAAAAAAAAATTATTTGATCTGAACCAGATGAAGTATTGTCCTTTTCTGTTTTATACATATCATTAGTACCTATATGTACATCAATTACTTATTTTGTAAAAGTAATTCAAAAATAGCGTGCCGAAATATCATGTTAATAGGATTGAAAAATTTAAAAGAGAATTCAAGAAACATCTACTCCTGTAATATTGACATCTTATCTCATTTTTATAGTTTTCTTGTACAACTACTATAGTTTTCAATTGTGTACCTAACAGCTGAGTCAATTGAGGATCATATTCATTTGAACTTGAAAAAAAAAAGATTCTTTTTGAGTGTGAGTCTTATTTTACTGTCTTCTTTATTTTATTTTGTCAAATATATTTATGTATTCACTATGTTCCCTGCTATAAACAAATGTTGTTTCTTGGGAATAATAAAGTTGATTGATTGATTGAATTAAAATGATTTTCCTAAGAATATGCCAATCAGGAGATATACTAAAAATTCAGTATAACTGGCAACCGTGGAACGGAAGAAAAGTGTTTGCGGACGAAAAGTTAGTGTCTTTCGTTCGGAAATTAGAACGTAAAATGTGATTTTTTCGTAGAGGTTGACGAAAAAATACTTTGTTTACCGATGTTCTCGTTTTTGTTAGGCCCAGGAGAGTTTGCGGGCAAGCAGCATGAAGCTGGATCTCTTGAAAAAATCGCTGGAGATGCGGAAAGCAGAATTACCCGACGATTCTCCTGTCGCCATGCATTTGAAGGAAGAATTAGCGAATGCGCAATCGTTCAGCCCGACCTCGGTGCACTATACCAGTTTGCAGCCTTTCCGAGAAGGAAATGATACAGGTATTATTATTATTATCATCGATGGCGAATATGACACTCCTTGAATCTTGAATGATTGTTTCAAGTCATGGAAACCATCCATCCGTCTCAAAATGTAACGGCTTTTATTTCTGGGACCCTTACTTTGGCGCTTGTTGAACAGACTTCTGGAACCTGTCGTGTCTCGGGCGCCATATTGTTTATGGGGTGGTTTTCTCTATATAAATATTCTTGTACAGAGGCCCAGAGTAGCAAAGTGAAGAAGACACAGAGGGTGTCTAGTAAACCAGGGGGTCAGTGCTGTTGAATTGATCTGGAATCAAGGGGCCAAGAGACTAGGCTTTAATAACAGAATGGGGAATCCTGGACTACTGGGTGCTATGAATGGATGTTTCTACTTAATACTTACTCTTGGGTTGGATTAATACCATTTCAATACCGATTGTTCCCTGATATTTTCTTAGAGCTAGAAACATAATTCTGACCCAGTTTGAAATAGGGAAGTGTGTAACAAGTCGAGTATCTTTATGATCAGCTATGAATCGAACAGAAGGTTATTACCTGGTTATTAATGAAATTTGCCCACCCTGTATCGTGTAGAACAGCGAATTTTACTGGAATCTATGTCTGGAATTGAAATATAGACGATGAGATAGGAATTTCTACACATACCGTTTCTTAGTAATGAAGTCAAAGTTCAAAGAAGGAACTGCATCATATTTGAGTTGCGTTCTAGATTCATTTTGAATGAAACTGCCCTCGGCAAAATGAGCACTACAAATTTTTATTCTGCCATTACTTTGCTCTGGTGTAAGGTTTGCATATCGATGAGAGCCAATAAATCCCAGAGATTTCTTCCAGCTCTGACACCTACAAAATTATACGAGATGCGAACTCGAAAATCTATACTATATATGTAGAAATCGGCAAATTTATTCTTAGTAAATTTTCTCTTTTATCCGATTACTTGAACAAATTTCAATAATCTTACCTAGTTACATCTTTTGGACATCGGAAAAATGAAATTCCATGCCCTGGTTCATTGTTACACCCTTCAACACAACACAAACCCATTCTTATCAGTAAAAATAATGACAATAAACTAATGCTGAACGAAGAAGTTAGGTGTCTTATCAATTTCCAACCGGCGTTACCCACGTTTATGTTCGGTGCCAACGTGAAGACTATCGGTATACGCGAAAGTGTCGAGAAGTGCTGAGATGGGAGACGGGGCAGGAAGGGTAATTATCGGGCGGAACTTAGAGTGGTCCTTCTAGTCTCTGTTTCTTTTCGGTGCTTGGACAGACTGTATACTCAATCGATCTCTCTTAGGCAGACCCCACCCCTCGTCCTCGACCTTCTCGCGCTGCGCAGCTGTCACCGGCACGTTGGAGGTCCGCCTGATGGGCTGCCAGGATCTGCTCGACGACGTGCCGGGCAGGCTGCGCAGGGAGGGCGAGCTCTCTGCCGGCGGCGGCAGCGGGGGCGGCGGCGGCAGCCCGATGGACCTGCGCTTCTTCAAGAAAACGGGGCGCGGCTCGTCGAAGAGCTACAGCGTCAAGGAGGAGGTGAGCGAGGAGATCATGGCGGTGCTGAAGCTGGACAACACGACGGTGGGGCAGACCAGTTGGCGGCTGTGCTCGCAGCAGGCGTGGGATCAGAGGTGAGTGGATGGATTTCAATCAATCAATCAAGATATACTTTATTATCGAAAGAACACAACGCTCAAAATTGATATAACTAATGCTAATTATAATTAAAAAGTGATGGATATTTACGATACGAATATAGTACAATATTTTACCTACTACCAAAAAGCTGATTATTTAATCAAAAATATTCAATATTCCTTGAAGTGGCAATTTATTAGGAATATGTAACAAGCAAGCGTTGCAAGGGTTGGGCATATGGTTGTCGTGAATCTATTGTGTTCTCTGTTGTCACTCATTCGGCGAACTGTCAACTTTGATGCGTTAATTTCCATTCGAAAAAAATTCATCGGCATGAATTCGGATCAGGAAAGTTTAGATTCCGATATAGAAATTGTTTCATATTTCGCACTAGTGCGGTAAAATAACACTTTACCGCACTAGTGTAAGTAAATGAGCTGACTTATAATAAAGGGATGCATCATCATAACACCAGACAGAAAGAACACTTTTCTATTCTACCGAAGAGTAAGAGATTGGCAGAAAATTCCGTTATTTTTTAGAGGGTTGAAACAATATAATGACTTGCCATCTGACGTGAAGAATGCATTTTCCATCAATATATTCAAGACCAAGTTGAAAATACATTAATTGAAACAAACCAACTCAAAGTTTTTAAGATTTTGTTGGACTAATTCAAGTTTCAATTCTACCTTTTTTTAATAATTGACAACAAATTGGCATAACATAACTCACTATCAAAATACAGAAATACAGGGTGCCACATTTTCAAATCGTTTATTTTATGTCCTATATTTTTATTGCACCTTTTGTGATGATCTTAAGTTTGTGAATTAAGTGTCTAGATGTTCCTTGTTCGTTTTGATCTTATGACTGTTTTTATATTACATTGACTTGTATATTAGCTTTGGCTAAATAAATGAAGAGTAATAATTATAAATTATATTATCAGGTTTGTTTTTTGTTTCATCTTTTTTCAGAAATAAGACTATTCCAAGATGATGCTTATGATTAGGAAAGGAAGTATAACAGAAATACACATAGATAGAGATGACAGAAAATACAGTAGTTAGTAATTCACCCAGCTTTTACAAATAATAGTTATGTAACCAACTAGTTTATTGATGAGGGCAATGAAAATGTATTTGCCTGCGGTGCAGTTTTGGTTATATTATACTTCCAGCAAATTTTTTCACGATTCTGTTCATGCACAGGTTCTCCATCGAGTTAGACAAATCGAGGGAGTTAGAAATAGGAGTATATTGGAGAGACTGGAGGTCACTGTGTGGCGTGAAGTTCCTCAAACTGGAAGAATTTATCGATGACGAAAGGCATGGGATGGCTTTACACCTGGAACCGAAAGGATTGTTATTTGCAGAGGTACTTTTGAACATGATAATCACCATTTTGCTTGCTGTTCTTGTTTGTTGAAAGATGGAAAATATGTCTCACCATGAGTAAAATTAATGAAATTTACATTATGGTAAGACAAACACAATGTTGAAGACCGTTCACACGTCAATATGAAAGGTTGGGGAAACGAATAATGAGAGGAAGTTCACTCTAACCTGAAAACAAGGGCAAAAGAGGAAGTTGGCTCTGCTTTTGTTCGCGCTATTTTTTGGCACTGCTGGGGAAGACATATTTTCATCTCTCTTGACGCTGGTTCAATTTCTTAATCAAGCTTCTAAATCCTTTCAGTTCAAATTTCTGAATCCGATGATTTCGAAAAGGCCGAAGCTGCAACGGCAGAAGAGGATATTCAAGCAGGTGATGCCGAGAGCCAAACAAATGAATATCAACATCGTGACGTGGGGCAGGTGGATGAAACAGTCTTCGCGCATGACCAGCAAACAGAATCTGGCTGCCGTTTCTTCAGAAAATATTGCGGTGAGTCTTAAGGCGCGTGCACATGCCTGTTTCTGCCTGTAGCAGAAAACTTATACAAAACAGGTTCACTATTCACATGAAAAAATTGGTAGAGTGACATTGACTTATACAGTTGGTTGAATTTCAACGTAAAATATCATTAGGATTTCAAATTGTGCCAAATTGATTGACGTGTTTTGATCCATGTTGCCGATACTATTCGCGATTTTAACTACCGATGAGGGTGCTACAAGACGTAAACAACGATGGAGGATTGCGGGTAATCTTTCTTGTTTTGTACAGTGAATCGGTGTGGTCCATTCGTTTTTGAGCTTTCCAGATATAATGATATGGATTATTTTGAGATATTGAGGACTATTGGAGAGTGATTACTTATTCAATTATATGATGTATCCAGTATTGATTACTCACTAGATAGGTTCACAGTGTCACCACCAGAGGGGTCTAGACTATTGGTTTCGCGGATATTCCATCTTTTATCCAGCATAAACATATTGTGATCATTCTCATCTCTTCGATTCCACAGAAGTCATCTTAATTACACTTTTTTTAAATTTGTTGATATCCATTGTTAAGCATTGAGCATTTTGCGTTGACTGATTTGTCAATACTCGCTGTCAGTCAGTATCAAAGAAATAAACACTGTCTCGCATACATCGCCGGTCGCAAAATTACTACCGCTCCGACGTAAATACTTGCTTATAAACACGTGCTCTTCATTTTATTATCTCCCTAGTATCGCAACTTGTGTCCTCTACCTCTGCTCCAACATGTATAAAAGTGTTTGCTATATAATAACGCACTCCTCACCCTATACCTATAAATACTGTCTGTAGGTTAATCGAGGAGGTGGTATATTCATTATTCCAATTTTTTTGGGATTTTCTCTCCTCGTTTCTATAAAATAAAAATATGAATATTATTTCAATATACGTGTAGTAAGGACAAATCAGATGATTTGCCCCAAAATGTCACTGCGTTTAAAGAATTTTCCTATCAGAGAGCCTAAAAGAAAAATTCACTAGCTTGTCAGTGACAATTTGTATTGAAAAATTTTTGGAGAAGAGAAATAAAGGTATATAGAAAAAATATCAAATTTTCACTTATCTTTGGTCCCGAAACGTCCAAAGATAAGTGAAAATTTGATATTTTTTCTATATACCTTTATTTCTCTTCTCCAAAAATACAATACAATACAATACAAATTGTCACTGACAAGCTAGTGAATTTTTCTTTTAGGCTCTCTGATAGGAAAATTCTTTAAACGCAGTGACATTTTGGGGCAAATCATCTGATTTGTCCTTACTACACGTATATTGAAATAATATTCATATTTTTATTTTATAGAAACGAGGAGAGAAAATCCCAAAAAATTTGGAATAATGACTATACCTATAACATAATATTTCTTGAATAATGTCTAGGTCAATCAAGGAGATGGTATATTCATTTTGGTTGATTATTTGGGATTTTCTCCTCGTTTCTGTGAAATAAAAATATGAGTATTATTTCAACAAATTCAAATTCTTTATTCTTTCTAATTTGACAATTATACAATTGCATTGAAAGTTGTCACAGAACTAAAATTACAACGGTTACAAACACTACAATTAAAAGTTAAAATTCAACAGTTACACATTCACATTCACTGAGATATGCAGGTACTAAGTAATCACACTTCCCTATGAGAAATTCTTTGTTTCTAAGAAAACATTTATAGAATTATATTAAAAAGGTCTTACAGTACTAGAATTTAAATCGTTAAAAACACTTCGATTAACACTCAAAATTGTATGGTTACCAGCATTCATTGAGATATTCACTGACTGAGTAGTAACACTTTTCTATAAGAAACTGTTTCAATGATTTTTTGAATACATATAAACTGTCAATAATTTTTATATGTGGTGGTAGATTATTGAACAATCTAGGGCCCATGTAATTTGGAGATCGATTGCTCAACTTCAACCGGACTGATTGAAAATGTATATCTTTCTTGTGCCTAGTATGATAATTATGCACATCATCATTGAGAGTAAATTCCTTTTTGTTATGAAAAACATACAAACATACTTCATATATGTAAACACATGGCATTGTCAATATTCCAAAGTTTGGAAACAATTGTTTGCATGAGTGAGTGTACGACACTCGTGCTATGCAACGAATAATCTTTTTTTGTGCTATGAACACTTCAGAAATCCTTGTCGACATACCCCACAATAATATGCCGTATCTGATTTGAGAGTCAACGTATGCATAGTAAAGATTTATTAACTGTATTTTACTTAAAATATTTCGCAAGTTCCTGAATAAATAGTTCATTGAGTGAAGCTTGGAGATAATATGTCCACATTGTGCTTTCCAGTCAAGGTGCTCCTCAATATAAAGACCAACAACAACCAACAGACAAATTGTAGGACAAATCAGATGATATGCCCCAAAATGTCACTGCATTCAAAACATTTTTTCATCAGGGAGATTATGTTAGAAGAAAATAAATATAGATGTATTGAAAAAATATCGCATCTTCACTTATCTTTGGACGAATTGGGAACGAATCTGCTCCCGTTTTCAACATGAAAAATATAAAAGATTATTCGGAAATTGTCTTCTTATAGTGTGACACTTCTTAGTGACAGACTGATGTTGGCATATAAATTGATTTACTTTTATAGAAACGAGTATAGAAAATCCGAAATAATCAAGAAAAAAACTTTTTCTGCAGCCAACGCAAAAGTCGTCCATTTTAATTCCAAAATTAGCTCTTGAAGTTGAAAGTTTCTATTGCAATAATATATCTATTATTACAATAATTTCAGTTGCATGTATTCAAATGGATTATCATATTATGGCTACATGGCAGAAATCAAAGACAAATAGTTTCTTCACAAGTAGCCAAATGAAATAAACTGAATTTCTATCTTAGTTTTCTCAATATCGTGAGTTATTTTCGAATGATTTTTTTAAACTCAATGAAATCATTGGAAATCTTCTGCAACTCAGGGTATGGGAAATATTCTGAAAATATTGTCTAAGTGATGATCTTTGGATTTCTTAGTTTATCAAGCACCCAAATGTCATTGTATTCGGGCCACAGCCAACTTCTTGTATTTCAATAAAATGCAATTTAACAGCAAATTAATGAACGAATACCAAATTGTGATACATAGTTGAATAGAGGATTTCAAGGTGAATAAGATAGGCTACAGAAATATACAGGGTAACATTTGAAAAAAGAAAAGTTGGGTCTACTTCCAATCAAACAGGTGGTTGAAAAAAATTGTCATTGAGTTCAAGGGAAGCACCACCATCGATAACATAATCGTTAGGCCTGTTCGTTTGTGCTTGCTCAACCTGCTAAACTAAATTTTTTTCTATGACTTTCTTAGTATACATCATCGCATGAACAGAGACAACTATGGGAAAACGATCAACTTTAGCAAGTTTAGCAATACAAACGAACAGGCCTCTTGTGAATTTCAAAATTTTATCTCGTCAAATTAAAAAATTACAGGCTGTTACATGTCTCCTGTGTCACCCGGTATATGTTTTAGTTAGGTGATAATTCTTTTGGTTGCATAAAAATATAGCATGTTTCATTCGGATCAAAGGTGACACAATTTAGACAAGCGAATTTTGAGTTTGCAGGGCGGAGCGTTAGCGAATCCGATCTTGAGCAAGCGAGTGTCACTTTTGATCCTAATAAAACAATCTACTATTTTTGTTTTTCTCTCTCTCTATTCAGGACGAGCTGCTCACGCCCGAAGATAAACCTGAGACGCCCGGCGAGACGCCAGACCCGCGCAGCGGCGGTCTGGGCGGCCAGCGCCCGCTCGACCTCGGCGCCGCCGTCGACGGCGGGTCGCTGCCGCTGTCGCCGCCGCCACCCTCGCGGCCTCCACCCCTCTCGTCCTTCCGGCTGGGGCAGCCGGGCAAGAAGCGGGCGGCGGAGGCGCCGCAGCATCCGCCGCCCCCGGTGCCGCAGCGGCTAGATCCGGAGGTGAGTGAAGATTACAGAGTACCCAATGGGCACACGTACGTTTTGTAAACGTTTATTCGACGTAGATCAGGTTGAATAGACGTTTATGGTTGAGGAATTCAACGTTTGTATATGGTTGAAGAGAATAACGTTGAAACTAAACGTTTAATACACGTATTGAAAACGATCCATGAAATTCGTACATTTATAAAACGTTTTCCCAAAACGCTAGACAAACTCTTCAACGCGAATCCTTCATCATTTTCTAACTGATAGTGGGGAAAAAACGTGTATGAAACGTTATTTAACTACATTTTTCAGCCTTCATTCGACAACGTTTATTATACCTTGTTGTTCAACTATTTTTCAACTCATAGTTGAACTGCTAGCAGTTATATAACGTGTATTCAAAACGTTTATCAAACCCTTGAAATGATGGTTTTTTCAACGTCATTCTTTCAACAAAATTCAACTGCTGGTCAAGAAATCAACGTGTTAAAAATGTTTTTCAACAACGTTTCTCCACCGTTATTTGCCAACGTGTAATAAATGTTGTTATCAAACTATTTTTTACATTTTGGTAGAAGTGCTCACGGTTATGTAACGTTTTTTGATAACGTTTAATTAACTCTAAAATCCGACGTTTTCCCAACTTGAATCTTTCACCATCATTCAACAGTCAGTAACAGAAACAACGTGATGAATACACTTCTCAATAACGTTCCTCAACCATTACTCAGTAACGTTTGACAGAAAAGTCGCAGGTGGTTAGTGAATTTTTGCGGTTGTTGTGACCTTTCAATGTATAAATGAGAGAGTTTCTGGTTGTCGACCGGCCCGACCGTCCGGTCGTTAATGTCTCGTTACTGATACATTGACAAATACGATTCGTTTCGAGCGGTCGCTTGTATGCAAAAACGACAAAATCCCTAAAAATCGTAAACTTGACTCGATAATACAGGGTGTTCCGTTGGAAAACGGAAATACTTAAACGGTGGATAGAGGTGACCAAGGTGGTGAATATACCATATATGTTGGGTCTTACATATATCATTATCGAGATATAGGGTGTTTTATCAATTCTGGTCATTTCTTTGAAGGCTCATGGCATACGAACCACCTGCTATATTTTTTTGAAATTCGGTAGACGTGTTTTCTGACTGCTACCCCAGCGACTTGTATATTCGTCAGAAGAAAATCCAGGCCCGTATTAACAAAATTTCAACATATTATTGAGTCCTCGAAAAAACACCCTGTATGTTTGAATTTACAATATCCGCTTACATATCTGAAGAGAGCACAAAATGTTGAATGGACTTGTGTACTTTTTATGTTTCCGCATGCTATTTTACTACTGAATTTCTCCAAAGAAATGACCAGAATTGATAAAACACCCTATATCTCGATAATGACATAGGTAAGACCCAACATATATGGTATATTCAGAAACACCTTGGTCACCTCTATCCACCGTTAGAGTATTTCCGTTTCCCAACGGAACACCCTGTATACAGTGTGACCCATTTAAGATGGAAGCACCCTTATAAAACTTACATTTTTCAACCGATTGGAATGATTTTTTTTTGTTAGGTAGATATTCAAAAAGTCTATTAGGACACCAAATATCATGAATAAATCTCCATTTCCAGGGCCAACTAATCTGATTTTTCAAGGTCAAAAATCTAAAAAAATTACTAGAGATTTTTTTAGAAAAAATCTGACTACACCACTGGATTTGTGACATCTTCAAATGGGTAACATGTAAATTACGTTGAAATGCGTCAATCAATAAAAAAGTTATAAAGGAATGAAATTTGAAAAATATGCCGTTTAATCATCAACCCACCAATTCATGTTCAGGAATTTTATGAAAATTCTGTATACTCCACTGGATTCAGGATGTCTTGAAATATTACTGATCACAGTTTCATCGAAATCTGTTCAGTAATAAAAATTGATGGGTTGATTAAACGGCATATTTTTCAAATTTCATTCCTTTATAACTTTTTTATTGATTGACGCATTTCAACGTAATTTACATGTTACCCATTTGAAAATGTCACAAATCCAGTGGTGTAGTCAGATTTTTTCTAAAAAAATCGCTAGTAATTTTTTTAGATTTTTGACCTTGAAAAATCAGATTAGTTGGCCCTGGAAATGGAGATTTATTCCTGATATTTGGTGTCCTAATAGACTTTTTGAATATCTACCTAACAAAAAAAAATCATTCCAATCGGTTGAAAAATGTGAGTTTTATAAGGGTGCTTCCATCTTAAATGGGTCACACTGTATATATACAGAAGTGGGTCACACTGTGTATATTTGAAAATACTCATCAATTTGATTAATAGATTTAGGTACGTTTTACGATTGTCAACAATTTGGAGAAGAAATCAAATTTTGCATGCTTACTATATCCACAACTTGATATTTCTGGTTTATGGCAGTAATTAGTTTCTAGGATCATTAACAATGTTGAACACTTCTTGAAAAGACATATTTCCTCTTCACAAATATAGATAGTTTCACCACGAGTTTATATCGACTCAGCAACTGGACAAAGTGTCTTAGCATTTTTATACCCCTGCACTTTTTCGTAGGACAATCATTTTCAAGAGTACACATCACTAAATCAACATAATTCATCATATTTTCAAAGAGTTTGTGAAATAGTTCGCTGAGTCGGTACTCTCGCCGTACACCGTAGAGTCGTAGACCTTTTTTTGGCAAAGGGCACCCTATCGCACCCCGCCACACCCCCTCGTTTGCCTTGCAGAGCGATGCGTGTCTGTCAGAGAGAGTTCGACTTTCTGGAGGAACAGGAGTCGTCCAGGCCGGGACTTCTTCTGATTCCTTTGTCAACCACCTGTTTGATGCCCGGGAACATTCGTTAAAAAGTCTTGCATCCTGGCCGTTTACCGAGATCTGCTTGTATCAACAGTTGGGAGATATTTGGGCTCAAACAAACCATATAATTTCTGCCATACACTATAGGATGTTTGGCTACGTGAACACCTGCATATAAACACGTGTTTTTATTTCATTAGTCCGCTAGTGTCATCCCTGATTTATAGATTCAATAACGTAACGTATCACAAGTACTTCCGTTACACGATAGAAGATAACATATGAAAATTTTCCAGTACTGTTTTCAGAACGTCTTTCCGCAAAACACTGATTGTGGCTGTAACGCCAGAAATGCCCATTTCCATGTTTCTCTGTTCGGGTTTTGGAACGCTGACAGAAGGTCATGCAGAAGGGAAGTTGGGTTCATTGTTTGATTTACATTAGGAATTGCTCAATGATATTATATATTTATTGTTCTACATGCAATTTTCATTGCGGATTTTTATGCAAACTGTTCTTCTGGAAGGATCATGTATAATATCTATTTGTTGCTTTTTGATGTGTGGTAGGTATTAGAGCTGGAGCAGATGGTTGCAAAGATTCAAATCCATACGAGTATATTTGAAAAATGGTTGGGGATTGTTCTCATGGACATGGTACCTATAGCTTGAAAGAAACCTATAGATATTCAATGCTCATTCAGAGTCCCATCTTGAACAGACGGCATTTCCGATTTGCGAAAGCTTCTTTTGCTGCCGCTCATAATAACATAACTCCTAGCAGTGCCAACTATTCATAATCCAGGTTATCACCTATTGGAAGAATTCGAATACCTTGAGCAGATTGATCATCCTGCATTGAAATAACGCTAATTCCAAAAATGATACTTGATAGTCCGAACGAAAATAATGTTACAAATTAAAATGACAATATTGGCGAGTTTCAATTTCAAGGAAACGTATAAATGATAACTTTATCTCATCGTCTTACGGTACTGATTGCGGAACGTTTAGAGATGCGTTATGGAATCAATAAATCAGGGGTCATAGCTTTTGCCTTGCAGAGCGTAGCGGCGCTGAGAGAGTTCGACTTTCTGGTGGAACAGGAGTCGTCCAGACCGGGACCGCTTCTGATTCCATTGTCAACCACCATGACGATTTTTTCTATGTCTGCGGAACATTCCTTAAAGATCCTTGCATCCTGGCCGTTTCCCAATTAGAAATGTACATACATGTATGAACAGTTGGGAGACATTGACAGTCAAATAAACCATCTAATTTGTGCCATATAACTATAGGACTTTTGCCGACGTGAACTCCTGCACATAATAAACACGTGTTTATTTATTTCATTACTCCGCTAGTGTCATAGCTTTTGCCTTGCTGAGCGTAGCGGCCCTTCTGATTCCTTTGTCTGCCACCGTGGCGTTCTTTTTGAAGTCCTGGGAACATTCGTTGAAATTTCTTGCACCCTGGACGTTTACTGATTAGAGATGTGCATGTTTTAACAGTTGAGAGACATCGGCTGTCAAACAAACCATATACATTCTGTCATACAACTATAGGACTGTTGCCGACGTGAACACCGGTATAATCACGTGTTTTTTTTATTTAATTGCTCCGCTAGTATCATAGCTTTTGCCTTGCAGAGCGTAGCGGCGCTGAGAGAGTTCGACTTTCTGGAGGAACAGGAGTCGTCCAGACCGGGACCGCTTCTGATTCCTTTGTCGGCCATTGTGACGCCGGTCGTGCTCGCGGAACAGGCGGTACCGGCCAGTCCGCAGCCGGTCATTGAGTTCCCCGACGATGAGGTACTTGAGCGAGGAACGACCGTGTACAGATCGTCATTCGTTTCAGTTGGAAGAATTTTTGTATGTCCGGGGAACATCCGTTCAATAGTTTTGCATGCTCTTGGCGATTACCGATTAGAGAGGTGCTTGTATCAACAGTTGAGAGACATCTTAGGCCACACAAACCATATAACTGGCTGTAGTTCAGTAGGGCGCCGCGGTCAATTCAACATTTACCGGTTACAAAATGAACCCAAAAAGGATGGGACGATTGAGCGCAAACAAGATCGGGTTAAGCGAAGGTGGGCTTTTTATTTAATTTCGTTATGAAGTGATTATTCGAAAAATACTTGAGGTTAGATTGTTCAGAAAAAGTTGTTTCCTTTGTTGGATCGGTGTTAAAAAATATACTTTATTGAAGAAAGTTCAACCAGGCCGAGTAAAGTTAGATTGTTAATAAACAGTAGTCTACTTCCGAAAAATATACTTTCTATGAAGAAGGTTCATTTAGGCCAAGTGAGGTTATATTGTTCCTTTCACACGATTTTGTTAAGAGCGTTTCATATCAATAAGTTTAAGGTAACTCGCGCTCAATTGTCCTGTTCATTCTCTACTACCTGAAAAATTTTCTGACCAATGCGCTCAATCGTCTGTTGCCCATACAACTATAGGACTTTTGTCGACGTAAATACCTGATTATAAACACGTGTATTTTATTTCATTATCAGTATAGCTTGTCATCTATCACTGCTCCAACATATAAGCGGCATCACTTACCCGTGTTCGGAAACTTTGCTGTTGCTTACCAGGATCACTGACTATGTTTCGTCGTTGTTCCTGAATTTGAAAGGCAAACTGTCGAAAGTTTGTGTTTGTCTCCGCAGATCAAGCTATCATTTTGTGACTTCTGTGAGGATAAATTTGTTCGGTTTGATTCGATGTTCTTGCATTTTGTACTCTTATAATTTCCTTGTGGTAAATTGTCCATAAATTGTCCAATTCATTATAGAAATGAATCCAGACTTCATTCTTCAAATTTTCTTCTATTAATATTATTATTCATGATTTCGATCTTGAAGAAACTGCGAAACTGAAAGGAAGATGTTAATGTTATTCTTGTTTTATGCCAGGATGCAGAATGAAAACACTTAATTTTGCTGGTGGATTAGCCTACTACAGATAATTCTTATCCACATAATTTTTCACGAAGCACCGATTCACCTAGAATGAATGATTATGAATAAATTGTGAAATTTGCAACATCAAATTTTCCACCACTGATGATGTCAATGGACCAAAATAGCGAATTTAGTGGTACTGTTATCATAATACAATACAGTGAGTTCCTGCAGGTAACAAATTCAACAAATCAGAATTAAACATTACATCCTAATGAAGAAGGTATCCATAATATCCTATGCTCATATACACTATACCTAAAGTCTACTGCGGCGCCAAATAATTAAGGGATTACAATGGGGCTAAGTCCCTACACTGAGATTACATTTAACTCATTTGTTGGTTATGGTCCCACTCACATGATCTTTTGACCTGATGATAATCGAATCCTGTTTTTTCCACGCTAAAAAATCTTCTACTAATGCCCGGAAAAAATCAGATGTATCACTTTGTTATTGTCAATTCTTGAAGATAACGTCATAGGTTAGTTGCCCTCTTCCAACTGAAACAAATGATGAATATTGACGGACTGTCTAGTTGCATGCAAGCATGGACCATTGGCTGCACATCTGTAATATTCTCGCTTCTATTTTGTAACATCCTCTATAGCTAACTTCCATAACAAATCACCATTTTCAATTCACTATTACTACTTTGATTGTCACCACGGATGTGCTGAGTAAGTAATGCATCTAGAGCCCATTTTTATTTGAATTTCCTAATATTCGATGAAACATTCATGATTCAAGTGCTATGAGCGTGTGACTAATCTTATGTGGGAATTAGACTGAGTGATCAAGATGAACTGGCTGGTGAAATGAAGTGAATCCGAAAATTTCAGTATAATTATGAAACAACTCAACCTGAAGCATCCCAAAATTCAGTTTTGTCTCAAAGATTTTGCTTTCAAATCACTATAATATGTTATATATCTTGCACTCATATAAGTCAAATAAACTCAGTCTTTGTGGTTAAACTATTCAATGTAAACACCATAAGGTTTGGTAGTGAGGTAAGTGTGATCAAATTGATTCTAAATGATGGATCCCTAAAGGGTTTATTAATCTGCAGGACTCTTGTATTTAATATCCAAATATTTTCGATAATCATAGTATTATGTTTTCTTAATGACTTCCTAAAGTCTAGAATTGACATGCTTTCTGAGAAATTCTGAACTCCTAATTGAAGAGAATAACTACAGAGTAAGCAAAACAAGTTCAAACATATTGCAGGAGGATTCGTCTTCTGTACAAGTTCGAATTGTTGTGGTCATGTCTGGGGATCAGGTATGCGTTTGAATATTCTGGTTTTCTCCTTCTGCTGATTTTATAAATTATTGTGTGATCATCAGTGTTTCCGCAATTTATTTTTATATTGTGGTACATAGTTGGAAAATAAGGATTCTATTAATTAGTATTATTATCAATTGTTTTCGGAATCTCATAGTCATTCGAGTTCTGAAAATGAGTTCGCAAGTGTCTTATTCACCTTCCGTTTGGTAGCTAAAGGACGAATCAAATATGACTCCCAGATTATCTTGCCCTGTCTTTCTTTGGTATTTTTACATTTTGAATGTGAACGGTTGTGAAATTATGCGGAAGAGCAGCAGAATAAGTCTTGTTATTGAATACAAACTAACAAAACATTGATATATTGATATCCAATGTTCTTTGAAAAAATTGTTTTTATATTTCTGCAGCGAATTAACTTTTTTCAACAATATCAATGATTTTCCTGTTTAACATGAACTTTTGTAATATATTGACCATATTTCATTTGTCAAACATTTTATGCTATCTGTTGGCAGAAATTACTACTTACTGGGATGCGTCAGAAAATGAAAAAAACAATGTTTTATCAATAAATAATAAAGGACACTAAATAAAATGAAATTACAATTGAAATCGAAATGTCTCGTAGCGTCCACACTAAAACAATGTTGAAACTAACATGGAATTTTTCATCCCGATTACAGTTTTGGTTTACTGGAAAAATACTGATTTAGTGAGTAATAAACTTTGGGTAACAAATAGTTGTTGAATTCTATCTTGAACCTGTTCATGCCTAAGATGCCCTTGATTTCTGATGGTAAATTATTGAATATTTTGATCGACATTCCATGGGGCCCATCCATGGCGCTGCTGAGGCGATAATGAGGAGTGCATATTTTAGTTTTTTCACGAGTTTCATAACTTTGGACATCTTGGATGGTTTTATATCGATTTATCCTACTTTTCACATACATTGAGCATGCAAAAATATATACATTACAATTGATACTCATCATAGTGGAAGGAGAAGATGGTGTGCCTACGCCCATATTATGTGACGTCATCTGGGATACCAATATTAGCTGCTAGTCACAGACAGATACCGTTGCCAAGGGCGTGCGCAATGAATTCAATCATATTTATTGAAATTTCTTTAAGGTTCTCGATCTGTTTGGAAATAATTCAATTTATATAAACAGGTTCCTATTCCTTCGATTTTACTTTTTCATTGATTCTGGAAATTGTGATCTTGAGGTAATTCGTAATCGCAAATAGCGAATACATTCGAATTATCATGCATTGCCAATCCCATCTGAATGATCCACTATTGTGTCGATTCTGACAGATTCAAATTCAGCAGTTAACGACTTTGACGTTTCTTCTGCTCCGACATCGACAACAAGAGTATCAATTTTTGCCGTTTAGGTATTCAAATCTTTGCTGCAATTTATATTTTGTGAGAAATTAAGAGTTCTGAATTCATTTTAAATTATTTCTGACTTGATATTCGGAAGATGTTATGTAGGAATGGCATCTTGTTTCATATATTTGTGATTTTTTGGAGGTGTGTTATTCAAGAACAGTACTTTCGCACTTGTTTGGAAACATTTTGCATGGAAATGTTTTGAAGAAATACGCGCTGTAATATGAATGTGATGATAATAAGATAGGTGAATTCTTGGAATGAGGATATAAGGAATATAAGGTAGGTACCATTATTTGAGTTTATAATCTGTCGGCAGCAAGCTCCCATCGTTTCATTAGGTCTACATTCTTGGAAAAGCTGAAAAATTCAATATCTGTGCCTATTGTATGTTAGTTGGAATTTCCATAACCAGAAACGAAACAAGTAGGCATTTCGAAACTATTTCATTCAATTTTAGTACTTATATAATATTTGAAGTTCGAGACATCAATCACGAAAACAAAATAATATCAATGACGGTTATATCCCAGAACGTCATGCGCAGAACATCACGAGTTTGAGCTTTCTGTTGAGCACACCATCTTCTCCTTCCACTATGATACTTATGGAACGAGACAGGTGAATGGACGTATATTGATAATGACACAAGACTCAAAATTATTATGTCACTTTAAACGGAGCAACTTATGCTTGCTCGAATTCTTGGATTGATTTAATTTCAATTATTATATTAGATTGATATAACTTGTTGATCAGTAGTTGTTTTTTTGGTATATGTATACATATAAATTATATATTTCTATTATAATCGAATATGTTTCTTGCGGTAATTAAGACCAACAACAATATAATTATTGAACTAGCCTAACTGAATACCAAATAAAAAACAATAATGCTGAAATTTTCGGATGTATTCATGAACAAGCGGTCGGCCATCCATTCCAACTCCCTCAAACCGTCCCCTCGCCGTTTTCCAGCCTGTCTACGACAACGCCAGCGTCGTGAGGCGTCCGCCGCCGCCAGCGCCCCCTAGGGACGCCTGCCCCAACCGCGACAGCGCCTATGAATCGCGGCGGCAGTCGCGGCAGCCCCAGACCGCCATCACGGCCGACCACTTCCGGCTGATCAGCGTGCTCGGCAGAGGGCACTTCGGCAAAGTCATCCTGTCGCAGTACAGGAACACGGGGGAATACTTTGCCATCAAGGCGCTGAAGAAGGGGGATATCATTGCGAGGGACGAGGTGGAGTCGCTGTTGTCAGAAAAAAGGTAAGCAAGTAGAGAAAATACTGCATCTTTTTAGTTTAGTCAAGATTCCAGGATGTGTCATAATCCTGGAAGTCTGCGAGTCCAAAAAACATTCTCCGAGTGTTCACTTGAACTGCTTGTTGCTGCCTTGCTCTGTATCCTTTGTGAAGAAATTGATGGAAGTAAGATATGGTGTTATTGCTGATGCGCGCGAGCAATGGTTCCGTCGATCTTCTAATAGATGGCGACATTGCACAATTATGACATCTGTCAGTTTTGCAATTGTCGCAGATTTTTCGAATTCAGAATTGAATCCAACTGTTACGTTCCGCATACCTAAAATGCCATTTGCCATTTTATTTCCACTCGTCACAGCAGCAATAGCAGCATCACCATCTAGCGGGAAAATGTAGAATCAACGTCTCACTCGTTGTGACGTAGAGGAAGCATAGTAGGCGGTCGAGTGATTTTTCTGAAATTTTCAATACGTGAACTTGGCAGTCTTGAAGGTTTGATTTGAATAGATCCGACTCGAAGGCCCAATATGTTCGATGCTTGATTGATAGTGGGCTGTATTTGTATGGGTATGATGATGAAATGAGGATAGTTCTTAGAATTGCAATTTGTATTGCAATCCTCTATTTATCGATTTTTTTCATAAATCTGATGTTCCGACAACAGGTCGTCATGTCTTTTTTATGTTCTGGTTCCCACGAAAAGGGATATCCTGTAATGTTCAGAGAACATCGTGAGAACCAAGGGAAATAAGGTAGGAATTGATGTTCTTCTTGAATTTCTGGAGGTTGTATGCCACGGGAAACACCTTGCCAATGTGTCAATGAACGAGTCTTTGGAAAGAGATGTTCTGCTGGTCTCCAAAGTGACCACTAAGGGGTGCAAAGCCTCAGCTCGACAGGTTAATCTCGCGAGGACTGCCAAGGGAGGAACAATTGTTGATATTTCAGAAGAGCATCGTCCATGAAAATATCTATAAAATAGAGCCAGATCGTCAACTTTTCTACGTTGTTCTAGAGAAGTGATTGAGTTTGTGAGCGAGGCATCACCCACCAGACGAATAGCCCTTTTTTGGACAGAATCCAACAGTTTCAGGGTATGTTTGGGCGCTGCACTCCAAATATGGGAACAGTATTCCAGGACATGTCGGATCTGTGCCTTATAGATCATAAGCAGCTGACTGGAAGTGAAATAGCTCCTGACCAGAAACAGAAAAGCAAGTTTTTGGAACGCACTTTCAGCAATTGATCTCGTGATTTTCCCAAGAAAGGTTTTTGCTGATAGTAATACCAAGCATCGAAATGGATGCCTCCAAAGGTACGGTTACTCCTGACAAGCTTATGTCGGGCACACTCATATCGGCTGTTCTAGAGAGAAAGTATGCTTGTGTTTTGTTGCATTGAAATCTACCAAGTTATTAGATCCCCATTCGAGAATTGTTGCCAAGTCCATATTTATGTTGTCAATGTCAATGCGCTCAAACGGGAGGACTGGTCTGACATGCTGACGAAATATGATCGTGTGTGTTGTAGACATTTTCAATCTATTAGTATTAGCAGTATCAGCTTCTATTGCAGAAGTGGCAGAAGGAATTTTAATAAGAAATGCCAAAATGTCATAATGAATACTATGTGATATTACTATTTACCTGAAAAATCGTATTCCTTTGTCTCTAACTGCATTTTTTGTGCATTGTTGAACAGCACAAAGAGAAGGCATGTTGGAATTGATGAATAGCCCAAAAAACGGTGCAAAACTATCTCAATCCTTTGATTCCTCTGTGCACTAATAAATAAAGTGAGGTTGTGTTTCAACGTTGTACAAAAAAATGTACAGCTTGACCATTCTAGCTTGGCCTCTGAGAATTGGATGCGCAGTAGACCAGTCGGCGGAGTGGGGCGAGAGCTCATTATTGTCGAGGAATTGGTTCAGTGAACATCGGTTAGAACAGTACAGTACGATTGTACTCTCCAATTGAAAGGCACAGTGGATCTTTGTCGCACACTAACCATCACTGTTTATCATTAGCGCATCTCAGGGTCATTCTTTACTATCATTTTCTTTCGCAGGATCTTCGAGGTGGCCAACTCGATCCGCCATCCGTTCCTCGTCAACCTTTTCGCCTGCTTCCAAACCGAGGCGCACGTGTGCTTCGTGATGGAATACGCGGCCGGCGGCGATCTCATGATGCACATCCACTCGGACGTGTTCGGCGAGCCTCGGGCCGCCTTCTACGCCGCCTGCGTCGTGCTCGGGCTGCAGTACCTGCACGAGAACAAGATCGTCTACAGGTAAACGCGCGATGTGTGAAAATAAGTCACTGACATGAATGCTATCTAGACCGATAGTGGTCATATCTCAGCAACCCGAAAATCTCGGATAAATTGCTCGCCTGAAAACGTTTCTGATCAATGCGCAGGAACCATCGAACTGCCGTTAGTGACAGCGATTCATGTTTCTTGGTGTTCGGAAACATGAGTTAGAGTGAATAAGGTATGGTCCTAAATGTGCATGATTCATCTTCACCAGTTCGATGACGTGCGTCGCTTACCTACTTGAATGATTGTCTTCATTATTCCAAGAAACATCTATCTATAATAGCCTACCTATAATATAATATATATAAAAAAATATGATAAAAAGTTAGCTACTGAATTCCACTCAGTGAAAACAAATTCATACGTTTTCTCAAGATGAAAATTATCACATTTCAATTCTGATTTCAAATCATGCCACATATTTTTCAGGCAAATGGTCCCAAAATTGCTTTTGAATCTTCTTGCATCATTTATATTTTTCAACTCATTTCTAATGGCATTAGCGGTTCAGATAGTAGTTGATGTCGCTGAGTAAATCGGTGAGCAATTCACCTTTGTCGACGAGATGTAGTTCGTATTAGCAACGTCAGATCAATTTTTTGATTTTTGGTGAAACTAAAGTCAACAAGAAAATTAACAAAAAATGTTATATTACAGAAGACAACAATAATTCAACGAATGGCATTCACAAAAAGTATGACGTTGTAAGATTGACGATCACATTTTTTCGAAGACACATCATGTTGTTTATTCAACTATTACTCCCTCTAGAGATTCACCATAAAAATGTTATATTATCAAGACAACAATAATTCACCATAGGATCGCCCTTGCATACTGATATGTCATTTTGTATCATCTTAGTGAGATGATTTGATATGTTCAATATTGTATTCATCAAAAAAAGCAAGCCATCAAACAAGACCGCCACTGTGCCTAATTTCTACGTACCTGTGAGATATCAGGTTATGATATTTGTAACAATATGTTTCTCTTCAGATCTGACACTGCAGAACCATATTTATTTAATCCGCTTGAGATTTATAATTCTAAGTAAATGAGTTGCTGAAACAGAAATCTGAACACCATGCCGGAAAACCATTAATAACAACAATACCAACAAATAACATTTCCCACTACAATTATTGCTCGTCTACTACACGTTTATCTTTGAATAATTCATTTGTTTTAGACTTACAGCACAGTCTACAACTGCCTGGGAAATATTTTCACCTTCAAGATTATAGATGACCAGATTGTATTTTTTGATTTTCCTCTCACAATTTATCAAGCGATCCTTCAATTTAGAATTCTCTTCAGATCTTCGTTTTGTTTCTCAAACGTATCAATTTTATCCTTTATAGTTATCTTGTATGTACGCAACTCATCCTTCAAATTCTCTTCTTGTTTACTCAGATTATTATTTTGTTATTTTCTCAAACATTTTATAAATTTCCTCTTTAGTTTCAACCATCACTAGGATTCGAATTCAAGCACATAGACTATGACAATCGATTTGTTTGACTACCAGTGACCTTTTTTTATTCTTTTGAGTACCAAAAACTTGGGGAAGCCGATACGATAACTTTTTTATGCTCAACACTGTTGATTGATGCCAAAAGGTTTTGATTAATCATGAAATAACCGATTTTTCCTAGACGTGATACTATGTTCATTTGATGCATAAAATGATAATAATCGACTTTATTCACCAATATAACAAAATAATACAGAATATAATACAATGGAAAGAGAGTTATATGTTTATGGTGAATAGGCGAAGATCAGCTAGAGCTGTTTTTCATCTTAACCTCTGTGAGCGAAAAAGAGAAGAAATAGATATGGAGCTAGTAAACTATAGTGAGCATGAGGAGAATAATATTTTTAGAGATAACAATCAAGATGATAAAATAATAATAATAATAATGATAATAATATTCCTAATGATGATAATATTATTGATAATGAGAATAATAATACTATTGATAATAACATCAACGACGATAATATTGATAATAACATCAACGACGATAATAATAATAATATTATATTCAATTTCACATTTTCAAATATTGACAAATAGAAAAGCTAGGTTCAGCAGCAATCATTCAGTCCTGAGCGTATCTTAATGTTTGTTTCAATCTTTTTTTAAAGTTGTATAAAGAGAAATTCCTGTATTCTGTGGGGAGCGAATTATAGTGTTTGGATGCGTTGTAGGCAAAACTACGTGTAAATAATGCTGTGGAGTGTCTCGGAATAACTAGTAAATGGTTTTTCCTGGTGTTCAGTTGATTTACATTCGAGAACGGGACTAGCCTTTCACGCAAATATGATGGTTCACCTGTCTGTAGGACTTTATGAGTAAGTGTTAGTAAGTGAAGTTTGCGTAAGCTTTCTAATTTCAGCCACCCAGATTCTCTGAATTTAGAACTAATATGGTCGTATTTCCAAATACCGTAAGAAAATCGAATGCAGGAATTCTGAATTTTCTGAAGTCGTAAAGCGTCAGTCTGGAAGATTGCTGGACAGTAAATGCTATCACAATATGACAATTTGAATAATACTAGAGATTCGCACAGTTCAAGTTTTATTTTAGTTGATAATATGTCACGATTAGGATACAATTGTCTCAGTACATTATGCACTTTTAGATTCTACTTACTCTGATATAAAAATATCGGTAGTACTCACAGTAGAACAATGATAAATTAGATCACCAATGGAGCACACTAAAACCCGTCTAGCCTCGACGGACGGTATTCGTAAGCGTTCTATTTCATTTACAGGGACCTCAAGTTGGACAACCTGCTGCTGGACACCGAAGGCTACGTCAAAATCGCCGACTTCGGGCTGTGCAAAGAGGGCATGGGGTACGGCGATAAGACGGGGACGTTTTGCGGCACGCCCGAATTCCTGGCGCCCGAGGTGCTCACCGAAACGTCGTACTCGCGGGCGGTGGACTGGTGGGGGTTGGGGGTGTTGATTTTCGAGATGCTGGTCGGTGAGGTGGGTTTCAAAGAGGACAGAAAATATGTGGACAAATCTGAAATATTCAGATTTTCAAGGCCAACTTATGATTGTTGAAAGGCTCAAAATTTCAAGAACGTCTCTGGCAATTTTTGTCGAAACAGTGACTAGCCTATTCGATTCAGGCATAGCTTTAATACCGCCATACCAAATTTCAACGCAAAATCTCATATAGGGTGTTAGTTATTCAATGGCAAATTTTGTTATATTTGATTTCTTGATTTACCCTGTATCAAAATCTAAGGAGTTGATATAACTAGTGAAGTAGTCATTCATTGCTGTTCAATGAAACTAAAGTTGAGGTTCATCATTTTGAAACTCCAGTGAACCGTTTCACACACAGTAACTGTGAAAATCGTCTTGCTTGAAAAATAAATTATAATAAAAATAGAATGCCAGACAAACACTCCTCAATGACTGCAAGGAGATTTTCTGATACTTGATGTGATCATGATAATACACCGATTTGACAAAATGGAAAGAAATTTTATGTAGAATGGAAATTGTAATGTATAGAGAATATTCCCTGGAACTAGTTACTGGTTCACCCAGAAATATCTTCCTGTAGAAGATACAATGATGAAACTTCTAAAATGTTATAAGAGCAGACCTTAATTATCAAGAACTCCTCTCAGGTTTCCCAACAACTAACAAATTTTTGTCAAGTGCTATGTGTATGAAAATTGAGATCGCCATCTAGAAAAATACCTAGGAATTTCACACGCTCACTCTTGTCAATCACAACATCAGATATTCTATTATTAATATCTGATATTCTAATATTAAATATTCTTCAGGGTGTCAAGGTGAAATTATGAAAATTTTATGTTGATAGCACAAAAAATGAGAAAGGACCATTATTTGTTCAATCGGATAATTTTCTGTGTGATAATTAATCGTTCTATAAGCTGAGCTTTGAAATAATTTGAAAAGCAATAAAGTAGGTAGTTACTTCTTTCTGTCAAAAGATTGATTTCCCAAAAAATTTCAATTTTTCCATTCTAGTCACCATTCCCAGGAGATGATGAAGAAGAAGTTTTCGATTCGATCGTTAATGATGAAGTGAGATACCCAAGGTTTCTGTCTTTGGAATCAATAGCAATAATGAGGAGGGTGAGTAAATTATTCAATAACATTTCCTGATTATCATTATTATTCTCATGGGCTCCCTAGAATATATCCAACATATTTCAACGCATTGCACTTCTGAATTCTAAAATGGATATTTCAATATAATTTATATATTTGTTTGTTCAAGTTACTCCGCAAGAGTCCCGATAGGCGATTAGGTTCTAGCGAAAGAGATGCCGAGGATGTGAAGAAACAAGCATTCTTCAGGCACATACAGTGGGATGACCTGCTGAATAGAAGAACCCCGCCACCATTCGTTCCTACAGTGGTAAGTGAATTGACGAATAACAATAACAGCTTTATTGACTTGTCGTACTGGCTCGAAATTTTTCCGAACTGAGCTCGTTCTGAGTAGTCTACTGAAAAGGTCACATTGGCGAAGTTAGTTCTCCAATGTCGAGGCTCAAACGTAGTGGCGTATTTTAGGAGTACCAAGGGGGGGGCAAGGAACCTAGAAATAATTTTCACGCTGTAAAAAATGCGCTGCAGGCGAAAATTAGATTTTTTTTCAAGCGGACAACTTCATCACATAATCATGTTATATATTATTCAGTTTGATTTGATTTTGAATTCTGTCTGTAGGTGAATTTTTAATTTTCAATATTTTTTCAGAGTTCTATCTCATGTTTTTCAAATTTACCAAATGATCCAGGAAGCAGCACCAAATGCACTATTCTCTTCGTCCATTCATATTTTTATTACTCAACTGGTGTTGGAATGGATATTCCATCACTATAGTTATCTAATACTTCACTTTAAACAACTAATTATGTATGTCAAAAATAATAAAGACAAAACTTCTAAATTCGTAAAATCAGGGGTATACAAACTCAACTGTGGATCTTGTCCTAAGGTATATATACACTTAGAAAATGGAGGAATGAAACTCAATCATTTTGAATCATTAGAAATCAACAAACTCAAACATTCTGACATTTTACTTAAGGATCAATTAGACCTCAATAATTCACCCCTGTTGAATTTGTTTTCTTAGTAGGTAATAATATGTATTTGCTGTCAACTCTTTCAAGTTAATGCAGTACACCGTATTTTGATGTAGATATTGTGCCTAATTTCCGAAAATGAAGGTTTATCGAACCTGTTCACAGGTAGTTGGGAAAGTAGGATACATAAAAGTTGAGCAAGCCAATGTTAGTTTAGTTCATTGTACTAGTATACAGTGTGTCCCACTTACCATGCTCACCATGGGTATCTTCTTAACGGTGAGAGATACGAGGTCGGTTAAATGACACCAAATGTGGGGTATGTCAAGGCCAACTATAATGTGAAAAAATATTTTGATAAAATCTATTCTAAAAAACAGATTTTGATCATTTTCAGGTCTCCTCCGTAACTTCTTTATTTATGAAAATATTCAAATAGAAATTTCACATTCTCATGGCAGTTTCTCAAAGTGATTTCGAAAAAAATATGAAATTCTTACCAACTCTTCTAGAATTTGAGATATCAGCACCAACTTAAGTTTTTCAAATGTAGGTCATAGCTCACCATGACTTAGTTACAAATAACTTTTTTTTCTCTTACAGATGATATGTCGCAGTAATAGTTTTGTGTTGATAACAACGGAGTTATCGTCATTTATACAAAAACAAAAAATTATTTGGAAGCCGCCATCTTGAATTTATGAATTTTAACGAAAAAAATCATGATCTCCGACCTCAAAAACCCCCACTCACCAATTTTGAATGGAATCGGACCAAATCTTGTCCGCCATCTTGGAGCAGCCATTTTTTTAAATTTCAACAAAAATTCCATGACTCCGATTAACTTGAAATTTGGCAGGTGGTCATCATTTCGGTGACAATACATTATGGAATTTTTGTTGAAATTAAAAAAAAATGGCTGCTCCAAGATGGCGGACAAGATTTGGTCCGATTCCATTCAAAATTGGTAAGTCGGGGTTTTTGAGGTCGGAGATCATGATTTTTTTAAAAAATTTATAAATTCAAGATGGCGGCTTCCAAATAATTTCTTGTTTTTGTATAAATGACGATAACTCCGTTGTTATCAACACAAAAATATTACTGCGACATATCATTTGTAAAAGAAAAAAAAGTTATTTGTAACTAAGTCATCGCTACGACCTACATTTGAAAAACTTGAGTTTGTGCTGATATCTCAAATTCTAGAAGAGTTGGTATAAATTTTATATTTTTTTCGAAATCACTTTGAAAAACTGCCATGAGAATGCGAAATTCCTATTCGAATATTTTCATAAATAAAGAAGTTATGGAGGAGACAAGAAAATGATCAAAATCTGTTTTTTGCGTATAAAACAAAAACGAATAGATTTCATCAAAATATTTTTTCACATTATAGTTGGCCCTGACAAACTCCACATTTGGTGTCAATTCAACCGACCTCGTATCTCTCACCGTTGAAAAGATACCCATGGTGAGCATGGTAAGTGATACACACTGTATAACCTGACGATTTCGTGGAATACTTATCGTTTTTAAGTTTTTTACATTTGCCATGGATTTCCATGAAGCAACGGCCGAGTCAATAAAAAAAAACGTATGTCTTATTATTTTTAAGCAATCGATGGAAGACGTCAGCAATTTCGACGAGGAATTCACGTCGGAAAGGCCGCACTTGACACCTCCGAAAGAACCCAGACACCTCAACAACCAAGATCAAACCCTCTTCAGGGATTTCACATACATGGCGGACTGGTGCTGACACGTGGTAGCGCACTTCGACTAAGTTCGTTTTTTTCTCTCCATTAACTTTCTTTGATTAATCGTTTGTTGCGCATAGAGACTCCGCCGAGTGTTTTACCGGAAGTTTGGATGTTATATACAGGGTATTCTCAAAGTTAACAGGATGTAGTACTCATCAAAATAGACAATCGGGTCGATTCTGTTTGCAAATAGCAATATGGTTGTAGAGAAGATATTGCTATCATAGCAAGATTCGAAAAAGTGGAATTCTAATCATAGATTTTTGGCAATATGATCTGTCAATTCCAATGACATCTGGTCAGCTTTCTTGCTATTTCGGCAACATAATTTTGTGCTTGCTATCTTTTAAAAAGGTAGTGGATTCTTCGTTTTTGCACTACAAATTCTTCCAACTGTATGTAAATTCAGAAAATAGTGGATCAAAAACATATGAGAGTTCAGTTGTGTCACTGACTACTCGAAAACCTTTCCTCAAAGTTTCAATTCGTAGAAGACTTACTGAAAAACTTAGAATGGTGATAACAAACGAATAGGATAGGTTCACCTCTGTGACCAACTACTTGAAAACCTTTGCTTGAAGTTCCAATTTGTAGAGGAAATATGAGACTACAATTTCGGCATATCAGAGAAATTTCAGTTGCCTGATGGATAGTTTATCAAGCTATTTTGCTAGAAAATTAAAAAAAATCACGATTATTTTCATCCGGCTTTTATATTGTTGTTTCTCATTTCGGGGACATGATTGATTATTTGCACCAGTCGCACAACGACGACCAGATTCAGCTAATACAAAATCTCTCGATTTGAACAATAAGGTTTTGTAAAATTTCAGTGTAGGACTGACTAATTCGAGAGGTTAGATAATCATGAACTCTTCTTCTTCATGAAATAATGGCAAAATCGATACCTAACACTTGAACAATGAGTTGAAAATAGTGTTGTCAGCTCAAAAATTCTCAATCTTTCAACAATATTGCTATCACTTGAACTGATAACCAGTCTTGCAGTAACTCTGCAAACAGAATACAGAACTTCATAGCAATATTGTTATATGTTAGGATAATAACAATATTATTATCTTAGCAATGTTATAACAAGATCCGAACAGAATCGACCCGATGATCAACAAAAATTGACCATATGAAAGTTGCAGAATAACAAAGTTAAAAAATTCACCGATTGAATTGACCCTATTTTGGTCCTGGTATATTTACCATTTCAAGCGGTACAGGCCTTCCCATATGTTCTCCTCTGTGTTCCTTCAAACATCCTGTGTCAGGATATCTTTGCACCGAAATAACTAACATCGGCGGTGTTGGAAAAATTCTTAACGGAAATCTTTCGATGTACGTACGAAATGCTGTTGTTGCACTGTGGCGACACTTACCATAAATCAGGAGCATGTTAACAAGTTCATTATTTTGGTAAATGTGCAACATTGTTGCACAGAAGAAACTATTGAAAAAAAGGATCCCATGACGCAAGACAAACAAAATTCTACTGTGAACAGATATTCTTGTAGATAATATCTGGGTTATTATCCAACTTTTATTGAGGTGATATTTGCTGGATCTGTATACAGGGTGTTGCATTGCTAATTGGAAATATTTCAACTATAGAATCTTGAGCTCAAAATATGAAAATTTAACTCAAATCACTTAGTTGAAATGTGTCTCCTGCCTAAGTTACAGGGTGTTTTATTCGAAAATTCAAAAATTATTTGTGCCTAGTGCTTTGCAACTAATTGACGTATCATTGTCATTTTCGAGAAGGGTAGATACTATACCCTACTAAATTATGTAGAATAAGGTGTCTGGCTACTACCACAGGCGTACAACAGGGGCAAATGACTGGTTGATCCCTCCCAAATTCTACACCATTGGCAAAATTGCCAGTTATCCAAATTTTTCGATTATCTTTTACTTTTTACGTGAGTCTCGTACTCCTTCATAGTGATACATTTTCGAGATATCTCAAGAACATGAAGCTGCACAATTGTTTTGATTTTCATGTGTATTAATTATGTTGAACTTCAATCCATATGAACAAAAAAACATAATAACATAACAAACAGGAGCTGTTACAGGGTGTATTAAATTTTTCATCATAATAAATTATACATTTTATAATATAATAATTCATATTACACCCTGTAACATCTCCTGTATATCACGTTATTATTATTAATGGATGCAATCCGTTGATTTGAAATATGAAGAAAGAGTATAATATTCACGAGAAAGTATTGGAGAATCGAAAAATTGTGATAAAATGGCAATTCCGGCGTTGAATTAGGCATGGATTTGGCAAGTATATATAGCATTTTCACTCCCCTCCAAATATGACAATGATACGTCAATTAGTTTCAAAGTACTAAATAATTTTTTGATTTTCAAATGAACCACCCTGTAACTCAGACGGGAAACACATTTTATCTAGGTGTTTTGGGTTGAATATTCATATTTTGACCTCTGGATTCTAGAATTGGAATATTTCCAATCAGTAATGATACAGGGAATGCAGGGTTTCCAATGATTCCTACATCCTCTTAAAAAAGTTCCTCGCCTTTGAGAACACCCTGTGTTTTCATGTACGGGATGGGGTGAATGATTCGCTGGCTCACGTGAATATCGCATCAGATCACGTGAATATCGCCTTAGATCACGTGAATATCGCATTAGGTCACGTGAATTTCGCCTTAGATTCTTGTGGTTAAGATATCTAATCACTATGTGAGTTGCTGAAAGTCATCCATATTGTCCATTCAAGTACTTGTTATATAGAGTGAGTGTTACATTGATATGAAAAAAAATTCAAGGGTTAGATTCTTTGCAAACAAAAAAGAGAGAGGTATATACCAGAACTTTTTCTACACATCCTCTGATCAAAACTATTTCATTTAAGTAAACTTGTGGCCTGATTTGTGCGCTAGACGGCTCTGGAGTTGAAAATCAGGAGAAATAATTTGTTATTTTGAACAATTCTACAAAATTTAAATCAAACTGGGTTTCTCCTCACAAATAAATAAAAAACCCTTTTCTCGTCACTGCAAATTAGTCTTTGGATGAAAGTCTATAGGAACCCTTTCAACATTAATGTAACACTTCATTTATTCAATTTCAGCGATAAAAAAATCAGAATATGTATTTTATGTGCTGCTTTAGTGTTTGTTCTACACAAATTGGCAATAGGCCTTTTCATTTAGATAACAAATGACTATCTGTGACATCTCGCATCCAACGACAGTCACGGCCATTTTCACCGAAACACTTGCACCACACTCCTCAGTAACAAATAAGTAACGTTTTTTCGATTCAAATTATTATGATAATACAATTAATACACACCAGTTATATAGAAACGAAAATACTATATTGTTATTGTTGTTTCTCAATGACGAATGCCCATGGTGGTTGACACTGTTGACATTTGAGAGAACGTCAATAAAAATGGCCAATCAGAATTTTGTGTCGGAACTATAGCCAATGAGACTTCACCTTCGCATTACCCAATCAAATTTTGGATCCAAAAACGAGCGCATGCGGCTTGAAAATATATCTATATGAAAAGGCATATTAACTGTTAATTTTGGTGATCTTCAAAACAGCCACGAATCATTCATGGCTACTTCAATGGATAGCCTATAAAATTGCTTCAGGCATGACTGTTAGGTATAAAGTTTCAGATTCTTCAATTTAGTGTTAAGGACTATGAACAAAAATAGTGATATTCTCTTCAAGTGGGCTTCGAAATGTTGATCATTGCTCTAAAATATTTTTGCTGTATACGAATTCAGAGAAAACTTTTATATCAAATGTTATCAATAATGACAAACAATAATCAATGCTATATGGTTTTGTATGTTGAGTAGGAATAATGACCCCTTCTTGCAATATCTTTTCTCTTAGAATAATAATTATTATTTCTGCTGATGGGTTCTGACAAGGTACATCACAATTTTTATCCCAATGAGTATGGACTGCTTTTTTATCTTTTCCTGATCATCAATGTCGATGAAGGTTAACATGTTTTGATTTCCCCCTGGTAGCGCTACTCATACGTGAGGTCTTGTATGACATTAAATATATTATTTCCTGTCATTCAGCTTCTACTTCTACTAGGATATGTTCTCTGTTAATGTAAAAATTTCACTTGAGGTTTCACATTGGAAGTGGAACAATCTCAACCATGGCTTAGATTTTTGTATTGGTTCTTCACTACTGTGCAAATTTTCGGAAGCCTTGATCATCCATGGATATCCAGCAAAATTTGGGGTATTTTGACATTGACATGCAAGCTTCAGTAGCGCCGACCGGTGAGACTCAAACTGTTAACCCTCATTCATTTTCCCTTTTCTCACTTTTTTATTCCACACCATTTTCAGTTGTTCAAAATGCGTCGTTTTTTTTTTCAAAAAGGTTATTGTTATTTCTCAAAGTAGACTAATTCCATAAAAGTATCATTTTTTTTTTTGAAAATTATCTACTCAAATTTCAAATTATCATACATAAATCCTATTTTTTCTAAGAAATATTCCTGTCCAGTCTTATGTGACCAATTTGTTAGATTTCTTTCTTTTTTGTTGAACTTTCAAAAGAATGTTTTTTAAATCGAGCATGAAAATGCTTCGAAACAAAAACAAGGAAGACTTATAAAAATATAAATATACTGGGTGGAGGCTTTAACTGGAATAAATTCGCTACAGGAGAATTGAATGATTTTTTGAAAATTCGCGTCAACGTTTAAATGTATTTACCTACAGTTGGCGCGCAATATGGAGAAGATAACCCTTCAGAGGTAGCTGGAATCAACCCCAACATGTTTTCTTCAAATGCAACCCTATGACTTGCGACCCCTCATTGGAAAGCTGGTACTGATCATATTCCAGTTAGTAGTAATTTTGGGGATCGCATAAAATCAAAATATAATTTCGGAGTTTAATATATTTTCAACGTATTTTCATCAAAATTTCGACATTTAGTGTCAGTGATTTAGGGCATTTTCACCCGTTTGCAATAACACTTCGTTTCGAACTGTTAACACGGCAAAAAATTGAATTTCTTTTTGTGGCTCTATAAAAACACTGGTATACAATTGCAGATAGCAGTTGTAGCAAAAAATTGCCATCAATCACAATCAATCACATTTCGATTTTGTGCAACCTTTAAACATATAAAAAAAACCTAACATTTGACTAACACGCTGGATTCCTCTTTTCATCAGCTTTCCAATGAGGGGTCCCGAGCCATAGGGTTATATTTGAAAAAATCATGTTGAGGGTGGTTTCAGGTACCATTGAAGGTATATATTCTTGATATTGCTTGCAGAAGGTAGGTAAATACATTAAATCGTTGACGTATGCCGGGAATTTTTAGAAAAAATATTCACCTCCCCGCTAACGAATTTTTTCCAGTTAAAGTCTCCACACTGTATATTTAAACCATTGCATGTATTGTTTTTAATCCAAATGATGCTTCTTCATATACAATTGATACAGTTTGAAATAAAACTGGACACTTTTTGCAATACAAATGCCATACTTTGAAATTCGGGTAACAGCTTAAAAATTTAAATGATGCATTTGGAAATTGGAATGACTATTTGGAAATATGATGACACTTTTCGAACTACAATTAGTAAAGGTGTACAATTGTTTGTTCCTTATTAACTTTCTATTTCTATCAATTATCTTCACCATTGTGGATTTGATACTGAAAATCAACTAAACATTGATTTGGCCAAAACTAATGTGGGTTGATTGTGGGGATGATTCTGAATCATTGGTAGAATTTATTTTTGGTTGAAACTTGTATGTACATGGGTGACTAAAAATGTTGCTAATGACAACACAAACTGTCCACAAGAAAGTAAATATTTGGAGTGGAATAAACAATATATTAGGAAATATATGTGCTAGTAGCCGATAAACTATTACACAGGGTGTGAATGAATAAGTGCGAAAAAATTCAGGGGACAATTTCTTCTCATAATTTATCAAACAAAGTTTTTTAATGATTTTACCCCATTACTAGCTAATATAAGTACCCACTATTTTTGAACAAATCCACATGAACTGCCGTTTTTTTCTTTTTTGCGCATATTTTCAGAATGCCTACAGATTTTAGGAATTTATACCTGGTTTTTGGTCAAGTCTTTTTAGTTGATTATCTTTGTAACATGGTTATTGCCGATTTCTTGTTCAGGTTATTGTTAATGTTTATATTATATTGGAAAATGAAAATAATTATTAAAGTCATGTTTTTTTATAACTCTGTTTATATTGTAGGTATTATGTATTATCAATAACTAAGCATTTTTGTTTCAGGCAGTTTTTAGAAGTAGTATTGATACTAAGCTTTACAACTAGTATTTAAATTTCGTTTTTTGTCGACCTCAAGTTATTACCTCTTATGGCAAATGCTGGATCTGAGTTGACAACAATATTTATTTTTGCATATCATATTTAATTTTTATATAGATATATGTATATAAAATGATTTTATCAATTTCAAATAAATAAGTTTGGAAGCATTTGTTTCAGTTTCAAATTCTTTCAAATTGATACCAAGTAGGGATGGCGATTTTTGGAAAAAGGATCGATTCTTGAAATCCATCTAAAAATCGAGAGAGAAAAAATCGATCCATAAAAAATTGGAAGGCAAATTATCGATTTTCAGTAAAATCGATCCTCGATTAGATAATTGGAAATTCTCGACATTTATACATGGAGAAGTATGAAAAAAAGATCTTGTCTCCTGAAAATATATCATTGAATGATCACAATTCACCAACTAACTCGACAGAACATAGATAATTCCTCATTATAGTTGAATATATTATTCAGTGTGCATTTTTGTTCGATTCGATTTTATGTGAAAAAAATCGATTCACTCACCCAAAGATTGAACAGAAGAAGATCGATTTGAAAAGTCGATGTATTTCAGACGAAACGATCGATTCAAGATCACCATCTCTAAATTACCAAGCACCCACAAAATCCGGCAGCTGTTACTTGAAATTTTAGAGAAAAATTACCTTTATGGGAATTTGTAGGAAATTGACTGATTGAGTTCTTCAAATGATAAAAGCAAAAATATTCACGATAGGCCTGTTCGTTTGTGTTTGCTCTACCTGCTAAACTTGATTTTTTTTTCTGACTCTATTCACTTCATGCCATGAAATGAGACAACGACAACATCTCTGACGACAACTATGGGAACAAAGACAACTTTAGCAAGATCAAACGAACAGACGTCTTGTCAACTTAGGCCTGCTCGTTTGTATTGCTGAACTTGCTAAAGTTGATTATTTACCCATGGTTGTATCATTGTTGTATCTGTTCATGGCAGAGACAGATATAAAAAAATCAAGTTCAGTAAGTAGCGCAAACACAAACGAACAGCTGGCTCTGGTGTAAGAATGATGGTGTGAGTCTGATCTGATTTCTGAAATATGGCCTATTGGATGCAAAGAATATTATGGACTTGGTAGGTTTGAACAATCACAGAAAAAATAAGAAGAGGAAGATGATGACTTGACACTGTCAATGTCAACTGTCAATTTGACACTGACACATTGACTAGTGACTTCTTGAACTTGAAGATTTATGTAATTTTCTTTTCGTTTCATTTTAAGTGAATTACATTTTTTTCGATAAGGTTATTAAAAGATTTCACTGGTTTCAGCGAAATCCGAAGAGATAGAACGGGTGAGTGATATTTTCCTTTTATGGTTTTCAAAGTATTCTCAATTTAAAATTTTGACATGACATAACTGACAGCGAACATCTGTATCTGTTTATTAATTTTAACCTAACTTATCAGACATTTCTAATTTCATCAACCTCATACACAAAAATGTTATCTGCGAAATGTGGCATAAAAATGTTGTAAGCGTGTTGTGTTTAGACTTGGTTTAGACAAACATGATTAGGAATATCACCTCCAAACTACTGCGATAGTAACAACTTGATGATGTATAGAGTGTAGTCGTGATTTTAGCAGAAAAAGCAACATGGTTTCATTTCAAGAAGAAACTGAACATTCTGTTTACCTCAAGAAAGTCCTTTCTGCAGTATTCTATGGAGTTGCCTCTTTCATGATTACTGTGGTGAATAAAACAGTCCTAACCACCTATGGATTTCCTTCATTTCAAGTTCTGGGTCTTGGACAAATGGCAGCAACAATAATTCTTTTATTTGTCGCCAAAAAGTTGAAAATTGTTAGTTTCCCTGGACTAGAATTAAGCACTTTTGGGAAAATATTTCCATTACCATTAATCTACATTGGGAACATGTTTTTCGGACTAGGAGGTACCAAAGAATTGAGTCTTCCAATGTTTACTGCCCTAAGAAGATTCTCAATCTTGATGACTATGGTTCTGGAGTTCTATGTCCTATGTATCAAGCCAAGTTTTGGTGTACAGTTCAGTGTATATACAATGATAATAGGTGCCATTGTAGCTGCTGTTAATGACTTAGCATTCAATGTAAGGGGATACATTTTTATCTTCCTGAATAACTTTTTCACAGCCACAAATGGTGTGTATATGAAAAAAAAGTTGGATTCTAAAGAACTAGGGAAATATGGACTCATGTACTATAATTCCTTATTCATGATAGTCCCTGCCCTATTTTTTGCCTTTTATTCTGGTGATCTGGAAGCAGCACATAGTTATAAATACTGGGATAACAAGTTATTTTTAGCCCAATTTTTATTATGTTGTGTTATGGGGTTCATCCTGAACTATAGTGTTTTACTATGTACATTACATAACTCTGCTTTAACAACAACTATAATAGGAACTTTGAAGAACATTTGTGTTACCTATCTTGGTATGCTGATAGGTGGAGACTATATATTTTCATGGCCAAACTTCATTGGAATCAATGTGAGTGTTTTGGGAAGTCTAGTTTATACCTATGTTACTTTTAGGAAAAAAGAGATCTCCAGTTATGCTCCTGTATCTACAAATGATTTGTCAAAGCCTGAAAATGTTGTATAGCCTTTGTTGCTGGTTTTTGTTCAAAGATTCTGCAATATCTTCACTAAATGTAAATAGGAAATCGATGTATATATATGTACCTATCTGAGTATTTCTACTTGTAAAACCATATTTCCTACTCATAGACTAGCTAATGGAAACAAAGCCAAAAACATTTTATTTCATAATTATTTAAACTTATTTCATAATACTATTGCACTGAAATAGTTATTTTCCATGTTCATAGTGTAATGTAGAGGCAAAATAATTGATTAGAAGGCTTGGTCTTAACCATCAAGGTCTCAACCTTCACTCAGATAATAAGACCCAATATTGACAGCAAAAAAAATGGCCATATACTATTTTTTCTATTTCCACTGTTATCGTATACTTATTTTTTTTGTTGACTGTTGATTTTTTTTTTCACATTGGCAATGTTGGGTAAATCTATTTTTTCTGTGACGGGAAAAAAGTTTGGCATTTCATCTCTGTTGGCAGGTTATAAAATGTCACTTTTCATAAATTACTTTTTTCCCGTGGGAAAAAAGTGAGTACTTCTTTCCCGGATATATATCACATATATATACTCTGTTAATGGGTTTTGTTGTGCTATAGTTCCGAAATATGAGTCAATAATACCGTCTCCGAGAAAGAACTGCAAGTCCTTTTATCTTCCATTCGACTTCGCGGTTTCGTATATTACTAAACAACTACTGAATTCGCAATTTTTCAAAATCGAATCACAGAATTGAACTGACAGAAGTGACATCAGATATTTGATTACTTCAAAAGAATGATAAAGATGTCTATAAAACGCAGGTGTCCCTACTGTTAAAAACTTGAAATTTCACGTCGATAATTTTCAGATTTCGAAATAATGTAATATCTTCTCAATATTGATTCGTCCTTCCTTCTGTCACAGAAAAAAATAGTGTATTATACACGGGAAAAATATTAGATTTTAGCTCACGGTTTTTTGTCTCCCTCCGCTACGCGTCGGGAGACAACACAACCTGGAGCTAAAATCTACTACTTTTTTCCCTTGTATAATAAATAACTATTATTCCTGTTCAGCCTATTTATCTTTTTAAGAATATTTTTCACTTTTTATTATTTGTTCTGCTCTCAGTTCTGCTTGATTACCACAGTTTTTGTCATATTTGTACTTGACCAATATTTCTTATCATGATGGGGTACACAATAAATGATTCATTTGATAGCTGAAATATTTGGAAACAGATTTCTAAACGATCCGAATTATTCATGGGATCATAGTCAATTTTTTTGTTAGCACTTCTCAATAGCAAAAGATTTCATCAGTCATCAGTATTGTTATATCGACATACCTACTTCTCAAATTTTTTTCCTCTATGATCTAAGGTTTTCCCAGTTATTTGTGAGATCATTGATCAATTAATAGTCATTATTAATCAATGATAGCACAATGTGAAAATTGAATGCCAATCAAAGCAGGTATTCATTACTTGTGAATATTGTGATTCAACTTATCTTAGGTTATTATTTGTTCAACAAATAATGTGATTATAAAGTGATGTAAATTATTTTATCGAATATAAGTACCTATAAGAAAGGAAACACGTATATTCCTCATTAATTCCCTATCCTGAAAAAATATTTTTCTGGTCGGTAAATATTTGTTTATACTGATAAGAATTTTTTTTCAATACACTTGAATAAATATCTGAGGAATTTTGTTATATATAAGTAATTTGAGTATGAGATTGAGTATAGTGAGACATCTGATTGTTGTCAAATGTTTTTATTATAAAAATCATTATTTAAATTAATCATTGGCGTATTCGTTTTACATTTCTAAGAGACATAAATAAAACAAAACTATTTACAATTGAACATAGTACACAGTACACATACCTATTAAGGCAAGAATTTATACAAATAATATTTACATTTTTCTTATCAATAACTTAACCTATTGTCTATTCACTAGTTTGTTTCTTTGGCTAGAATACTGGCTTGAATCCCATACAAAATATTTTCAGTATGAAAACCATAAATAACTTATATATAAAGTGAGTCTATATTTCCAATAAACCCAATTCAAAACTACCGGCTGTAAGATTGTATTCAAATTTGTATTTTGATATTTTTTATTTGGGCCTTTATTATCTTTGGAACTGACCAAAACTCCGATCGTTTATGGGTGGACATCAACAATGAACAGCTAATGTAGATATCGGGGGACCACCTTCGAATAAAGGACACCCAGTAGAGTGTTCAACATTGATAAACACATAAACATCAAACACAGACTATGGGTTTGACGAGTTTTGAAATTCTCAAAGGGAATTGCCCTGTACACAGGATGTCCCATAATAAATGCAAAACCTTGGCAGTAGAATTCACGACCAATTAAAAAAATGCGAATGAGCATGGGTCAAAAAATGGCTACTGAGGGAGCTACACTCCTAGCTAGAGCCCCCAAAAGAGGCTACCATGGAGATAATTTTTTATTTTTATTATCGAAACGGTTTGAGATAAAATATTAAAATTTTGTATGTTTGCTTCAGTTTGCTTGAATTATCATGCTGAATTCAAAAATGTCAAATATGAAGATATCTCAAAATTCACACTTTGTGTTGTTAACAAAAAAGTGAATACTGAGTTTTTTCATATTTCTGGTCGTGGAATCTTTTGCGTGAATATGGGGGCAACCTGCATGTGTTCCAAGAATGGTAAATTACTATCATGAAATGATTTTGAAAATTTCAAATTGTCAGCTGTACTTTATGCATCTGTGTTGCCTAGAAGGTTCTAATCTAAAATCATTGATTTTCACGGACTGCCCTTCAATCCCATATAACGTTTAAAACGATATACAAGATTCTCTTCTATAACACCTTTTTGAAGTTCATCCCATTAATCAAGCTGGCACGTTCAGAATACTAGATCAACCACCTACTGACTGTTAACAAACATCCCTCCTCTTCACCCTCATCTCGCTATTCGCCACCGCGATCCACTCGTTCCTCGAACTGTCGAACCAAGTCAACCCCAAATTGTACCTCCCGTTCAAATTGGCGTGCTGACAGTGCGAAAACCACCACCCTCCCTCGTAGTTGCTGGCGCAGTGCGTGTTCGAAATGTCCCTGTCGTTGTCCACTGTGGAGAACTCCATGAGGTTCTGGTAGTCCAGCGCGTCACTGGCGTTGCCTTGGTACCTGTCGATGTGGAGTTTGAAGCCTTCGGAGTAGTCCTCGACTCTGAAGTCCTCGTAGTTGGCTTGCCAGTACTGCCCGTAGATGTCCTTCATGTTGATCTGCAGCCGAGAGCAGTTCAGCTGGGTCAGCGAGCGCAGGTGTTTGTTTCCCAACCAGTGCTCCCCAGTGGCAGATCCGAAGCCGTTGGAGTATTCGTTCCAGTTTCTGTTGAAGTTTATGGAACCGTCGTAGCGTTTTTGGACTGTGGTCCAGCCATTTTCGCAGTGGGCTAGGATGGGTTCGCCTTCTCCAGGGGATATCAGGTAGATTCCTGGTGGTCCTTCCACGGAGCTGCAGTCCTTGGGCAGCTTGTTCACTATGCTCTTGTACTCGCTCTCGAAGGATTTCAGTTCTTGGACTAGGTGTATGGTGGCTTTGGTGGCGTTCACGTTGACAGAGCCTGACTCTTCCTGAAATAAATGAAGATTGTTATGTTTGCTCCTCAGTATGTAGATTGAGAGGTTAGGAAAACGATTATTCAAACGAAATTTGATGAAGAGGATGCATTACTGGAAAAACTTACAATAAGCATAATGACTGTTGTAACTCTGAACGAAGCTAATCAATGTAGTGGATTGCTTTACTTCAGCAAGTTTTCTAGAAAGGAAATAATACACTCTCACGCTAGCTGTCTTACTATTGTTATGTTATTTAAAAAATTATCTAAATAGATGAATTGTATGTGCACCATTGAAAACCATCTCGATGGTCAGTGGATCTCCAAGTTCTTAGATTAAAAACACCATTAATCAAGACTGGTGGACTACAAGGCTCTACTTGCTCTGTCCTTGATGGCTCTTTCTGTTGTATGATAACATTACAAAGCTCAGCTTTCTGATTGAGAGTACCACTTTGATGGCAGCGTAAGGTCGATTTAGATAAGGTGGTCCAAGATTGGAGAACTTTTGTTCTTGTAAAGTTTTTCCAGTTAAGAAGTATTTTACTCCTCAACTGCTTACTGAAGTTCAAATTCAACCATATCTTGGATTTTGTTTCATAAACACTCCTTTGAGACTGGGTACATTAGAGGTATTACACAGATTTATCTGCATTTGAAATAGTTGTTCTTTCTGCATTTACCTCTAGTTGGTCCTTATCGGAGTATTAGCAAGTGCTAGCGTGTTTCTATTATTGAAAAAATAAATCCTGAAGATTTTGAATAACGAATGATTGTATTGAGTACTATTTTCATATGGAGAGAAAAATTTTAATTAGCTATTCGGCATAAATTCGAATGGGGGGTACAACTCCATTAAAATGATCATTTGCTCACCTTCAGAATATGATCGTGCAGCTTGGAAGTCTGCAGGGTAGCAGACTTCACCAAATTCTTGACGATTTCATCTAAGTTGCCCAACTTCTCGCGATCTCCGTTTGTCTTGTCTTGCAAATTGGACACGGAAAAGCTGATGGCTTTCATGGAATCGATGACATTCCTCTGATCCTCTCTGTTGAGTGACACGGCCGAGGAAGTCTCAGAAATTTGAATTTCCAGCTTGGAAATCTCCTTTCGGAACTCTGGGAAGTTTTTGTCGACTTTGTTTTCGATGGTTTCGACGTTTTCCAGCAATTCTAGCATCGAGAGATGGAGCTTGTCGAAGTTGGTCATCTGTTCTGTCAAGTTGGCGATTTTGTTGACGTTGATGGTCTGTTGTTTGGCGATGTCGGCTATTTTCGACGCCATCTTGTCTTGCAGACGCGAGGCGATCAGGTTTTCTTCTTTTTGTGCTACTATGGAGTCCACTTCTTCTTTCCATTTGAGTCTCTTCTGCAGAGCCTTCATTTCTTCCTCCATTTGGGTCAGTTTTGATTTGAGGTGGTAGTTTTCTTTGTGCAAGGTTTTCGTACTTTTTTCTAGACGTATGACGTGCTGCTTCATGATTCGTTGGTGTCTGGATGGGTGTGCTATGATCTCGTTTTCTAGGGTTGGAGATTTTTCGTTCAGGATTTTCCAGTTTTGGTTCCATTCCAATTGGGCGGCTTTCAACTGAAACGAAAGGCAGTATTAAAATAAGTTCACCGAAAGAGTAGACGATATTTACTGAAATGGATTTCTACAGCTCACAAAATAACAGTTAGACTTGTTGAAGTTCATAGTTACATAGCCTTTTGAATGTTTTATTCGAAACCATTTCGTTAACAAAAAAACTACCTTTACCTGAATTCTATAGGGTATCAGACCACACACAATTAATTTCTAGTCCTCTGTAAATATTCCTGAATGAAGAATTATATAATAGTTTGAGGGTTTGAATTAGGGCTATCCACAAAGAATATCTCTTTTATAAAAAAAAAGGTTCGAAGGAATTCAGCATGAAAGTGCCATTATTTCCCCATTTATTAAAATCCGTGTCACGAAAAACGGCATTCAACAAATAAATTCAGGAATTCAAAAGTGCCTATACATTGTAGGAAGGTATGGGTACCTACCTATTGTATTATTGTGACTGTATACGTGTATATATATAGGTTTTATATAAGGGTATAGGTATTTTTCGAACGGTTTTTTACATAAACTCATACAAAGAACATTCCTATTTGTACAATTCTCCGTTTTTTTATGTGATATTCTGGAAAATAAATCTCTATAATGTTTGTGATTTAGAAAGTATGGATCGTCAACAATTGCAGGTTTGTCAATAATTGGAATTCGGGATGGGGTCAATGGTAATTCAGAAATGAATGGCGATGTTCTCTGAAAGTATGAAAATGTTATCAATCTGATCCGAGATCTGATCAGCATACAAGTGTAAGCGCAGCTGCTTGTGGAATTGTCCTTTCCCAAATTCAATTACGAATATCATATTACAATCACAAAAATTGTTGTTAAAAAATAAAGGTGCCTATAGAAGAGTCACTGGATGGTAATAGTAGATAAGAGTTCGGACACAGCTGAACTTCTGTCCTTTACTATTTTCTATATTACAATGATTTGAGTCTTTGTCTTATCAATTTCCCTAATACCGCCTGATTGTCAGATACGATTGTAGAGGTTTGTAGGAATTTTCACTTATCTTTGGACGTTTCGGGACCGAATCTGCTCCCGTTTTCAATAACATAAGAAATGCTTTTGGGTGTATGATAAATTGACATTCATCATACAGGGCGTGGAAAGAAATTCTGAATTGAGACTCTATCACGAATCTGCGATTAGAGGTCCATAAAAATCACAAGTTTCCATCGTTCAAGTTTGAACCCCCTGATTGGGTATGAAAGTGTTAAAAAGAAATATTCTCAGATAAATTATGAACATACAAAGATGGATATATATTTATATAAAGCAATACATTGAGAATTCGCATTCTCTATGTGATGAGAATATTTACTCTTTCTCAGTTGATTCAATAGAAAACAACTACTTTCCTGGCTATATGCCACGACGAACATTGAATTATATCTATTGAACACACACGATAAGAGTTTATGCCAGTATACTTCTCCTATACATTCCAATTTTCATTTCAATGCTGAATATATTGGTAAGTTATATTTCTATATCATTATACATTATATTATTCATCCGATTTGAAGAAGAATGTCAATTCTCAATTTCGGAGGATTTTATTCTTTATTTTTCATGTTCTCCTTTTGAATGTTCATCAGATATAATTCAATGTTCGACGTGGCAAATAGCCAGGAAAGTAGTTGTTTTCTGTTGAATATTCAGAATGATGTTTGCATATACATATTTTTGTCTGAAGGAGAATGCAAATTCTCAATTTCAGAAGTTTTTATATTTTATTTTCAAACTCTTATCGTGTGTGTTCAATAGATATAATTCAATGTTCGTCGTGGCATATAGCCAGGAAAGTAGTTGTTTTCTATTGAATCAACTGAGAAAGAGTAAATATTCTCATCACATAGAGAATGCGAATTCTCAATGTATTGCTTTATATAAATATATATCCATCTTTGTATGTTCATAATTTATCTGAGAATATTTCTTTTTAACATAAGAAATGATTATTTTAATAGCAAAGTCGTATCTGTCTTGAAGCTTTTCAGTTTTTATTGACAATAATTGGTGACGTTGGCAATCAAATGAGTTACTACACGTATATTGAAATAATATTCATATTTTTATTTTATAGAAACGAGGAGATAATTTTGTTTTGCATTTCGAGTGATAGTTAGTTATAGATTCTCTATAACTGCTCTTAAAGTCTTCTGTTCGAAAGTGAGCCTAAAATATAGTTTCATTCTAATCTGCTGTTATAAGGAGTGCATTTAAATGTATGTACCTCACAAAGCTTATTGTCTTCAAATTAATCATTACTTGGTTTCCATCGACATTTCCTTTGAAAAATGAAATAAATGAAATCCATTCTTTCCAGAATTTCCACAATTCATTACGCAGCAGGACATTAAGTACCATTTATTCTTTCTTCTCAATAGTTTATGAAATTATATTTCAATTCTGATGTTCATAAAATTTATTATCAAATTCAAGCAATTTGGTTGTTACCACGGCTCTTGTCACAATGCAAGGTGTTTAACAACACTCAAAAACTCTAACAGTTGTCATTTTTGTGTCCGAACTCTTATTATATCTAACTAATACCATCTAGTGACTCAAGTAAGTGCCTATTATAGTGATAGATATTCCCGTCAATTTCCTGAAAAAGTGATGCCACCCTAGTCGAATGATGCATGTTAGTCAAATGAGATACAATACAAATAACCCTGTAGATTCTGCTATTTATTTACACATCCACGCAGACTAAACTCCCTGAATTCGTTTGGTTCTCTCTCGTCTCAGTCAAAAACAAAACAAATTATACGGAATCAGTAACCGGAAAACCGGATGAGAACATTCCGAACTGGGAATAAAACAGAATAATAAACGAGTTGAGAGGGTGTTTCACACACTCTGATCTGAACAATGTTATTTATTTATAGGGATTAATTGAAGCCAGTAGCGTTACATGCAGGTAAATCATTGGGGAATTTTCCCCTCGGACTATTTTTTGTGTATGTTAACCTCTGTTTAAAACATGCGAGTAAGAAGGAAACAGTGCAGCAACACTCCACCAGTTCCTGCCAATAAGCTTGATTATATAACTAGTGTGAATACTCAAAGCTATAAGTAATATATTTTTGCTATCTAGAATGACCATTGTATATGGAAAACAACTACTTTCCTGTTTTCTGTTGAACCGAGAAAGAATTAATATTTCCATCACATGGAGAATGCGATTATCTTAATTTGATTGCCGAGCCAAACACAGTGAAATATGAGGATAGATAATAGTGATTAGGTTGTCTCAATTCAGAATTTCTTTCCACGTCCTGATGCATAATGAATATCAATTTATCATACATCCAAAAATAATAATAATAATTTCACAATGCTCAAGCATATGTTTCCACTTAAAGTGAGATTTTGTACTTATAACTAGAAATAATTTTCATTGCAGCGCTATTTTCAGTGATTGCTTCTTGGCCGAGTTGTTGTGACCTACACTTGTATGGAATCTTATATTATTTATATACAGAGTGCTCACGGAAAATTATTATTATATCAATATTCTCAATAGTATTAGAGATTTCAAATCAATTTCCCTACCTCAGCAATTCTCGAATGGATAGGGAATAATAAATAGGTACATACGTTGAAACATGTATACCGAAGAGATTAGAAGGTTAGGAATACTGGAAATTGGAGACTAGAAACGAACTAGAAAAATTACCACCACTTGTGAAATTCCTCATATTTGGATGCGGTTTTTATTGGCGATAACTTTCCCAGAATATTAGAGATTCCAAATCAATTTTCCTCACTCAGCAAATCTCAAATGTTATCAAATAAACATGAATATCACAATCACATGATTATCGTCGCGAGCACTTCGTAAATATACATGGCATTGTTCATGGAAACGAGTCAAATTTCGAAAATTTCAGAAAGTTGTAATTACGTGGTTATAGGCAACATGCTGTCTGTCAGTCTGGTGTTCCACTTTCAATAATAAAAGGGTCTGGAATTGTGAGATAAGTGCTTCTTATAAATTAGCTTTGCGTAAAATCGACACTGACAAGCTCGTTTTTTCAAGTTATTACTGCCTTTGTATTCAATTAATATTTCTTTATGGCGAAGTGGAAATGTCATATTTTGTCAAACAATGACTAGGTTGGGTGAAGTTGAAACGAAATTTAATTTAGTATCCGAGTCTGAGGATGTGGAATGGCAAGAAGTGAAATTTGTAGGAGGAGTCATATTTCAAAGAAAAATGATGGTACTAATGGCACATCATCATACAGTGACGGCTCGTGCCCTCAGAACCTGGGTCGGCCATGGTAGATATAATGCTCTAGTAACTAGTTCGTCAACTTAATATTTTCTTTTTCATGAAATGATATAATGAATGGCTCACCATCAGATCATACTACCTCTCGCACGCTCGTCATTACTGTTTTCATTTTTTCTGCTGAATCTGAAGCGCGAATAAACTATTTTCAACCACTTCAACACACGACACACCAAACACGATCGAAAAGCACCAAAATGACTAATAACCATCAGCCACCAAACTCCTTCCTGGTCGGCCGGCCGTACCTGAAATAATAATCTAGAAGTTCCATACATGTCGCCTATATGTCTCATGCTGCTCATTTCATCCTCGTGGGAAATCACTATCATTCCGTGCTCGTTAAACAATATACTATGTCACGAAGAGAGAAACTCAAAGTCATTACCACAACTAGTTCATAAAATGAACGACAAAATGGTAGATAACGAGAGAAAAACAACTACTTTCCTGGCTATATGCCACGCAGAACATTGCATTACATCCTCCCGAAACCTATGCGATAGTTCGTATAAACGAATAAAATCGCAAGTGTTTCCTTCTTAAACGCTGAGCTGCGTTTATGTGGTTCAGGAACGCTGACTACCTGCAGACCGGTTTCGAACTCTTGGCTCTCATCAGTACAAGGCTGTCCCAGATAGCTTCTTCACCGCTATCTGGTGCGAACCTGACACAACGTAAACTCATCTCAGCATTTATACCATACGAGGCGTTCGACGTCTGCGAAATGAAAACGCGAACGCCGAACGCCACCTGGCAAGGAAAGAAACACTCCAAAACAAATCCCATTTCAGATGAAATGGGAGTGGCTGGTTGCCCGACTGGCGTATTTATACGAACTATCGCATAGGTTTCGGGAGGATGTAATGCAATGTTCTGCGTGGCATATAGCCAGGAAAGTAGTTGTTTTTCTCTCGTTATCTACCATTTTGTCGTTCATTTTATGAACTAGTTGTGGTAATGACTTTGAGTTTCTCTCTTCGTGACCAATGCATTCCACTTTGAGTATTTGGCTTTTTCCCTAGTTGAATATACTATGTATTCATCAAATAGTTCATCTTTCTTTCCTAAAAATTTTCTAGTACGGCCCAGCCGACCCTGCAGTCCCTGACGAGTCGTCACTGATTATATATCTCTACTACCAAATCTAAAATAGCACAAATTGAAGCAAGAACTATTTTGAAACCTTATTTCTTCCGAGAAACCTCAACTAGTTTTCAAATTGATTATTCTCTCCATGTAGTGGTCGACGGAGTTTCATCTGACTCTCTTAACATAAATGCTGGTGTTCCGCAAGGATCAATTCTAGCACCAACACTATTTCTACTCCATATCACCGATTTGATGGAAGCAACTTCATGTCCAGTACACAGCTTCGCGGATGATAGTACCCTCACTGCCTTCTCTTCCAGGGCTCCAATACCAGCCAGGCAAATCAGAAACGAATGAGGAAGAAATGTGGACAACATAAATATGGACTTGGCTACAATTCTCGAATGGGGTTCCAATAACTTGGTATTTCAATGAAAACAAAACACAAGCATGCCTTTTCTCTTGAAAAGTCGATCTCACTGTGTCCAACATAAGCTTGTCAGGAGTAACCATACCTTTGTAGACATCCATTCCGATGCTTGGTATTGATATCAGCAATAACCTTTGTTGGAAAAATCACGTGAGATCAATTACTAAAAGTGCATAGCGAAAACTTGGTTTTCTGTTTCGGGCCAGGAGCTATTTCACTTCCAGTCAGCTGCTCATGATCTATAAGGCACAGATGAGACTTGTGCTGGAATACTGTTTCCATATTTGGAGTGCAGCACCCAAACATACCCTGAAACTGTTGGATTCTGTCCAAAAAAGGACAATTCGTCTCTTCGTCTCGTGGGTGATGCCTCGCTCACAAACTCACTCACTTCTCCGGAACACCGTAGAAAAGTTGGCGATGTGGCTCTATTTTATAGATATTTTCTCGGACGATGCTCTTCTGAAATATCAACAATTGTTCCTCTCTTGGCAGTCCCCGCGAGATTAACCCGTCGAGTTGAGGCTTCGCACCCAATCGTGGTCACTTTGGAGACCTGCAGAACATCTCTTTCCAAAGACTCGTTTATCCAACGAACAGCGAGGCTCTGGAATACATTGCCAAGGGAGGTATTCCCTGAGGTATATAACCTCCAGAAATTCAAGAAGAACACCAATTCCTATCTTATATATTTCCCTTGGTTCTCACGATGTTCTCTGAACATTACAGGATATTCCTGATCGTGGGAACCAGAACATAAAAAAAATTACGTTACTTTTCTCATACAGTTTATAAATACCTATACGTTGAATATTTACTGTTTTCTAACCTCACTTATCGGGTTGAAATTACACTTTTGGGGTACGATTAGATTCAGTGAACTATGTAGATTAAAAATTCAATAGTATACACTATACAGGATATGTCTTTAATTTGAAAATATATACTTTTGACCATTATCGGCGAAACCGGATGAAGCAAATTAGGGGGTGCAATAATTTGATAAAAAAAGTTGGAGATGATATCTTTGGGGCTGTGAAATGGAATAAGGCTTCAAGGGTGTAAAGAAAAGCACTTGTGGAAATTATTCAAGTCGGCTTTTGAATAATCTCATCTTTTGAAACAACCACGGTATGGCCACCCTGGATAGTGATTATCTATTTTAAAATAGTTCTACTGTAATACGAAATAAAAATCTCGAGAATATAATGTGGTATAGAGCTATTCAACTTATCTATGGATATACCTATATCTCGCTATACATATATGGCGTTTGCGTTTGAAAATATCCTTAGTTTTTTCCCGATTAGTTTCTTTACAGATATTAATTCCATTTGCAGATGCTACTAAAATCATGTTATAATTTCAATGCCATTTCTGGTACTCAATGAGTAGTGGAATGCCATTTTATTGTTAATTTTTTTATTATAATTATCAAAAAAGTTGTAAGTTGTACAATGATTGACCGAATGAGAATCCACTTTTATTGAATACTATACATGGGTACTCCAGTAGTATTTTTATCTAAATCCTCATCGTACGACATCTAATAAAAATAATTGTATAGACGGAATAAATATTCATCACGTTTCAGATTACGTAACAGTAGTGTAAACAAGATATATATAGGTAAATATTTACCTAATCTGTTTTTTTCTTCATAAAATTCTACGATTGCTATTTACATATCTACTCAATATTCCTTTTATTAATATATTGCCAATAAAGGTACCATCATGTTGGAAAAGTCGTTATAAAAATTTTAAAAAATTCATTTTTCAACTGACAGTGTCTTCAGCATACCTCGGTCGGTGCATAACAAATTGCATTTCTCATTTTTACTTTCGACCGCAAAGTGGGTCTTGACATAACGAGAAAAAAAAAAGAATTGAGAAAGGATGCAGGTATGCGGGTTGGTATTTTCAAATGTCGCCCAATCATTGGTTGGCAAGGGCAGGTGGACCACGACTGGCTGTTGATGGATACAAGTTCGTTCTGTCCGATGCACCTGCCTTTAGTTGTCGGGGACACACATAATTACTTCGAACTAGATGGACTGATGGACATTTCGTTGGATAACTCGAAATACTCTTTGGATAGGATGACGTTAGAGCGCCACAGTAATCTTTAATCAAAATCTCTTGATTTTTTCTCAAAATTTTGTAATGTTATATGAACCCTTTTTTCGTCTAGAAATGAATCATCCAGCATTGTCCAGCAATGTTTCATCTGCTGTGCTTATAAAATATCGAACCTAAGAGGAAATTAATGTAGTCGTAGAAAAAGTATATCAAATAGCTCGTAACACATTCGTTGGAAAGAATCCATTATAATCACCTGTCGACCTGAAATATCTACCCATCATTATATGAAAAAACTTTTGATATCAGAATAAGTGAGAATAAACGTCCCATCATATATAACTTGTTCCATAGATCCATACCAAACACAATTTACTATCTCAACTCCCCGTTACATCGATGCCTGAAAAGTTATAACTCCATTTCAAATGATTTTCATTGGTTTTTGGATGTATGATAAATTGTTGATATTCATCATATAGGACGTGGAAAGAAATTCTGAATTGAGAAAACCTAAACACGAATCTGCGATTGAAGGTCTATAAAAAAACAAGATTATCGTTCAAGTTTGAACCCCAGGAAAGTAATTGTTTTCTGTTGAATAAACCGAGAAAGAATTAATATTTTCATCACATGGAGAATGCGAATTCTCGACGTATTTCTTTATACACACCGTGTCCCAGCTAAAATGTCCCCCCCTGTAAAAAATCAACCGCGCGATCCAGTGACTTGAAATTTGGTCACCCAGTATATTCGATGATGCTCACTCGAAATATGATATTGAATAAATCGTAGGTATACAGGGTCCCACCGAAGTGCACCTAAAATTCCTTATTTGAATAGGGACACCCAGTATAGTATTCCATATTCAAGTAGAGTTCATTATTACAAATTCAACAATACCGGGTTTGACTACAAAGATATGGCAAAAAATTAAACGATTCAATAAAAAATTTATATGATTAGATTTTATTAATATAACACAATTGAATGATGGGTGTCCTGCACATAACTACAGAACCATAAAAGATTATCTTCGCCATCGGTTTGGAGAAAATCTAACCACCAATTGTCTCGATGGTGATAGCAACTGGCCAGCTCGGTCGCCAGACCTCAACCCACTTGATTTTTATTTGTGGGGCTACTTGAAACAACAGGTTTATGAGTTGCTAATTGTGAATAAGGAAGAAATGAAAGAGAAAATCACAAATTTATGCGCACAAATTGATAGCAACATGATACATTGGGTCACAATGAACGTTATCAAAAGAGCTAGGATATGTTTGCAGCAGAATGGACGACATATTGAGCAGTTGGGGTTTCAATTATTTCCTTTTCATTTGATTTCAATCGTGTTATATTAATGAAATCTAATCATCAATCATTTCAAATCATTCGATCGCGTGGTTGATTTTTCCCAGGGGGGAGGGGGACATTTCAGCTGGGACACGGTGTATATTATATAAAAACACTTACCATTGAAAAAAAATACGACTTTCACATATATTCCTTTTCAAAACTTTCACCCAATCAAGGGGTTCAAACTTGAACGATGGAAAATTGTTACTTTCATAGACCTCAATCGCAGATTCGTGATTAGGTTTTCTCAAATCAGAATTTTTTTCCACGTCCTGTGTGATGAATATCAATTTATCATACACCAAACAAAAAAAAATTCCACTGACTGCTATAAACCATATTCTGCATGTGTCACACATGTTGGATTTCAATAGAAATATGCAAAAAGTGAATTAAAGAAGTGACGCCACTGCTTGGTGTTTATGAACTAGACTAAACTGTCGGATGCTCACTCTTCAGATATCTATCAATAAAGCAAGTAGTTCGAACCGCCTGACGTTGTTTCCATTGAGTACCTACCAAAATGTCCCAATAACTATAATATCACATAGCCAATAAAACTAACTATATCTATGTATCAAGACTGTTATTCACCTGATTTTTCATTTTGCCGCACGCCGCTGCAGTCCCCCGCCAACTCTCCCTTGCCTGTCGCAACTCCTCTCCGGCGAGTTGCACCTCCGCCTCGAACTTCTCGTTCCTGCCTCTCACCACCTCCAACTCCGCCACCACGTTTTGCAAGTCGCTCTTGACCAGTCGAGACTCGGTCTCGACTCGTTCTCGCTCGTCCAGCACGGCCGAGGAGTTGAGAGAGTTCTGCAACTCCGCAACTTCCGCTTTGAGCTCGGCGAACGAGCGGTAGAGCCACTTGACGGTGAGGAGGTCGTTCTTTTTCATGGGGGAGGCAGTCGTTGGGGTGCCTGAGGATAGGCCGTCGAGGTCGGATCTGGAAGAAGAACATATTTTTTTATGTGACGGGAAAAAGTAAGTGGCATTTCATCTCTGTTGGCAGGTTATAAAATGTCACTTTTCATAAACAATATTTTTTTTTATCTCTTGGACCACACGAAAGGAAATTCCTGTAATGTTCGTGGAACATCGTGCGTACCTAGGGAGGATAGGGAGAGACCTCTTGAGCCTGGTCAACACTATTATTCATATTGCTAAGCATATTACTACTTGAGAACTATATTTTTTGACTTTTGTAGAAATAAATTCGTTTGCAACTCGTGCGCGAAATACTTTAAAGTAGCATTTCGCGCACTAGATACAAACATAGAGCTATTTACTACATTCCATAATAAAAACGTTATAGGGGTGAGCCACCTCTTGGAAAATCTCCCAGACATTCAACGTTCAAGCAATAATAATACTTTTTTCGCCAACTATAAGAACTATGCGTGGTACCACTGAAACATGGGCGTTGAGATGTGATGGTTGCCATATGTTGCATCAAGGGAGGCGGGGCATTTTCTGAATAAACTCGAAGTTTCGACCATCTGCTTGTAGCTAACAATAGACTTTCTTTAGAAACGTTGATTTCTAATAATAACTACCCTGATATAAACGGAGATATAAACTTACCACCCCAAGGGATTTATAACTTTTCCTCGAACTATTCAAATATTGAAGAGGGTCCAGAATACTGTTATCGCACAAATTCTTTACATATGCACATAACTGTAATTTCAGATACATATTGAATTTCAAATTATCGAACAATTTGATTCATCCCACATTCCATATATTTTTCGAAGCATTTGTTATTCATTTTCATCTTTTAATAGCGGTTAATAGTAGATCATAAACTGAGGAACTGAAAATATCATTAGTCCCGTGCTTTATATGTACTAATTTTTTCACTTCAAAATGGAAAAACTGAAAATGAGATCATCAAGAAAATAAAAAAAGGCGTTATTCTATAGTTTCAAAATGCTAACTTTGCTCAAGGACGCTTACTGATGGGTGGTTATCATATATAGTTTTTGACGATTTTTGACATCGAAAAGTGAAGTTTCTTGAAAGCATTGCTATGGCATTTGAAAAAAAAAGGCAAAAAATGTCACTTTAGTCCCACAAATAAGGTAGGTATTAAAAGTTCCCGTTTATTCTCTGAAGTGCATAAACTCCTTTTGGTTTAACAACTTCCTTTGGTTTATCAACCAGATACAGAATATCTGAAAATGTTTTCCGAGTTGTTTTTTGTAATTATTTTGAGAGTTTGTTTTTACACAGGGCATTGAGTTTTTCAGGTCCAAACCTACATTCCATGCATTGCAGTGTTGGAAGTTGAAACTATATCGGTATTTTCAAATTGACTACAAGTACAACAAAATTAAGAGTCAAATCATGTTTTTTTTATCAAAAACATTCGAGGTTTATACTCTAGCATTATGAAAACATAATTTTAAAAAAAATTTATGGAGTCTGTTCTTCACAGCCAGATGTCGTCATGATGTCATTAGTGATCTTATCATTGAATAGTTGACAGGTTTTTCTTCAAAAAATCAGAATCGCATCAGAAGAAATTAAGTGGTTTCGAATCAAGAATGTGCGCTTATTGCAGTTTATCTGAACAGCATTTTAGTTAATCTAACTATTTTCAAAATGTTCGTTGTTACACCAGTCAGCATTGCATAAGAACAAGCAGAATATACATTTTCAATAAGGAAATATAAAATATATGGGGCAGTTAAGAAACAGCCTCTGATTGTAACCCAAATACCCCAACCCTTACCTACCTCAACTTTTTGATCTCATTCCGAAGTTCGACCATCTCAGGCCTCCCGAAAATCGCCTTGATCACATGATCCTCGATGCTCTTGATGTCCTCCTGTCTCTTGTCCAGCAGCGCAGTCACTTGTTTGCTCAACACTCGAAAATCATTGTCTGAGTCACTGTCGGCACACGTCAAACTGCAGACACAACTGAAGATGAACGCAGCAACGGTAAACGACCACATGTTGCACGCAAAGTACCAAAGGTACCACTCTTCAGTACCGCCGAAGTGGCGACTCGCGAGGTACTCCGCGAAGAGAGATAGGAAAAATAACGGCGAAGAGCTGAAGAGTCACTTCGAGCCACTGAATGCGGTACCAGGGTTGCAGGTACTTTTATAGAAAGACTGGCTCCACTGGGCATGCGTCACTTAGGGCAGGTGTGCTCGGGTGGCTGTTGCTTGGTTAGGCAGTACCGGACTCTATGTAAGGGGGTGTTGAAATTGACTTATAACTTTCTTTCACTATCAATTCAACAATCATACTTTCCATACTAGTGAAAATGTAATGGAACGTTATATGTGTATTTTTATATTTTGGTCCATGTATACATCAGAATTTATTGGGACTGTTGAGGAGAAACATGTAAGAGGGAGTTCGAATTGTTGTGATATCAAACATAAAACAATAATTTTGTTTCTGTTAATAAAACGACCTGTATATTTTTATTTTCTCTTCGAGATCTAACCTCATTATTTTCAAGTACAGTGTGTCCCGCTTTATGTGTAATCACCCTCGTTCTGGAGTAAAATGAATTCTTTGTTCAAGAGTTTCAACTCGAAAGTCAAGTCAGATGGTCTGAAAGTCGAGTTAGATTTATCATTTGATGGCGACAACAATAACCACGTTACTATATTTTTCATCCTGCTCATCTCTTGAATATGATCAGAATATCATGTATAGAGTCAACTAAATTACACAATTTCAGAGGAAAAATTAGGAAAGTCCTTCTTTCAAATTGAACAGATGGAAAATAAACCGATGTCGGTGCCTGCGAATACATTTTTATGACAATCACAATGTGTGCCTACTGATCTTGAACATTTTCTCTCTGGAGTGGAAAATTATCGTCACACCGAATTATTTTCATATTTTGCCAACATAGATATGGAAATTTAGAAGAAAATATCAGTGCTGTCACTTTTGAATAATTTGAGAAAGGATCTGTGCTCAATGTAATTGTCTAAATGCGAAAGAATAATAGAGAAAAAACACTACAATGAGATGACATTCCCTTGTAATAAAAAAACCATTATCACTTCACAGATGGTCATAAAAATGCATGAGAATTCGCTTTGAAAGTTTTGAAATATGTCATTATTTGTAGATATATGTAGATAGTTCCTGATGCTAAATCATCATCTTGCAGTTACATACATAATATAGTACGATGGACCAAGGATGGATCCTTGAGGCACACGTTCGGGCACGTCGAGGGGCTCGTATACATTTCGCGGGAGGCCGTTCATTTAGTTCGGTCCTGTGCAATGATAGCTTCTGCCGCTACACACTTACCTGCTTATTACACTTATAATATCGAGTATCTCGAATATAGATTGGTCTCACCTGCCCGGCAGATGGCCGTAGATTTTGTTTCACAATTTCGGAAGAGTGGAACTGAGATGTTTGAAGGTATGGTGCAAGCACTAATGCAATACCAATAGCAGCGAGTCATTGATGTCCATTCATGATCAAACGTTTCCGAGTGAAAATATGTTGCTTGATGGATTTTCAAAAACAATTTCTTCATCTGCTGTTGTGTTAGCTTCTCTTCGATATGGGAAGAAATGGAATAAATTGGGTTAGTGATTGCACCATGGTATCTCAGTCTTCAGCAAGACATAAGAGAGATCTAGGAGTGAGAAGTTCGATGATTATTTCTCGGTTCTTTTTCGCCGTTACAGAATTGAAAACCTTCAACATCTGACAGGGTTTGTTTGGGAGCGTGCCAGATGCAACTTGAGATTCATTAGATATGTTTACATGTTTTCACTGGACATCGAGTATATTGCTTCCAGAAGCTCCAATAATTCGGAAGAAAATAACACTTTTATATACAGGGTATGAATGAGTAAGTGCAAAAAAATATTAGTAGGTGGAATCCTTGTCATCTTTCAGGAAAAAAGTTCATGTAAACATATGTCCTAATACTTTTGAGAAACAAGGTATTAATCGTCTATTTTATTATTCCCCTGTATAAGCTTCCATGGTGACAAAGTTCAGTCTGGTTGGTTACTGACAAAGTCTCAAAATTCCAGAGATCTAGATTAATAAGTCAAATCGAAAATTTATTGTTTCCTCAAAAACTAAGCGAAATACAAAAGTAACATGAAGGAATAGAAACTTATGATTTCAATTGTTCAATCTAATTAAAACATGAACAGTCCTTCTGCCAAACTAGTTAATGAAAATAAACGATTTTCAGGAAAACATTCATATCCTGTGTCTCTAAAGTCATCGAATCTAAAGTGAAGCTGATAAGGACGAATGTTCATCTGCACATTTTTTCTTGTTACATGACAAGGAATCAACCCCAATTTTTTGTTCACTTTATCATTCACAACCTGTATTTTGCTTGACTACAGGCCACTACAGGGAAAATTGCATACTAGATTTCAAAAATTGAACAGCAAAAATCGCATTGTACGTAAAATCTCGTTAATTTATGAATCACATCGTCCTCTGTTCATTCCAGTAAACTATCAATTCTGGCGAAAGAGCTGTAGCCTCCTGCAGAGTCTGGTTCTTTCACCAAAATATTCAGATGATTTCATGAAGTTTTTAGCAAGCATCAGTGACGTGTTATCTTTCTGTAAACAGTGTGATTCGCCTCAAATTTCATAATTTGGAACCTAAGAGAATAATTCAGTCGATATAGTCAGTGACAACTTGTTCGACGAATTTTAGAATATTAATTTGGGTGAATTGCTTCCTTTTTCAACTTGAACTTTTTTTTTGAGATTGATCTTTCCCTTCTTTATTTTGACATTTCTTATAGACAAGATGTTCTCATAAAAATGTGTGATTTTAGTCAGTTTTTAGTATTGAATACCATGTTCTATCTATAAACAGGAAGCAATGTTCAGTAGTATGCCTTTTTGTGGTTGTTATCTCCTCTTCCTATATGAATTGATGATTTGAATATCATTTTATTCCGCCATATGTAGTCCA